CCCTCCTGCTGTCCCCACAGCCCTGGGACCCCTCTGTGGGACCCTCCTGCTGTCCCCACAGTCCTGGGACCTCTCTGTGGGGCTCTCTTGCTGTCCCCACAGCCCTGGGACCCCTCTGTGGGGCTCTCTTGCTGTCCCCACAGCCCTGGGACCCCTCTGTGGGGCTCTCCTGCTGTCCCCACAGCTGTGGGATCCCTCTGTGGGGCTCTCCTGCTGTCCCTACAGCACCCACACAGCCCTGGGACCCCTCTGTGGGACCCTCCTGCTGTCCCCACGGCACTGGGACCTCTCTGTGGGGCTCTCCTGCTGTCCCCACAGCACTGGGACCCCTCTGTGGGACCCTCCTGCTGTCCCCACAGCACCCACACCTCACTGGGACCCCTCTGTGTGGTTCTCCTGCTGTCCCCACAGCGCTGGGACCTCTCTGTGGGGCTCTCCTGCTGTCCCCACAGCCCTGGGACCCCTCTGTGGGGCCCTCCTGCTGTCCCCACAGCCCTAGGACCCCTCTGTGTGGTTCTCCTGCTGTCCCCACAGCGCTGGGACCCCTCTCTGTAGGACCCTCCTGCTGTCCCCACAGCCCTGGGACCCCTCTGTGGGACCCTCCTGCTGTCCCCACAGCGCTGGGACCCCTCTGTGGGACCCTCCTGCTGTCCCCACGGCGCTGGGACCTCTGTGTGGGGTTCTCCTGCTGTCCCCACAGCACCTACACAGCCCTGGGACCCCTCTGTGGGGCTCTCCTGCTGTCCCCACAGCGCTGGGACCCCTCTGTGGGACCTTCCTGCTGTCCCCACAGCCCTGGGACCCCTCTGTGGGGTTCTCCTGCTGTCCCCACAGCACCCACACCTCACTGGGACCCCTCTGTGTGGTTCTCCTGCTGTCCCCATAGCCCTGGGACCCCTCTGTGGGGTTCTCCTGCTGTCCCCACAGCACCCACAGCTCACTGGGACCCCTCTGTGTGCTTCTCCTGCTGTCCCCACAGCACCCACAGCTCACTGGTACCCCTCTGTGGGGTTCTCCTGCTGTCCCCACAGCACTGGGACCTCTCTGTGGGGCTCTCCTGCTGTCCCCACAGCGCTGGGACCCCTCTGTGGGATCCTCCTACTGTCTATACACTTTTCTACACTGTACCCATTCCCAGCCCCCCTTTATAAACTTTTTTCTACTGTACCTATCCCCAGCCCCCTCTATAAAGTTTTCTATACTCTACCCATCCCCAACCCTTGGCTATACAGTTTTCTATACTGTGCCCATCCCCAGCCCTTTGCTATACACTTTTCTAGACTGTACACATCCCCAGCTCTTTACTATAAAGTTTTCTATACTGTACCCATCTCCACTCCTTTGCTATAAAGTTTTCTACACTGTACCCATCCCCAGCCCCCCTCTATAAACTTTTTCTACATTGTACCCATCCCCATTTCCCCCTCCATAAAGTTTTCTATACTCTACCCATCCCCAACCCTTTGCTATACACTTTTCTATACTCTACCCATCCCCAGCCCCCCTCCATAAAGTTTTCTATACTCTACCCATCCCCAGCCCTTTGCTATACACTTTTCTATACTGTCCCTATCCCCAGCCCTTTGCTATACACTTTTCTATACTGTCCCTATCCCCAACCCTTTGCTATATGCTTTTCTATACTGTACCCATCCCCAGCCCCCCTCCATAAAGTTTTCTACACTGTACCCATCCCCAGCCCTTTGCTATACACTTTTCTATACTCTACCCATCCCCAGCCACCCTCTATAAAGTTTTTTATACTGTACCCATCCCCAGCCCTTTGCTATACACTTTTCTATACTCTACCTATCCCCAACCCTTTGCTATACACTTTTCTATACTGTACCCTTCTCCAGCCCCCCTCCATAAACTTTTCTATACTCTACCTATCCCCAACCCTTTGCTATACACTTTTCTATACTGTACCCTTCTCCAGCCCCCCTCCATAAACTTTTCTATACTTTACCCATCCCCAATCCTTTGCTATACACTTTTCTACACTGTACCTATCCCCAGCCCTTTGCTATACACTTTTCTATACTGTACCCTTCTCCAGCCCCCCTCCATAAAGTTTTCTATACTCTACCCATCCCCAGCCCCCCTCCATAAAGTTTTCTATACTCTACCCATCCCCAACCCTTTGCTATACACTTTTCTATACATTACCCATCCCCAACCCCCCCCACTACACCCAATACCCCTTCCAATCTCTCCCACCCCTCTCCCCCCCCCCAGCTTTTCCCGCTCCCCATCCCCCTCCATCCCCATCCCGGGCCTCTCCCGCACTCTCCCCGGTTCCTCCGCCGTCCCGTCCGTACCGGACCAGAGCAGCAGCTTTCCGTGCGCCTCCTCCTGCGAGGCGGAGTCGGTGGCCAGCAGCGTGGAGGTGGCGGCGTAGGGCAGCGCGGAGCCCAGGCAGGCTCCGAAGCGGAGGCGCTCGCAGGGCGCGGGGCGGCGGCAGCGCGGCGGCCCGGCCGAGGCGTTGTGGGCGGCGGGGCAGCGGCCGCCCAGAGCCAGCGCCAGAGCCAGCGCCAGAGCCCAGCGCCGCCCGCCGCGGCCCGGCCACATCGCGGCGGGGCTTTAGGGCGGCTGGCAGCGGGGAGAGGGGCCCGCCATGGCCCCGCCGCCTTTGTTGGGCTGGCCGGCAGCGAGCGGAGCGGCCCCGCTGCTGCTGCTGCTGCTCCTCCTCCTCCTCCGCCGCCGCCCGCGGCCCGGCCCGGCCCGCGCCCCCCGCCGGGGCGGGCTGAGGGAGGGGGAAGCGCCGCGGAGGCCGAGGGACGAGGTTCGTGAGGGGAAAGGCGCTGAAATGTGAGGGGAAATGATGTTTTTTGGGGAGGAAGGAGGCTCCTTTGTGAGGGAAAAGTTTCTCTCGCGAGGAAAGAGGCGCTTTCGGTCAGGAAAAGTTTCCTTTTTGTGAGGAAAAGTTTCCTTTTTGTTAGGAAAAGTTAGTTCCCTTTTTGTGAGGAAAATTTCCTTTTTATGAGGAAAAAGTGGCTAAAAAGTGAGGGGGAAAGTCGGTAAAAGGGGAGGAAATTTTTTTTTTTTTTTTTTTTTTTTTTTTTTTTTTTTTGGGAGGAAGGACTCTTTGTGAGGAAAAAGTTCCTCTCGTGAGGAAAGAGGCACTTTCGGTCAGGAGAACTTTCCTTTTTCTGAGGAAAACTTTCCTTTTTCTGAGGAAAAGTTGCCTTTTTGTGAGGAAAGGTTCATTTTTATGAGGAAAAAGTTGCTTTTTGTGAGGGAAAAAGCGGGTAAAAAGTGAGGGAAATGCTTTTTTTCTGGGAGGAAAGAGTCTTCTTTTGTGAGGAAAAGTTCCTCTCGTGAGGAAAGAGGCACTTTTGGTCAGGTAGTTTCCTTTTTCTGAGGAAAACTTCCCTTTTTGTGAGGAAAAGTTGCCTTTTTGTGAGGAAAGGTTCATTTTTATGAGGAAAAAGTTGCTTTTTGTGAGGGAAAAAGTCGCTAAAAAGTGAGGGAAATGCTTTTTTTTGGGAGGAAGGATTCTCCTTTTATGAGGGAAAAGTGCCTCTCGTGAGGAAAGAGTCACTGGATCAGGAAAAGTTCCTTTTTCTGAGGAAAAGTTTCCTTTTTCTGAGGAAAGGTTCCTTTTTGTGAGGAAAAGTTCCTTTTTATGAGGAAAAAGTTGCTAAAAAGTGAGGGGAAATGCTTTTTTTTTGGGAGGAAGGAGTCTCCTTTTGTGAGGAAAAGTTCCTCTCGTGAGGAAAGAGGCACTTTCGGTCAGGAAAAGTTTCCTTTTGCTGAGGAAAGGTTCATTTTTATGAGGAAAAAGTTGCTTTTTGTGAGGGAAAAAGTCACTAAAAAGTGAGGAAAAAGTTCATTTTGAGAGGAAAAAGTGGCTTTTTGTGAGAAAAAGTCACATTTTGTGGGGAAAATATTCCTTTTTCTGAGGTGAAATGTTCCTTTTTTGCAGAAAAACTCCCACATGAGGAAAAAAGTCAATTTTGTGAGGAAAAGGTTCTTTTTTTCTAGAGAAAAAGTTGCAATTTGTGAGGAAAAAGCCACTCTTGTGAGGAAGAAGTCCCTTTTTTGAAAGAAAATGTCCCTTTTGGGAGAAAAAAGTTCCCTTTCCATGAGAAAAAAATCACTCTTGAGGCAAAAGTCACCTATAAGTGAGGGAAAAGTTCCCAGTTTTGAAGAAAAAGTCCATTTTTGTGAGGAAAAAGTCACAATTTGTGAGAATTTTTATGAAGAAAACATCCCGTTTTGGAAAGAAAAAAATCACTTTTGTGACAAAAACATCACTTAATATGAGGAAAATACCAATTTTGTGAGGGAAAAGTTCCCCCTTGTGAGGAAAAGGTGCTTTTTTTTTCTGTGAAATAAAATGTCCTGATGAAAAGGTCTTTGTGAGTAAAAAGTTACTTTTTGGAGTTACTTTTTGGAGTACTTATTGAAAAGTTGCCTGTGGGGGAAAGAAGTCACTTCTGGGAGAAGAAAAGTTACTTTTTTTAAGGGAAAAGTTACTTTTTGGGGAGTAAAAGTTACTTTTCTGGGACAAAAGACAATTTTTCTGGGGGAAAACAAAGCTATTTTTTTGATGGGGGAGTATTCCTTGCGGGGAAAAATCAACTTTATGGGAGAAAAGACAATATTGGGAGGGGAAAACTTGATTTTTGTGGAGGAAAGTTCCTTTTTTTAACAGGTAAGTTACTTCTTTGGGAGGAGAAAATCAGTTTGGGGGGGACAAAAGACACTTTTTGGGTGATGAAAAGTTGTTTTTTGGGGAAGAAAAGTTGCTTTTTGGGGAGAAAAGATGGAATTTTTTGGAAGGAAAAGCCATTTTTTTGGAGAGTGGCTGCTTTTTAGAGTAAACTTGCTTTTTTTTGGGCGAGGAGTAGCTCTTTGGAGGGGAAATTTCGGGAAGAAAAGTGAATTTTGGAGGGGGAAAAAATCACTTTTTTTTCTGCGGGGAGGTGCTGTTGCTCGGAGAGGGAAGAAATCACATTTCAGCAGGGGGATGAGGTGGATTTTGAAGGCAGAAAAAAGCCAAAAAAAGGGTTTTTTAATGGGAAAGAAGCCTCCCGGCCGCACACAAAGAGCCGGGAGGGACCACCCAGCCTGACAGAAGGGAAAATTAAAATAATAATAAAAAAAAACCTAAAAACCCAACCCCAAAAAACTCCACCCACGCGTTTGCGACAGCTCCGAGAGGCCGGGCCAGGAGCTTCAGCCGCTTTTCCCTCCTCGTTTTGGGGTGCACGGCACGGGGCAGTGGTGCCACCTCTGTGTCACCAAAGCCACCACGGTGTCCCCTACGCTGGCAGCTCCGGCCTTGTGTCTTTATTGTCCAGGAAAGCCAAGGAATGGGCACAGCCTGGCACCAACCACGTTATCCAGGAAAGCCAAGGAATGGGCACAGCCTGGCACCAACCACGTTATCCAGGAAAGCCAAGGAATGGGCACAGCCTGGCACCCCCTATTTTATCCAGGAAAGCCAAGGAATGGGCACAGCCTGGCACCAATCATGTTATCCAGGAAAGCCAAGGAATGGGCACAGCCCGGCACCAATCATGTTATCCAGGAAATCCCAGGAATGGGCACAGCCCTGCACCCCTCATTTTATCCAGGAAATCCCAGGAATGGGCACAGCCTGGCACCAATCATGTTATCCAGGAAAGCCAAGGAATGGGCACAGCCTGGCACCAACCACGTTATCCAGGAAAGCCAAGGAATGGGCACAGCCTGGCACCAACCACGTTATCCAGGAAAGCCAAGGACTGGGCACAGCCCTGCACCCCCTCGGGCCAGCCCTGGTGTGCCCTCAGCTGTGACACCGAGACGGACACCCGGCCATGGTGACAATGTCCCCGGTCCCACAGCCCAGGCTGGGTGAAGGCAGCTCGGTGCACGGACACACACACAGACACACAGACAGACGGACAAACGTCCTTCTCCAGCACACGCGGCGTGGGGAAGCACACCCCAGCGCCAAGCTGGGTGAGCCAGCAGACAGACAGCGATCCTGACAGACGGACAGACAGACAGACAGACAGCGGTTCCCCGGCCTCGCTTCAGCTCAGCCGAGCCCGGCACCGGCTGCCAAAGGCACGGATCTCCTCCACGGCCACCGCGGATCCGCATCCGGCGATGTCCCCGCGGATCCGGGGCTCGGGAATGCCCCCGGGGCTCAGGACCAGGGGTCTGCCCGGTGCTGCTGGTTGTAGAGCTGCAGCTTGATCTGGTCTCGGATCTGGTTGATGAGGAGCCGTGCCAGGACGATGCCCACCAGCTGCAGGGAGGGAAACGAGAGAGGAAGGGAGTGGGGAAAAGGAAAGGGATGGGGAGAGGAAAGGGGGAGATGGAGGAGAGGGAGGGGAAAGGGAAGGCAAAAGGGGAAGGAGAAGGGGGCAGGAAGAAGAAGGGGAGAGGAAGAGGGAGGAGAAAGAGGAAGTGGAACAGTGAAAGAAATGAGAGAGGAGGTGGAAGGGAAGAGAAAGTAAGGGGAGAGAAGGGGAAGAGGGAAGTGGGAGAGGAAGGAGAGAAAAGCGAGAGAAAGGGAGAAGGAGCAAGAGGGATGGGGGAGAGGGAGGAAGAGGAAGGGGGAGAGGGATGTACTGAGCGACACCAGGCAGTGTCACCCCCTGTCCTGACACGTGCGTTACTCCCCCACCCCAAATCCCATCCCAAAAACAGCCACCATTGAGGCAGCTCCCCAGGAAAACCCCACAAAGCAGAGCTTTGGGGGCCCTTGTCCCCCAGCCCCGTACCTGGGGCAGGGCCAGCCCCAGGGTGATGCCACCCAGCAGGAAGAGGTTGCTGTGGGTCCAGTTGACCAGCTTGTCGATGCAGCCGTTGGTGTGGATGAAGGCACTGGCCTCCAGGTAGCCCCTGGCCTGCATCCCGTGGCCACACATGGTGTTGATGACGGCCTGGGAGAGGGGACAGAGCACAGGGGTTGGGGACAGAACACGCTGGGCTCCCTGCTCTTGGGGGGCACCGTGGAGTGACCAGGAGCTCTGGCTCCTGCCCTGGTGGGGTGTCCCTTCCTCGGTGTCCCCATGGCAGCCCTCCAGAGCCATCTGGCCCCAAAGAGCCAATTCCAGCTCTGCAGAGGGAGAACTCCCCCACCTCACCACAGCATTGCCACCCAGGAGTCCCCAAACCCAAAGCATGGGATGGGGGACCCAAACCAGAGTGTGGGATGGGGAACCCAAACCCAGGGTGGGATGGGGGAACCCAACCCCAGAGTGGGATGGGGAACCCAAACCCAGGGTGGGATGGGGGAACCCAACCCCAGAGTGGGATGGGGAACCCAAACCCAGAGTGGGATGGGGGAACCCAAACCCAGAAGGTGGGATGGAGAACCCAAACCCAGAAGGTGGGATGAGGGAACCCAACCCCAGAGAGGGATGGGGAACACAAACCCAGAGTGGGATGGGGAACCCAAACCCAGAGTGGGATGGGGAACCCAACCCCAGAGTGGGATGGGGAACCCAAACCCAGAGTGGGATGGGGAACCCAACCCCAGAGTGGGATGGGGGAACCCAAACCCGGAAAGTGGGATGGGGGAACCCAAACTCAGAGTGGGATGGGGAACTCAAACCCAGAGTGGGATGGGGAACCCAAACCCAGAGTGGGATGGAGAACCCAAACCCAGAGTGGGATGGAGAACCCAAACCCAGAGTGGGATGGGGAACACGAACCCAGAGCGGGATGGGGAACACAAACCCAGAGTGGGATGGGGAACCCAAACCCAGAGCAGGATGTGGAACCCAAACCCAGAATGTGGGATGGGGAACACAACCCCAGAGTGGCATGGGGAACCCAAACCCAGAGTGGGATGGGGGAACCCAAACCCAGAGTGGGATGGGGAACCCAAACCCAGAGTGGGATGGGGGAACCCAAACCCAGAGTGTGGGATGGGGGAACCCAAACCTGGAAAGTGGGATGGGTGAACCCAAACCCAGAGGGTGGGATGGGGAACCCAAAGCAGAATGTGGGATGGGGGAATCCAACACCGGAAAGTGGGATGGGGAACCCAAACCAGAGTGTGGGATGGGGAACCCAAACCCAGAGCGGGATGGGGAACCCAAACCCAGAGTGGGATGTGGAACCCAAACGCAGAGTGGGATGGGGGAACCCAAACCCAGAGTGGGACGGGGAACCCAAACCCAGAGTGGGATGGGGAACCCAAACCCAGAGTGGGACGGGGAACCCAAACCCAGAGTGTGGGATGGGGGAACCCAAACCCAGAGTGGGATGGGGAACCCAAACCCAGAGTGGGATGGGGAACCCAAACCCAGGGTGGGATGTGGAACCCAAACCCAGAGTGGGACGGGGAACCCAAACCCAGAGTGTGGGATGGGGAACCCAAACCCAGAGTGGGATGGGGGAACCCAAACCCAGAGTGGGATGGGGGAACCCAAACCCAGAGTGGGACGGGGAACCCAAACCCAGAGTGTGGGATGGGGGAACCCAAACCCAGAGTGGGATGGGGAACCCAAACCCAGAGTGGGATGGGGGAACCCAAACCCAGAGTGTGGGAGGTGGAACCCAAACACAGAGTGTGGGATGGGGAACCCAAACCCAGATTGGGATGGGGGAACCCAAACCCAGAGTGGGATGGGGAACCAAACCCAGAGTGGGATGGGGAACCCAAACCCAGAGTGGGATGGGGAACCCAAACCCAGAGTGGGATGGGGAACCCAAACCTGGAAAGTGGGACGGGCGAACCCAAACACAGAGTGGGATGGGTGAACCCAAATCCAGAGTGGGATGGGGAACCCAAACCCAGAGCGGGATGGTGAACCCAAACCCAGAGTGGGATGGGGGAACCCAAACCCAGAGTGGGATGGGGAACCCAAACCCAGAGTGGGATGGAGAACCCAAACCCAGAGTGGGATGGGGAACCCAAACCCAGAGCGGGATGGGGAACCCAAACCAGAGCGGATGGGGAACCCAAACCAGAGTGTGGGATGGGGAACCCAAACCCAGAGTGTGGGATGGTGGAACCCAAACCCAGAGCAGGATGGGGAACCCAACCCCAGAGTGGAATGGGGAACCCAAACCCAGAGGGTGGGATGGGGGAACCCAAACCCAGAGTGGAATGGGGGAACCCAACCCCAGAGTGGGATGGGGAACCCAACCCCATAGTGGGATGAGGAACCCAAACCCAGAGTGGGATGGGGAACCCAAACCCAGAGTCGAATGGGGAACCCAAACCCAGAATGTGGGATGGGGAACCCAACCCCAGAGTGGGATGGGGGAACCCAAACCCAGAGTGGGATGGGGGAACCCAAACCAGAGTGTGGGAGGTGGAACCCAAACACAGAGTGTGGGATGGGGAACCCAAACGCAGAGTGGGATGGGGAACCCAAACCCAGAGTGTGGGATGGGGAACCCAAACCCAGAGTGGGATGGGGAACCCAAACCCAGAGTGGGATGGGGAACCCAAACCTGGAAAGTGGGACGGGCGAACCCAAACACAGAGTGGGATGGGTGAACCCAAATCCAGAGTGGGATGGGGAACCCAAACCCAGAGCGGGATGGTGAACCCAAACCCAGAGTGGGATGGGGGAACCCAAACCCAGAATGTGGGATGGGGAACCCAAACCAGAGTGTGGGATGGGGAACCCAAACCCAGAGTGGGATGGGGAACACAAACCCAGAGTGGGGTGGGGAACCCAAACCCAGAGTGTGGGATGGGGAACCCAAACCTGGAAAGTGGGACGGGCGAACCCAAACCCAGAGTGGGATGGGGGAACCCAAACCGGAAAGTGGGATGGAGAACCCAACCCCAGAGTGGGATGGGGAACCCAACCCCAGAGTGGGATGGAGAACCCAAACCAGAGTGTGAGATGGGAACCCAAACCCAGAAAGTGGGATGGGGAACCCAACCCCAGAGGATGGATGAGGAACCCAACCTCAGAGTGGGATGGGGAACCCAAACCAGAGAGTGGGATGGGGAACGCAAGCCTGGAAATTGGGATGGGGGAACCCAAATGCAGAGTGTGGGATGGGAACCCAATACTGGAAAGTGGGATGAGGAACCCAAACCCAGAGCGGGATGGGAACCCAACCCCAGAGTGTGGGATGGTGGAACCCAAACCAGAGTGTGGGATGGGGAACCCAAACCCAGAGTGGGATGGTGGAGTGGGATGGGGGTGGGTGGGATGGGGAACCCAAACCCAGAGGGTGGGATGGGGAACCCAAAGCAGAATGTGGGATGGGGGAATCCAACACCGGAAAGTGGGATGGTGAACCCAACCCCAGAGTGGGATGGGAACCCAAACCCAGAGTGGGATGAGGAACCCAAACCCAGAGTGGGATGGGGAACCCAAACCCAGAGAGTGGGATGGGGGAACCCAAACCCACAATGGGATCGTGGAACCCAAACCCAGAGTGGGATGGGGAACCCAAACCCAGAATGTGGGATGGGGAACCCAACCCCAGAGTGGGATGGGGAACCCAAACCCAGAGTGGAATGGGGAACCCAAACCCAGAGTGGGATGGGCTCCTACGTGTCCATCATCGTGTTCCCTCCCCGTGGGCAGGGCCCCAGGCCCAGCCCAGCCCCCGGGGAAGGGAGGACAGGCCCAGGGCAGGGTCCCCTGAGGCCACCCCGGGGTGACAGACCTGGTTGGCATCATGCAGGCAGCAGGAGAAGGGCACAGAGCAGCGCTCGTGGCTGGGGTTGGTGGCCGTGCAGTTGAAGTACATGTTCTGGGACCAGTCCTTGTAGGAGACGCCCCCACAGCAGCTGAACTGCGGGCAGGGCACGGGGCTCAGCGGGGAGGGGACCCCAGCCCACAGCAGGGGGACAGGACACTCAGGGCTCTTTGTGTGTGACCCCCAGCCCTGCCCAGCCTCCCCCTGCCCGGGCAGCACATCTTGGGAGAGCCATCCAACGTCCCCAGCCTGTGCCACCCCACAGATTTAAGCCTGACACGGACATGGGGACATGTCCTCACACGCTGGAGGGACACCCCGACCCTGCAGACCGCCCGGTCACCTCCTTCTGCCCGAAATCAATGAGGTTCTGCAGGTCCAGGTCATCCCGGTAATGCACGATGGCCCCGTTGATGATCTCGCTGACCTTCCCACGAGCCTGGGGGACAAACGGGGGGACAGCAGCGAGGCTGGCACCCAGCAGGACAGAACTGGGGTCACCCAGCACCCCCAGTGCCCCCCTGCACCGGTACCTCATCAGAGAACACAAAGGCCAGCGCGCCGGCCGCCAGCTGCAGGAGGAAGATGATGGTCAGGCAGATGGAGAACTGCGGGAAGAAGGATGTGACGGTGAGGGGACCACCGAGGTGCCACCAGGGTCCCCACCCCTGGCAGGACTCACCGTCTGCAGCAGGCAGATGTTCTCCCGCAGGGAGCCAACACACCCGCAGAAGGTGATGAGGAAGGTGAGGACGCCCACTATGATGAGGAGGATGGCAGGGTCCACCGCCAGGCACGCCATGGCCGCCTCTGTCACCGTGGGGGTGTTGTCACCAGCACTGCCAGCGCCACCAGGACCCCACATGCCACCCCCCTGGCTGGCAACCAGCAGGGCTGCAGAGCCCCCGAGCTCACCTGCGTGCTTCAGCAGCCGGGCGTACACCCCCACGGCCACCATCAGCATGGAGATCACCTGCAGAGGGACACGGGTGACCCCACAGGTGTCACCACCCCCATGCCACCTGCACACCTCCCCCCGCAGCCCCCCAAAGTCAGGGATGCACCACAGCTGCAGCCGCTGCCTCAGTTTCCCCTTGTCACACGGTGTCCGCTGTGTCCCCTCCTCTTGGGAGGTCACATCTGTCCCCACCTCCCGGGAGGTCACATCTGTCCCCACCTCCCCGCAGGTCACATCTGTCCCCACCTCCCTGCAGGTCACATCTGTCCCCACCTCCCTGGAGGTCACATCTGTCCCCACCTCCCTGCAGGTCACATCTGTCCCTCCTCTTGGGAGGTCACATCTGTCCCCACCTCCCCGCAGGTCACATCTGTCCCCACCTCCCAGGAGGTCACATCTGTCCCCACCTCCCCACAGGTCACATCTGTCCCCACCTCCCCGCAGGTCACATCTGTCCCCACCTCCCTGGAGGTCACATCTGTCCCCACCTCCCCGCAGGTCACATCTGTCCCCACCTCCCCACAGGTCACATCTGTCCCCACCTCCCAGGAGGTCACATCTGTCCCCACCTCCCAGGAGGTCACATCTGTCCCCACCTCCCCACAGGTCACATCTGTCCCCAGCTCCCAGGAGGTCACATCTGTCCCCACCTCCCCAGCCAGTGCTGTTCCTCTTTGGGTGGTTGGACACAGGGACGTGTTTTATGGGAAGTGAGAAACTTCCTCAAAAATAGGGTTGAAAACACGGAAATAACCAACAAAAAAACCCCCCAAAACAACCCTGCAAAAAAAAACCCATCAAAGCATTTAAAAACCCCCAAGCATAAAAAAATCCCAAACCTCCCAAGCGCTGCAAAAGTCTCCAAAACGATTTTAAAAAGTTGCTGAAAGATTAAAAAATACTCAAAATATAAAATGTTAGAAAAAAGCATCAAAAAGGCTCCCAAACACAGAAAACTGTGGCTTCCCTACAGGAGATGTCCTGAGAGCGGGCTGGGGACAAGAGGGGCTTCTGTCCCCCTCTCTGGAGAGTTGTCACCTGTGTGGGGCCAGGGAGGGTCCCGGTGAAGTGGTGGGGACCCAAAGGACCCCAAAACCCCTCGGGGAACGGGGAAACCCCTTCTGTAGGGTCTGAAATGGGGGCTGGGGTTGAGGGACCCAGAGATGCGGGATCCCAAAAGGGATCAGGGATGGCGACATTCCCAAGGGCTAGGGGGTCCCAGAGATGGGGGATCCCAAAAGGGATCAGGGATGGAGACATTCCCAAGGGTTGGGGGTCCCAGAGATGCGGGATCCCAAAAGGGATCAGGGATAGCAACATTTCCAAGGGTTGGGGGTCCCAGAGATGGGGGATCCCAAAAGGGATCAGGGATGGCGACATTCCCAAGGGCTAAGGGGTCCCTGGGAATGGGGGATCCCCGTAGGGATCAGGGATGGCGACATTCCCAAGGGCTAAGGGGTCCCTGGGAATGGGAGAATCCCAAAAGGGATCAGGGATGGAGACATTCCCAAGGCTGGGGGTCCCAGAGATCTGGGATCCCTGTAGGGATCAGGGATGGAGACATTCCCAAGGGTTGGGGGTCCCAGAGATGGGGGATCCCAAAAGGGATCAGGGATGGTGACATTTCCAAGGGCTAAGGGGTCCCAGAGATGGGGGATCCCAAAAGGGATCAGGGATGGTGACATTCCCAAGGCTGGGGGTCTCGGAGATCTGGGATCCCTGTAGGGACCAGGGATGGCGACATTCCAAGGGTTGGGGGTCTCAGAGATGCGGGATCCCAAAAGGAATCAGGGATAGAGACATTCCCAAGGGCTAAGGGGTCCCTGGGAATGGGGGATCCCAAAGGGTTCAGGGATGGCAACATTCCAAGTGCTAAGGGGTCCCTGGAATGGGGATCCCAAAAGGGATCAGGGATGGTGACATTCCCAAGGGTTGGGGGTCCCAGAGATCTGGGATCCCAAAAGGGATCAGGGATGGCGACATTCCCAAGGGTTGGGGGTCCCTGGGAATGGGGGATCCCAAAAGGGATCAGGGATGGAGACATTCCCAAGGGTTGGGGGTCCCAGAGATGGGGGATCCCAAAAGGGATCAGGGATGGCGACATTCCCAAGGCTGGGGGTCTTGGAGATCTGGGATCCCTGTAGGGACCAGGGATGGTGACATTCCCAAGGGTTGAGGACCCAGAGATGCAGGATCCCAAAAGGGATCAGGGATGGAGACATTCCCAAGGGTTGGGGGTCCCTGGGAATGGGGGAATCCCAAAAGGGATAGCGACATTCCCAAGGGTTGGGGGTCGCTGGGGTGCCGGTGGGAATCCCGGTGGGATGGGGGGTCCGGGGGCCTATGGATGCGCATGGTCGTCCCCATGGTGCCGACAGGGATGGGGACACCTCACCGGGCGTGCGTCATGGTCCTTTGGGGAACGGGGATGTCGCGGTGTCCCCCGACACTCACCAGAAGACGGCAGGTTGCAAGAAGCAAGATGCAACGTACTGGACCACACGGGACTGAGCGGAAGGAGAAATCGATCCCCGAGGGGCCGGCGGGGACCGGCCGGCTTGTACTCGCAAAACAAATAAGAAACCGAACGGGGCCGAGCGGGGCCGACAGCCGAAACCGGACCGGCACCCCGCTGATGGCCACTTTCAGCCCCGCCCACCCACCTCCCCCTCCGAATCGCTCATTGGCTGCGCCTCTCCTCCTTCTGCCTTCCTATTGGATAAACCCCCCGTCACTCAGCGCCGCTGGTCCCGCCCCCGCACTGGCCGGCATTTAAAGGGCCAGCGCAACCCCGTGCCTGGAGGGATTATGGCGTTTTATAATTGTGGGTCTCAAATTCGGTCAAAGAAATAAATTGAGAGTTTCTAACCAGCAAAAAGCCTGGGAAAGAGCCGGGAAAAAATGTAAATAATTCTTTATCTCTCTTGTTCTCACATGGTTTATAGTTAAGTTCTATCACTGTGCGTCAAGCGCTCTGCACCAATACTTTGAGTTGTTTTCACTTCAGAACCAATGGATTTGGCCTTATTTTCACTTCAGAACCAATGGATTTGGCCTTATTTTCACTTCAGAACCAATGGATTTGGCCTTATTTTCACTTCAGAACCAATGGATTTGGCCTTATTTTCACCTTAGAACAAATGGATTTGGCCTTATTTTCACTTTAGGACCAATGGATTTGGCCTTATTTTCACTTTAGAACCAATGGATTTGGCCTTATTTTCACTTCAGAACCAATGGATTTGGCCTTATTTTCACTTTAGAACCAATGGATTTGGCCTTATTTTCACTTCAGAACCAATGGATTTGGCCTTATTTTCACTTCAGAACCAATGGATTTGGCCTTATTTTCACTTTAGAACCAATGGATTTGGCCTTATTTTCACTTCAGAACCAATGGATTTGGCCTTATTTTCACTTCAGAACCAATGGATTTGGCCTTTGTGAAGCTCTGTATAAAAGATCCGTGTATTTTGAATAAATATGAGTTTTATTCTCCGCAGCCTTTGCAGTCAGAGTGTTCTCATTCCCGTCCTGCCTTGACAGCGACATCTAATTATGGCAGTAATTAGCCATTAATTTCTGACATTCCTCGGTGGGACGCAGGGACACCGGTGGGGTTCCCATCCCCGAAATGCGGCTGAGTTTCGGACAAAAATCTGCTGAAGTCAACCCTGCAGTGCTGACTCTGCCTCCTCGGTGACCTCTCCACCAAACCGCGTCCATTCCCCTCTGCTGCCAAAACCGGGACACCAGGGAGCAACACCAGGATCCAACCCTCAAATCCCATTTTTGGGATGAATTTTGCCCTATTTTTTGGCCTCGCATTTCAGTTTTCTTGGTTGGTGCAGGCAGAGACAAGAGCTGTCACCTTGTCCCGTCACCGTTTGCTTGGAGGGAGCATCGACTCATAATAATTTAATTTATTATTATTCCATCTTTTATCATTTCTCTCCTAAGCCTGGGCTGGAAATCCCCTGAGAGCAGATGTGGCATGGCCCTTCTGGAGGAACACGAGGGACCAATACCAAAAAACCCCTTTGTGCTTTTAGGGTCACAGGGGTGCCTGTCCCACCACCAGAACAGCCATTTCCTTGGGGTGCTGCTGAGAGAAACCCCCATGACCCCAAAAGTTCCGGCTGTGCACTCATCACGTTTTGTGTTCCTATCCAAAAATTCCAGGTGTGCACCCATCAGGTTTGGGTGTTCCCAAAATTCCAGGTGTGCACCCATCGGGTTTGGGTGTTCCCCAAAATTCCAGGTGTGCAGCCATCAGGTTTGGGTGTTCCCCAAAAATCCCACATGTGCACCCATCAGGTTTGGGGGGGATGGGATCCATAGGATGGGATGGGATGGGATCCACGGGATGGGATGGGATCCATGGGATGGGATCCATGGGATCCATGGGATGGGATCCATGGGATGGGATCCATGGGATGGGATGGGATCTACAGGATGGGATGGGATCCATGGGATGGGAATCAGATGGGATCCATGGAATGGGATGGGACTGGATGGGATCTGTGGGATGGGATGGGATACACAGGATGGGATCCCATCACAACCCATCCCATGGATCCCATCCTATGGATCCCATCCTATGGATCCCATCTCATCCCATGGATCCCATCCCATGGATCCCATCCCATCCCATCCCATGAATCCCATCCCATTCCATGGATCCCATTCCATGGATCCCATTCCATGGATCCCATTCCATGGATCCCATCCCATCCCATGGATCCCATCCCATGGATCCCATCCCGTGGATCCCATTCTATGGATCCCATCCCATGGATCCCATCCCATCCCATCCCATGGATCCCATCCCATGGATCCCATCCCGTGGATCCCATCCCGTGGATCCCATTCTATGGATCCCATCCCATGGATCCCATCCCATCCCATCCCATTCCATGGATCCCATTCCATGGATTCCATCCCATCCCATCCCATTGATCCCATTCCATTGATCCCATCCCATCCCATTGATCCCATCCCACCCCCACACCACAAGGGAACTGGAAATCCCCTCCCCACCCAGAATCCCATCCCCAGTGGACCAGGGGGTCTCCAGCTGCCCCATCCTACAACAACGTCCCCTTTGTGGCCCCAGCACCCCCCTCTGTCCCCCCCAGTACCACCTTTGTTTTACATAAATAAAGTTTAATTTATAAATACATCTTACTTATACAATGTCCCCCCAGCACCCCTCTGTGACCCCAGTACCCCCTTTATCCCCCCCAGCACCCCACTCTGTGCCCCCAGCATCCCTCTGTGCCCCCCCAGCACCCCCTTTATCCCTCCCAGCACCCCACTCTATGCCCCCAGCACCCCTCTGTGCCCCCCCAGCACCCCACTCTGTGACCCCAGCACCCCACTCTGTGACCCCAGCACCCCCTTTATCCCTCCCAGCACCCCCTTTATCCCCCCAGCACCCCTCTGTGCCCCCCCAGCCCCCCACTCTGTGACCCCAGCACCCCACTCTGTGACCCCAGCACCCCCTTTATCCCTCCCAGCACCCCCTTTATCCCCCCCAGCACCCCTCTGTGCCCCCCCAGCACCCCCTTTGTCCCCCCCAGCACCCCCCTTTGTCCCCTTCAGCATCACCTTTATCTCCTTCAGCACCCCCTTTGTGCCCCCAGCACCCCCTTTGTGCCCCCAGCACCCCCTTTTTGCCCCCCAGCACCCCCTTTGTGCCCCCCAGCAGTGGCCCTGGCAGTGGGCACGCATCACCACGCCGATGACCACCACGATGGCCACCATGACGAATGGGGCCACCATGACACAAACACTCATCAGCGTGTCCAGCTTCACATCCTTGGGGACCTCTGTGGGGTGACAACGGCACGTGGGGTCAGCAGCCAGGCCACCCCCCTGCTCCCTGTGCTGTGCCAGGCGTGGGGAACCCCAAAGTGCCCCAGGGGAGCAGCTGGGGACAAGGGACAGACACGCCAGGGACAAGGGACAGACACGCCAGGGACAAGGGACAGACATACCAGGGACAAGGGACAGACACGCCAGGGACAAGGGACAAACACCCCAGGGACAAGGGACAGACACCCCAGGGACAAGGGACATGTCAGGGCATGTGGGGACCCCAAATAGGGCAGGGGGACAGGACAGGGACACCTGAACTGCTCAGGTGGCACAAGGGACAGACACCTCGTGTGGATGTCAAATAGGGCAGGGGGACAGGGCAGGGACACCTGGCACTGCTCAGGTGGCACAAGGGACACGTCAGGGCATGTGGGGACCCCAAATAGGACAGGGAAACAGGGCAGGGACACCTGGCACTGCTCAGGTGGCACAAGGGACACTTCAGGGCATGTGGGGACCCCAAACAGGGCAGGGGGACAGGGCAGGGACACTGGGCACTGCTCAGGTGGCACAAGGGACACGTCAGGGCATGTGGGGACCCCAAATAGGGCAGGGGGACAGGGCAGGGACACCTGGCACTGCTCAGGTGGCACAAGGGACACGTCAGGGCATGTGGGGACCTCAAATAGGACAGGAGAACAGGGCAGGGACACTGGTCACTGCTCAGGTGGCACAAGGGACACGTCAGGGACACCTGGTATCACCAAGATGGTGACTCAGCTGGAGGAGGTGACAGATGAGTCAGGGAATGAGGAGGCTCCAAATTGGGGTGAAAAGTGTTGGGGCACCACCCAGATCGGGACAATGGACAGAGCAGGTGACAGGCACAGCAGGGAATTGGTGACACCCCCAAATTCTGGCACCATGGAGATGGGGACAGGGCTGGGTACGGGGAATGAGAGAGACCCCAAAGGGGACAGTGCCTGTGGTGGGTGCAGCTGAGGGTGGCCCTGCGCAGGTCACCCCAGGGCCGCGGGCCGCAGGGCAGGTAGGCGTCCTCACCGATGGCCGCTGTCACCGTGATGGTGACAGGAGGCTGGTCTGGGAGGGGACACAGCGGGGTCAGTGCGCGGTGACACCAGGGATGGGTACAGCGGGGGAGAGGGGCCACCCCTGGGACAAGGTGGCTCTGCTGGGGCGGGGACAGGGGACATTTGTGGGGACACGCTCGGTGGCAACAGCACTGAGGGCTTGGAGGTGCCAGGACCGAGAGCTCAGAGGTGCCAGGACCGAGGGCTCGGTGATGCCAGGTCCTGGTGCCAGGACTGAGGGCTCAGTGATGCCAGGACCGAGGGCTCAGAGGTGCCAGGTCCTGGTGCCAGCACCGAGGGCTCGGTGATGCCAGCACCGAGGACTTGGTGATGCCAGGACCGAGGGCTTGGAGGTGCCAGGACCGAGGACTCGGAAGTGCCAGCACCGAGGGCTTGGTGATGCCAGCACTGAGTGCTCGGTGATGCCAGGACCGTTGACTCGGTGATGCCAGCCCCGAGGGCTCGGTGATGCCAGGCATCCCCGTGTGAGTCCCAGCGCCCCACCCAGAACGGCTCCACCTCCTTTCTGCCCTCGGGGTCCCCGCCGCGCTCTCGGCGCAGGGAAGATCGGGGTGCGGGGGTTGGGAAGGGGGTCCCCGGGAACTGGGGAGCTCTGCCCGGACCCCCACCCCGCTGCCCGTGGGTACCTGCCCGGGCGAGGAGCGGGCACAGAGCCAAGAGCACCACGACGGGGACCAGCGACATCACGCTGCTGCCACGCGGAGCCGGCAACTCCTGTGGGACCGCACCCTCAGCAGCGGGACACCCCAAAACACTGGGGACACCCCAAAACAGCCCCACATGGCCAGGGAGGGACCCCGGGAGTACCCAACCCTACACCCGGTGTGAGCAAGGGGGGTTATGGGGCTGGGCTGGTATGGGGCAGGGCGTGGGGTGTATGGGGTAGCGGACTGGGAAGTTATGGGGCTGGGCAGTTATGGGGCTGGGCAGTTATGGGGCTGGGGGCTGAGCAGTTATGGGGCTGGGGACTGGGCAGTTATGGGGCTGAGGGCTGGGCAGTTATGGGGCTGGGGACTGGGCACTTATGGGGCTGGGGACTGGGCAGTTATGGGGCTGGGCAGTTATGGGGCTGGGGGCTGGGCTGGTACAGGGCAGGGCGTGGGGTGTATGGGGTAGCAGACTGGGTAGTTATGGGGCTGGGGACTGGGCAGTTATGGGGCTGGGCAGTTATGGGGCTGGGGGCTGAGCAGTTATGGGGCTGGGGACTGGGCAGTTATGGGGCTGGGGGCTGGGCAGTTATGGGGCTGGGGGCTGGGCAGTTATGGGGCTGGGCAGTTATGGGGCTGGGGGTTGGGAAGGGGGCAGGGGTGGGTTTAGGGCAGCGCGGTGGGCAGCGTCCCGCGGTCCCAGGGATGGTCGGAGCCCCGGCCACCCCCGGCCCGACCCGGCTGGGGACAAAGGGACACCCCCGACCCCGGCTGGGGACAAAGGGACACCCCCGGCCACTCACCATGGCGCTCGTTCCTTCCCACTTTACCACGCCCGACTCAGGCCCGGCATGGCCGTGACGCGACCCTGACTTAAGCTCAGCTCAAAGCTCCGCCTAAAGCCCCGCCCAAAGCCCCACCCAAAGCCCCGCCCAAAGCTCCGCCCAAAGCCCCGCCCAAAGCTCCGCTCAAAGCCCCGCCCAAAGCTCCGCTCAAAGCTCCGCCCAAAGCTCCGCCCAAATCCCCGCCCACCGGCTTCGCCTCAGCGATCCTGCCGTGCCCCACTCATAACATTAACATAACATTAACATAACATTAACATAACATTAACATAACATGGCACAGCGGGAGGTGACCCAGGGACAGCAGGAGGTGGCCCGGGGAAAGCGGGAGGTGGCCCAGGGACAGCGGGAGGTGGCCAGGGGACAGCAGGAGGTGGCCCGGGGACAGCAGGAGGTGACCCAGGGACAGCAGGAGGTGGCCTGGGGACAGCGGGAGGTGGCCTGGGGACAGCGGGAGGTGGCCCAGGGACAGCGGGAGGTGGCCAGGGGACAGCGGGAGGTGGCCCGGGGACAGCGGGAGGTGGCCAGGGGACAGCGGGAGGTGGCCCGGGGACAGCGGGAGGTGGCCAGGGGACAGCGGGAGGTGGCCCGGGGACAGCGGGAGGTGACCCTGAGGTGGCCCTGCCCGCAGCACGGGTGGCACCGCACCCTCCTTACGGTCCCCGCCGCCCCAACCGTTCCAAGGTTCCGCCCCTCTGTGACATCAGCCCGGCCTGGTGGCACCGTGGGCACTGCCAGGGCCGTGGGTGGCACCAGAGGTGACAGCTCTGCTCCGCCTCTGCCACCCGCGCTGGCAGCGATGGCTTTGCTGAGACTGCTCGTCCTGCTGGCCCTCGTTGGGTCCGTGTGGGCCACCTGGGACACCTGCAGGTCAGTGCCCGGGGGGCTCGGGGACACTCGGGGGCTGCCCTGGCACAGCCTGGGCACAGAGGAGCCCTCGGGGTCCCTGTCCCCGCTGTCCCCGAGCAGGGCAGTGATGGCTCTGTGCTTCCAGAGGCACCTGTGGGCTCCGGCCCTTGGCGTTCGACCACAGCTCGTTGGTTCGAGACTACGACCCCAAAGATGGCGACTACAGAACTTTGGCACCTTCTGATGGCGCCGCCCTTGACATGGATGGCCCCGGTGTCCCCTCGGGGACGTGGCCGGGCATCGTCAGCGTCCAGGCCACCCGGGAGAACGGCACGTGGCACATGTGCTCGGGGGCACTCATCCACCCCCAGTGGGTGCTGACGGTGGCACAGTGCTTCTTCGGGGCTGGGTAAGGGGGAGCAGGGTCGGGGGTGACCCCACAGCAGGGACAGGGGTGTCCCCACAGCAGGGACAGAGGTGTCCCCACAGCAGGGACAGGGATGTGCCCAGAACAGGGACAGGGATGTCCCCACAGCAGGGACAGGGATGTCCACAGAACAGGCTCAGGGGTGTCCCCACAGTAGGGACAGGGGTGTTCCCACAGGAGAATCAGGGATGTGCCCACAGCACGGATGGGGAAACCCCCCAAACAGGGTCAGGAATGTCCCCCATCATGGTCAGAGATGTCCCCAGAACAGGCTCAGGGGTGTCCCCACAGCAGGGATGGGGCTGTCCCCTCAGGATGATCAGGGGTGTCCCCACAGCAGGGACAGAGGTGTCCCCATAGCAGGATCAGGGGTGTCCCCTCAGGAGGATCAGGGATGTCCCCACAGCAGGGACAGGGCTGTGCCCAGAACAGGCTCAGGGGTGTTCCCACTGTAGGGACAGGGATGTTCCCTCAGCAGGATCAGGGATGTCCCCACAGCACGGATGGGGAAGTCTCCAGAACAGGCTCAGGGGTGTCTTCACAGCAGGAACATGGGTGTCCCCAAAGCAGGATCAGGGGTGTCCCCACTGCAGAAACATGGGTGTCCCCTCAGGAGGATCAGGGATGTCCCCGCAGCACAGCGAGGTGCCCAGAGCAGGAAGGCCATTGTGCTGCCATATTCCTCGGCTCTGTTCCATCAACTCTTCCTCCTTCTCCTGCTCCAGGGACATCTCCAGGTGGGAAGTGGTGATCGGTGCCACGGATCTGGCTCAGCTGGGCCCCGAGGCCGAGGTGCGCCACATCGAGAAGGTCGTGATGCACGAGGCCTACGTGGCGGCCACGGCCAGGAACAACATGGCGCTGCTGGAGCTGGAGCGGCCCGTGGAGTGCAGCGACTACATCCAGCTGGGCTGCGTGCCCGACAGCTCCCTGGCAGTGCCCGAGCTCAGAACCTGCTACATCGCGGGCTGGAGAGCCGCCCCGGACAGCGGTCAGTGCCCGCCCGCGGCCGGGCAGCAGCCGGGCACCGCGGGGCCGGGCCGGGCCGGGCCGAGGCCGAGGCGGCGGGAGCCGGGCCCCGTGTGCCCGGAGCTGCGGGCAGGGACACGGCGGGACGGGGGCACGGCCCGGCCCGGGGCTGGGGCCGTGCCCGGGGAGGTGCCGGCGCTCAGTGCCCCCTGTGCCCGCAGCCCCCGGCCCGCGCCCGCTGCTGCAGGAGGCCAAAGTGCGGCTGATGGACGCCCAAGTGTGCAACAGCAGCCGCTGGTACGGGGGGGCCGTGCAGCCCCAGGAGCTGTGCGCGGGGTACCCGCGGGGCGGCATCGACACCTGCCAGGTGGGGCTGGGCCGGGCTGGGCACAGGGACCCCCTGAGGGACCCCAGGGACCCCCTGAGCCAGCACAGGGACCCTCTGAGGGACCACAGGGACCCTCTGAGCCAGCACAGGGACACAGGGACCCTCTGAGCAGCACAGGGACCCTCTGACCCAGCACAGGGACCCTCTGAGCCTGACTGGGACCCTCTGAGCCACACAGGGACCCCTTTGAGCCGGCACAGGGACCCCCTGAGCCAGCACAGGGACACAGGGACCCCTCTGAGCCTGCACAGGGACCCTCTGAGCCAGCACAGGGACCCCCTGAGGGACCACAGGGACCCTCTGAGGGACCACAGGGACCCTCTGAGCCAGCCCAGGGACCCTCTGAGCCAGCCCAGAGACCCCCTGAGGGACCACAGGGACCCTCTGAGCCAGCACAGGGACCCTCTGAGCCAGCCCAGGGACCCTCTGAGCCAGCCCAGAGACCCCCTGAGGGACCACAGGGACCCTCTGAGCCAGCACAGGGACCCTCTGAGCCAGCCCAGGGACCCTCTGAGCCAGCCCAGGGACCCTCTGAGCCACACAGGGACCCTCTGAGGGACCACAGGGACCCTCTGAGGGACCACAGGGACCCTCTGAGCCAGCACAGGGACCCCTCTGAGCCAGCCCAGGGACACAGGGACCCTCTGAGCCACCACAGGGACACAGGGACCCCCTGAGGGACCACAGGGACCCTCTGAGCCAGCACAGGGACCCTCTGAGCCAGCCCAGGGACCCTCTGAGGGACCACAGGGACCCTCTGAGCCAGCACAGGGACCCTCTGAGCAGCACAGGGACCCTCTGAGCAGCACAGGGACACAGGGACCCTCTGAGCCAGCACAGAGACCCTCTGAGCCAGCCCAGGGACCCCCCTGAGCCAGCACAGGGACCCTCTGAGCCACCCTAGGGACCCCCTGAGCCAGCACAGGGACCCTCTGAGCCAGCACAGGGACCCTCTGAGCTCAGCATGGCCACCCTGTCCTTTATCCCTACTTTACTCCCTTACCCATCCATGGATCCCTGTCCTGTGTCCCAGGGCTGCCACTCCCCATCCGTGGGTCCCTATCCCAGTGTCCCCCTGTCCCCAAAGCTTGTCACTGTGCCCCCAAGCCCCATCCAGTGTCCCCATCACCCCGAGGTGTGGCTGTGACCCCGGCACGGCCCCTGACCCCTCTCTCCTGGCGCAGGGGGACATCGGGGGTCCCCTGGTCTGCAAGGACAACGATGGTGACTACTTCTGGCTGGTGGGACTGGCCAGCTGGGGCAAGGGCTGTGCTGGAGAGAAGCGGCCCGGGGTGTTCACCTCCACCCAGCACTTCCACACCTGGATCCAGGTGCAGATGGGAATGGTGCTGCCGGACACGGAGGCTCCACCGCCCGAGCCGGAGCCACCCACCCCCACCATGGAGGAAGAGCCACCAGAAGAACCTGAAGAAGAACTGGAACCAGAACCAGAACCAGAACCAGAATCAGCCCCCAAACCGGTACCAATACCAGTACCAATACCAGAACCAGAACCAATACCAAAACCAGAAGATGAGGAGGAAGAAGAACCAAGAGCAGAGAAGTTTATAACAATTTCATTCCCCAAATCCATCCTGCTGAGGTTATTCACCAATCTGCAGGAGTTCCTGGACTTCCTGCGGGACAAACTGGATTGAGCAGAGGGGGAGCAGCCCCAGGGCTGGCTGCAGGGGGGCACAGCCATTCCCTGCTGGAGCTGTGCCTGTGCCAAAGCCACCCCCGGTGCCCAGCTCTGCTCTGTCCTGCTCATTGTCCCCCTCCCACCCACCCTGGAGATGAGCTTTGGTTTCTTCTTGAAATAGAGTCGTTCCCAATTATCCTCCTTGTCCTTCCAGTCTTGACGAGGATGGGACAATCTGGGGACAAAAGGGTGGGGTTGGCTCCTGGTTTTGGGGGATGAGCCTGGGTGTAACTGATGGTTCCCCAGCACCTTCTGAGGGACTCCTGGGGTCAAAACTCCCACCCTGAGGGGGTCATCCCTGCTCACAGCCACCAGGAACTCAAGGGTGCAGCAGAACAACCTTCAGGGATTCCAGAAATACCCGAAAACTCACGGGGTTCCATCACCCCTTCGTGAAACTCCTCATCCTGGGGGAGGTTCTGGACATTCCTGCCTGGATTTAGGGGATGTCATCTCAAGGTTTGGGGATTTGGGACACAGCCACCACCACTGGAGAACCTCACAGGGTGTCACTTGTGCCCTGACTTTGTGTTTTAACCCAATTTTTCTGTATTTCCGTGCATTTATTGGATCCTTTGACTCAAATTTCATCTCTGACTTGCAAACCCCCTGAGTGGTGTGTGGGGTTTGTGAGGGGTGAATTCCTCCTGTGGGTTTTGCTCCAAACCAGCCCAGCCTGGAGGTGCCAGAGGGAGAAACTTCTCCAGCCCAGGCTGCCCCAGCAGAGCCTCAGCTGTGCCAGGCCTGGGAAAAGCTCCGGAGAGGGACAGGAGCGGGCACAGCTGGAGGTGCCACCCTGAGCTGCTGCTGCCACCCAGGGCTGTCCCCTCTGCCACCAGCTCGTGTTTCTGACCCTCATCCCGCTGTCCCCGCTGTGCCCTGGGTGCCAGGTGGGATCCCTGGATCTGGGACATGGAACCGCTCCTCTGTGACATCAGCCCGGCCTGGTGGCACCGTGGGCACTGCCAGGGCCGTGGGTGGCACCAGAGGTGACAGCTCTGCTCCGCCTCTGCCACCCGCGCTGGCAGCGATGGCTTTGCTGAGACTGCTCGTCCTGCTGGCCCTCGTTGGGTCCGTGTGGGCCACCTGGGACACCTGCAGGTCAGTGCCCGGGGGGCTCGGGGACACTCGGGGGCTGCCCTGGCACAGCCTGGGCACAGAGGAGCCCCTCGGGGTCCCTGTCCCCGCTGTCCCCGAGCAGGGCAGTGATGGCTCTGTGCTTCCAGAGGCACCTGTGGGCTCTGGCCCATGGTGTTGAACGAGAGCTCCGCCATCCCCGAGTTCGGCTCCTCGCGCTCTGCCAAGGCCACCAGCCTGGATGTCAACGCGGGGGCCTGGCCTGGCATCGCCAGCATCCAGGTCACCCGGGACAACGGCACGTGGCACATGTGCTCGGGGGCACTCGTCAGTCGCCGCTGGGTCCTCACAGCCGCCAGCTGCTTCAGCGGGGCTGGGTAAGGGCAGCGGGGACAGGGGTGTCACCAGAGTGGGGACAGGGATGTCCCCAGAGCGGGGTCAGGAATGTCCCAACAGCAGGGACAGGGGTGTCCTCAGAGCAGGGTCAGGGGTGTCCCCACAGCGGGCTCAGGGGTGTCCCCACAGCAGGGACAGGGGTGTCCCCACAGCAGGGACAGGGGTGTCCCCAGAGCAGGGACAGGGGAGTCACCACTGCAGGGACATGGATGTGCCCACAGGAGGATGAGCGTTGTCCCCACAGCACTATCAGGGATGTCCCCACAGCAGGGACAGGGATGTCCCCATAGCAGGAACAGGGATGTTCCCATAGGAGGATCAGGGTTGTCCCCACAGCAGGGACGGGGATGTCCCCATTAGAGGGACAGGGATGTCCCCACAGGAGGATCAGGGGTATCCCCACAGCAGGGACAGGGATGTCCCCTCAGCAGAGACAGGAATGTCCCCACAGCACAGAACTCTCCTTGGCAGGGTCAGGGGTGTCCCCCATCATGGTCAGGGGTGTCCCCAGCAGGGTCAGGGGTGTCCCCCAGCAGGGCCCAGTATGTTCCCTCAGCAATGTCAGGGATGTCCCCCAGCAATGTCAGAGATGTCCCCAGCAATGTCAGGGATGTCCCCCAGCAATGTCAGGGATGTCCCCAGCAGGGTCAGGAATGTCCCCAGCAGGGTCAGGGATGTCCCCCAGCAATGTCACGGATGTCCCCAACAATGTCAGGGATGTCCCCAGCAGTGTCAGGGACGTCCCCAGCAATGTCAGGGGTGTCCCCCAGCAGGGTCAGGGGTGTCCCACATCATGGTCAGGGATGTCCCCAACAATGTCAGGGATGTCCCCAGCAATGTCAAGGATGTCCCCAGCAATGTCAGAGGTGTCCCCAGCAGTGTCAGGGGTGTCCCCAGCAGGGTCTGGCCCCAGGCCTGCAGCCCCCTGTGCTGCCCCATGGCTGCCTCCCCTCCCTGCTGTGGGAGCAGAGGGCCGGGGCCGCTGGGCCGTGCCAGCGCTGTCCCCGCTCCCTGTCACTCTGCACGGCCCCCAGGGATGTCCTCAAGTGGAAGGTGGTGATCGGGGCCACGGACCTGAGCCAGCCGGGCCCCGGGGCCGCGGAGTTCCAGATCAAGCAGCTCCTGAAGCACCCGGCCTACGTGGCGGCCACGGCGCGGAACAACATGGCGCTGCTGGAGCTGGAGCGGCCCGTGGAGTGCAGCGACTACATCCAGCTGGGCTGCGTGCCCGACAGCTCCCTGGCAGTGCCCGAGCTCAGAACCTGCTACATCGCGGGCTGGAGAGCCGCCCCGGACAGCGGTCAGTGCCCGCCCGCGGCCGGGCAGCAGCCGGGCACCGCGGGGCCGGGCCGGGCCGGGCCGGGCCGAGGCGGCGGGAGCCGGGCCCCGTGTGCCCGGAGCTGCGGGCAGGGACACGGCGGGACGGGGGCACGGCCCGGCCCGGGGCTGGGGCCGTGCCCGGGGAGGTGCCGGCGCTCAGTGCCCCCTGTGCCCGCAGCCCCCGGCCCGCGCCCGCTGCTGCAGGAGGCCAAAGTGCGGCTGATGGACGCCCAAGTGTGCAACAGCAGCCGCTGGTACGGGGGGGCCGTGCAGCCCCAGGAGCTGTGCGCGGGGTACCCGCGGGGCGGCATCGACACCTGCCAGGTGGGGCTGGGCCGGGCTGGGCACAGGGACCCTCTGAGGGACCCCAGGGACCCTCTGAGCCACCACAGGGACCCTCTGAGCCAGCACAGGGACCCTCTGAGCCAGCACAGGGACCCTCTGAGGGACCACAGGGACCCTCTGAGCCAGCACAGGGACCCCTCTGAGCCAGCACAGGGACCCTCTGAGCCAGCCCAGGGACCCTCTGAGCAGCACAGGGACACAGGGACCCCTCTGAGCCAGCACAGGGACCCTCTGAGCCAGCACAGGGACCCCCTGAGCCACCCCAGGGACCCTCTGAGCCAGCACAGGGACCCCCTGAGCCAGCCCAGGGACACAGGGAACCCCTGAACCGGCACAGGGACCCTCTGAGCCAGCCCAGGGACCCTCTGAGCCAGCACAGGGACACAGGGACCCTCTGAGCCAGCACAGGGACCCTCTGAGCCGACACAGGGACCCTCTGAGCCAGCACAGGGACCCTCTGAGCCACCACAGGGACCCCTCCCAACCGGCACAGGGACCCCAAACCCAGCATGGCCCACCCTGTCCTTTATCCCTACTTTACTCCCTTCCCCATCCCTGGATCCCTGTCCCGTGTCCCAGGGCTGCCACTCCCCATCCGTGGGTCCCTATCCCGGTGTCCCCTTGACCCCAAAGCTTGTGACTGTGTCCCCAAACCCCATCCAGTGTCCCCATCACCCCGAGGTGTGGCTGTGACCCCGGCACGGCCCCTGACCCCTCTCTCCTGGCGCAGGGGGACATCGGGGGTCCCCTGGTCTGCAAGGACAACGATGGTGACTACTTCTGGCTGGTGGGACTGGCCAGCTGGGGCAAGGGCTGTGCTGGAGAGAAGCGGCCCGGGGTGTTCACCTCCACCCAGCACTTCCACACCTGGATCCAGGTGCAGATGGGAATGGTGCTGCCGGACACGGAGGCTCCACCGCCCGAGCCAGAACCACCCACCCCCACCATGGAGGAAGAGCCACCAGAAGAACCCGAAGAAGAACTGGAACCAGAACCAGAATCAGCCCCCAAACCGGTACCAATACCGGTACCGATACCAGAACCAGAACCAATACCAAAACCAGAAGATGAGGAGGAAGAAAAACCAGGAACAGAGAAGTTGATAACAATTTCATTCCCCAAATCCATCCTGCTGAGGTTATTCACCAATCTGCAGGAGTTCCTGGAGTTCCTGCGGGACAAACTGGATTGAGCAGAGGGGGAGCAGCCCCAGGGCTGGCTGCAGGGGGGCACAGCCATTCCCTGCTGGAGCTGTGGCTGTGCCAAAGCCACCCCAGTGCCCAGCTCTGCTCTGTCCTGCTCATTGTCCCCCTTCCACCCACCCTGGAGATGAGCTTCGGTTTGTTCTTGAAATAGAGTTGTTCCCAATTATCCTCCTTGTCCTTCCAGTCTTGACAAGGATGGGACAATCTGGGGTAAAAAGGGTGGGGTTGGCTCCTGGTTTGGGGGGATGAGGGGAGGATGAGCCTGGGTGTAACTGATGGTTCCCCAGCACCTTCTGAGGGACTCCTGGGGTCAAAACTCCCACCCTGAGGGGTCATCCCTGCTCACAGGCCACCAGGAACTCAAGGGTGCAGCAGAACAACCTTCAGGGATTCCAGAAATACCCGAAAACTCACAGGGTTCCATCACCCCTTGGTGAAACTCCTCGGCCTTGGGGAGGTTCTGGACATTCCTGCCTGGATTTAGGGGATGTCATCTCAAGGTTTGGGGATTTGGGACACAGCCACCACCACTGGAGAACCAGACCAGCAGGGCCACTTCAACAGCTGGTCCTGACTGTGCCACTCACAGGATGTCTCTTGTGCCCTGACTTTGTGGTTTTAACCCAATTTTTCTGTATTTCTGTGCATTTATTGGATTCTTCGACTCAAATTTCAGCTCTGACTTGCAAACTCCCTGAGTGGTGTGTGGGGTTTGTGTGGGTGAATTCCTCCTGTGGGTTTTGCTCCAAACCAGCCCAGCCTGGAGGTGCCAGAGGGAGAAACTTCTCCAGCCCAGGCTGACCCAGCAGAGCCTCAGCTGTGCCAGGCCCGGGAAAAGCCCCGGAGAGGGACAGGAGCGGGCACAGCTGGAGGTGCCACCCTGAGCCCTGTGGAGGTGCCACCCAGGGCTGTCCCTCTGTCACCAGCTCGTGTTTCTGACCCTCATCCCGCTGTCCCCGCTGTGCCCTGGGTCCCAGTGGGATCCCTGGATCCGGGACATGGAACCGACCCTCTGTGACATCAGCCCGGCCTGGTGGCACCGTGGGCACTGCCAGGGCCGTGGGTGGCACCAGAGGTGACAGCTCTGCTCCGCCTGTGCCACCTGCGCTGGCAGCGATGGCTTTGCTGAGACTGCTCGTCCTGCTGGCCCTCGTTGGGTCCGTGTGGGCCACCTGGGACACCTGCAGGTCAGTGCCCGGGGGGCTCGGGGACACTCGGGGGCTGCCCTGGCACAGCCTGGGCACAGAGGAGCCCCTCGGGGTCCCTGTCCCCGCTGTCCCCGAGCAGGGCAGTGATGGCTCTGTGCTTCCAGAGGCACCTGTGGGCTCTGGCCCATGGTGTTGAACGAGAGCTCCGCCATCCCCGAGTTCGGCTCCTCGCGCTCTGCCAAGGCCACCAGCCTGGATGTCAACGCGGGGGCCTGGCCTGGCATCGCCAGCATCCAGGTCACCCGGGACAACGGCACGTGGCACATGTGCTCGGGGGCACTCGTCAGCCACCGCTGGGTCCTCACGGCCGCCAGCTGCTTCAGCGGGGCTGGGTAAGGGCAGCGGGGACAGGGGTGTCCCTACAGCAGGGTCAGGGGTGTCCCCACAGCTGGGACAGGGGTGTCACCAGAGCACAGACAGGGGTGTCACCACAGCGGGGTCAGGGGTGTCACCACAGCGGGGACAGGGGTGTCACCAGAGAACAGACAGGGGTGTCCCCACAGGGAGGTCAGGGGTGTCCCCACAACATGGTCAGGAATGTCCCCAGAGCAAGGACAAGGATGTGCCCACAAGAGGATCAGGGATGTCCCCACAGCATGGTCAGGAATGTCCCCACAGCAAGGACAAGGATGTACCCACAGGAGGATGAGAGTTGTCCCCACAGCACCATCAGGGATGTCCCCATAGCAGGGACAAGGATGTCCCCATAGCAGGGACAGGGATGTCCCCATAGCAGGGACAGGGATGTCCCCATAGCAGGGACAGGGATGTTCCCATAGGAGTATCAGGGATGTCCCCACACCTGGGACAGGGATGTACCCACAGGAAGATCAGGGTTGTCCCCAAAACAGGGACAGGGATGTCCCCATTAGAGGGACAGGGATGTCCCCACAGGAGGATCAGGGGTGGTCAGTGATGTCCCCATTAGAGGGACAGGGATGTCCCCACAGGAGGATCAGGGGTGGTCAGTGATGTCCCCACAGCAGAGACAGGGATGTTCCCACAACAGGGTCAGGGGTATCCCCACAGCAAGGACAGAGATGTCCCCTCAGCAGAGACAGGAATGTCCCCACAGCACAGAACTCTCCTTGGCAGGGTCAGGGATGTCCCCCATCATGGTCAGGGATGTCCCCAGCAATGTCAGGGATGTCCCTCATCAATGTCAGGGATGTCCCCAGCAATGTCAGGGATGTCCCCCAGCAATGTCAGGGATATCCCCCAGCAGGGTCAGGGATGTGCCCAGCAATGTCAGGGTTGTCCCCCATCAATGTCAGGGATGTCCCCAGCAATGTCAGGGATGTCCCCAGCGGGGTCAGAGATGTCCCCAGCAATGTCAGGGGTGTCCCCCAGCAATGTCAGGGATGTCCCCCAGCAATGTCAGGGGTGTCCCCAGCAATGTCAAGGGTGTCCCCCAGCAGTGTTAGGAGTGTCCCCAGCAATGTCAGGGATGTCCCCAGCAATGTCAGGGGTGTCCCCAGCAATGTCAGGGATGTCCCCAGCAATGTCAGGGGTGTCCCCAGCAATGTCAGGGATGTCCCCAGCAGGGTCAGGAATGTCCCCAGCAATGTCAGGGATGTCCCCCAGCAATGTCAGGGATGTCCCCAGCAATGTCAGGGATATCCCCCATCAATGTCAGAAATGTCCCCCAGCAGGGTCAGGGATGTCCCCCAGCAGGGTCAGGGATGTCCCCAGCAATGTCAGGGGTGTCCCCAGCAATGTCAGGGATGTCCCCCAGCAGAGTCAGGGATGTCCCCCATCATGGTCAGGGATGTCCCTCATCAATGTCAGAGATGTCCCTCAGCAATGTCAGGGATGTCCCCCATCATGGTCAGGGATGTCCCCCAGCAGTGTCAGGGCTGTCCCCCAGCAATGTCAGGGATGTCCCCCAGCAGTGTTAGGAGTGTCCCCAGCAATGTCAGGGATGTCCCCAGCAATGTCAGGGGTGTCCCCAGCAATGTCAGGGATGTCCCCATCAATGTCAGGGATGTCCCCAGCAATGTCAGGGGTGTGCCCATCATGGTCAGGGATGTCCCCAGCAATGTCAGGGATTTCCCCAGCAGGGTCAGGGATGTCCCCAGCAGGGTCAGGGATGTCCCCAGCAATGTCAGGGGTGTCCCCAGCAATGTCAGGGGTGTCCCCAGCAATGTCGGGGATGTCCCCCAGCAGGGTCAGGCCCCAGGCCTGCAGCCCCCTGTGCTGCCCCATGGCCGCCTCCCCTCCCTGCTGTGGGAGCAGAGGGCCGGAGCTGCTGGGCCGTGCCAGCGCTGTCCCCGCTCCCTGTCACTCTGCATGGCCCCCAGGGATGTCCTCAAGTGGAAGGTGGTGATCGGGGCCACGGACCTGAGCCAGCCGGGCCCCGGGGCCGCGGAGTTCCAGATCAAGCAGCTCCTGAAGCACCCGGCCTACGTGGCGGCCACGGCCAGGAACAACATGGCGCTGCTGGAGCTGGAGCGGCCCGTGGAGTGCAGCGACTACATCCAGCTGGGCTGCGTGCCCGACAGCTCCCTGGCAGTGCCCGAGCTCAGAACCTGCTACATCGCGGGCTGGAGAGCCGCCCCGGACAGCGGTCAGTGCCCGCCCGCGGCCGGGCAGCAGCCGGGCACCGCGGGGCCGGGCCGGGCCGGGCCGAGGCCGAGGCGGCGGGAGCCGGGCCCCGTGTGCCCGGAGCTGCGGGCAGGGACACGGCGGGACGGGGGCACGGCCCGGCCCGGGGCTGGGGCCGTGCCCGGGGAGGTGCCGGCGCTCAGTGCCCCCTGTGCCCGCAGCCCCCGGCCCGCGCCCGCTGCTGCAGGAGGCCAAAGTGCGGCTGATGGACGCCCAAGTGTGCAACAGCAGCCGCTGGTACGGGGGGGCCGTGCAGCCCCAGGAGCTGTGCGCGGGGTACCCGCGGGGCGGCATCGACACCTGCCAGGTGGGGCTGGGCCGGGCTGGGCACAGGGACCCTCTGAGGGACCACAGGGACCCTCTGAGCCAGCCCAGGGACCCCTCTGAGGGACCACAGGGACCCTCTGAGGGACCCCAGGGACCCCCTGAGCCAGCCCAGGGACCCTCTGAGCCAGCACAGGGACCCTCTGAGCAGCACAGGGACCCTCTGAGCCAGCACAGGGACCCTCTGAGCCAGCCCAGGGACCCTCTGAGCCAGCACAGGGACCCTCTGAGGGACCACAGGGACCCTCTGAGCCAGCCCAGGGACCCTCTGAGGGACCACAGGGACCCCCTGAGCAGCACAGGGACCCTCTGAACCAGCACAGGGACCCCTCTGAGCAGCACAGGGACCCCTCTGAGCAGCACAGGGACCCTCTGAGCCAGCCCAGGGACACAGGGACCCCTCTGAGCCAGCCCAGGGACCCTCTGAGCCAGCACAGGGACACTGGGACCCCTCTGAGCCAGCACAGGGACCCCTCTGAGCAGCACAGGGACCCTCTGAGCCACCCCAGGGACCCCCTGAGCCAGCACAGGGACACTGGGACCCCTCTGAGCCAGCACAGGGACCCCTCTGAGCAGCACAGGGACCCTCTGAGCCACCCCAGGGACCCCCTGAGCCAGCACAGGGACACTGGGACCCCTCTGAGCCAGCACAGGGACCCTCTGAGCCACCCCAGGGACCCTCTGAGCCAGCACAGGGACCCTCTGAGCCAGCACAGGGACCCTCTGAGCCACCCCAGGGACCCTCTGAGCCAGCACAGGGACCCTCTGAGCCAGCACAGGGACACAGGGACCCTCTGAGCCAGCACAGGGACACTGGGACCCCTCTGAGCCAGCACAGGGACACTGGGACCCCTCTGAGCCAGCACAGGGACACAGGGACCCTCTGAGCCAGCACAGGGACCCTCTGAGCCAGCACAGGGACCCTCTGAGCCAGCACAGGGACCCTCTGAGCCAGCACAGGGACCCTCTGAGCCAGCACAGGGACCCCGAGCCCAGCATGGCCACCCTGTCCTTCATCCCTACTTTACTCCCTTGCCCATCCATGGATCCCTGTCCCGTGTCCCAGGGCTGCCACTCCCCATCCGTGGGTCCCTATCCCAGTGTCCCCTTGTCCCCAAAGCTTGTCACTGCGCCCCCAATCCCCATCCAGTGTCCCCATCACCCCGAGGTGTGGCTGTGACCCCGGCACGGCCCCTGACCCCTCTCTCCTGGCACAGGGGGACATCGGGGGTCCCCTGGTCTGCAAGGACAACGCTGGTGACTACTTCTGGCTGGTGGGACTGGCCAGCTGGGGCAAGGGCTGTGCTGGAGAGAAGCGGCCCGGGGTGTTCACCTCCACCCAGCACTTCCACACCTGGATCCAGGTGCAGATGGGAATGGTGCTGCCGGACACGGAGGCTCCACCGCCCGAGCCGGAGCCACCCACCCCCACCATTGAGGAAGAGCCACCAGAAGAACCCAAAAAAGAACTGGAACCAGAACCAGAGCCAGAATCAGCCCCCAAACCGGTACCAATACCGGTACCGATACCAGAACCAGAACCGATACCAAAACCAGAAAATGAGGAGGAAGAAGAACCAGGAGCAGAGAAGTTGATAACAATTTCATTCCCCAAATCCATCCTGCTGAGGTTATTCACCAATCTGCAGGAGTTCCTGGAGTTCCTGCGGGACAAACTGGATTGAGCAGGAGGGGGAGCAGCCCCAGGGCTGGCTGCAGGGGGGCACAGCCATTCCCTGCTGGAGCTGTGCCTGTGCCAAAGCCACCCTGGAGATGAGCTTCAGTTTCTTCTTGAAATAGAGTTGTTCCCAATTATCCTCGTTGTCAGTCCAGTCTTGACAAGGATGGGACAATCTGGGGAAAAAAGGGTGGGGTTGGCTCCTGGTTTGGGGGGATGAGGGGAGGATGAGCCTGGGTGTAACTGATGGTTCCCCAGCACCTTCTGAGGGATTCCTGGGGGCAAAACTCCCACCCTGAGGGGTCATCCCTGCTCACGGGCCACCAGGAACTCAAGGGTGCAGCAGAACAACCTTCAGGGATTCCAGAAAAACCCGAAAACTCATGGGGTTATATCACCCCTTGGTGAAACTCCTCACTCTGGAGGAGGTTCTGGACATTCCTGCCTGGATTTAGGGGATGTCATCTCAAGGTTTGGGGATTTGGGACACAGCCACCACCACTGGAGAACCAGACCAGCAGGGCCACTTCAACAGCTGGTCCTGCCTGTGCCACTCACAGGGTGTCACTTGTGCCCTGACTTTGTGGTTTTAACCCAATTTTTCTGTATTTTTGTGCATTTATTAGATCCTTTGACTCAAATTTCAGCTCTGATTTGCAAACCCCCTGCGTGGTGTGTGGGGTTTGTGTGGGGTGAATTCCTCCTGTGGGTTTTGCTCCAAACCAGCCCAGCCTGGAGGTGCCAGAGGGAGAAACTTCTCCAGCCCAGACTGCCCCAGCAGAGCCTCAGCTGTGCCAGGCCTGGGAAAAGCCCCGGAGAGGGACAGGAGGGGCACAGCTGGAGCTGCCATCCCGGAGCCCTGTGGAGGTGCCACCCAGGGCTGTCCCCTCTGCCACCAGCTCGTGTCTCTGACCCTCATCCCGCTGTCCCCGCTGTGCCCTGGGTGCCAGTGGGATCCCTGGATCTGGGACATTCCCTCTGCCACTGCCCCCACGCCACCCGAGGCCACCGCGCCCCGCAATGGAACCGCCCCTCTGTGACATCAGCCCGGCCTGGTGGCACCGTGGGCACTGCCAGGGCCGTGGGTGGCACCAGAGGTGACAGCTCTGCTCCGCCTCTGCCACCTGCGCTGGCAGCGATGGCTTTGCTGAGGCTGCTCGTCCTGCTGGCCCTCGTTGGGTCCGTGTGGGCCACCTGGGACACCTGCAGGTCAGTGCCCGGGGGGCTCGGGGACACTCGGGGGCTGCCCTGGCACAGCCTGGGCACAGAGGAGCCACCCGGGGTCCCTGTCCCCGCTGTCCCCGAGCAGGGCAGTGATGGCTCTGTGCTTCCAGAGGCACCTGTGGGCTCTGGCCCATGGTGTTGAACGAGAGCTCCGCCATCCCCGAGTTCGGCTCCTCGCGCTCTGCCAAGGCCACCAGCCTGGATGTCAACGCGGGGGCCTGGCCTGGCATCGCCAGCATCCAGGTCACCCGGGACAACGGCACGTGGCACATGTGCTCGGGGGCACTCGTCAGCCACCGCTGGGTCCTCACGGCCGCCAGCTGCTTCAGCGGGGCTAGGTAAGGGCAGCGGGGACAGGGGTGGCCCCACAGCAGGGACAGGGGTGTCCTCACAGCGGGGTCAGGGGTGTCCCCAGAGAGGGGCCAGGGGTGTCCCCAGAGCAGGGACAGGGGTGTCCCCACAGTGGGGTCAGAGGTGTCCCCATAGCAGGGACACGGGTGCCTCCACAGCGGGGACAGGGATGTCCCCAGAGCAAGGACAAGGATGTGCCCACAGGAGGATGAGGGTTGTCCCCACAGCACCGTCAGGGATGTCCCCATAGCAGGGACAGGGATGTCCCCACAGGAGGATCAGGTGTGGTCAGTGATGTCCCCTCAGCAGAGACAGGAATGTCCCCACAGCACAGAACTCTCCTTGGCAGGGTCAGGGGTGTCCCCCATCATGATCAGGGGTGTCCTCACAGCAGGGACAGGGATGTTCCCCAGCAATGTCAGGGGTGTCCCCCATCATGGTCAGGGATGCCCCCAGCAATGTCAGGGATGTCCCCAGAACGGGGTCAGGGATGTCCGCATCCATGTCAGGGATGTCCCCAGCAGGGCCTGGGATGTTCCCTCAGCAATGTCAGGGATGTCCCTCATCATGGTCAGGGGTGTCCCCCAGCATTGTCAGAGATGTCCCCCAGCAATGTCAGGGGTGTCCCTCATCAATGTCAGGGGTGTCCCCCAGCAATGTCAGGGGTGTCCCTCATCAATGTCAGGGATGTCCCCAGCAATGTCAGGAATGTCCCTCATCAATGTCAGGGGTATCCCCAGCAATGTCAGGGGTGTCCCTCATCAATGTCAGGGATGTCCCCAGCAATGTCAGGAATGTCCCTCATCAATGTCAGGGATGTCCCCAGCAATGTCAGGAATGTCCCTCATCAATGTCAGGGGTATCCCCAGCAATGTCAGGGATGTCCCCATCAATGTCAGGGATGTCCCCATCCGTGTCAGGGATGTCCCCAGCAGGGTCAGGGATGTCCCCAGCAGGGTCAGGGGTGTGCCCCAGAAGGGTCAGGGGTGTCCCCAGCAATGTCAGGGATGTCCCCAGCAGAGTCAGGGATGTCCCCAGCAGGGTCAGGGGTGTCCCCAGCAATGTCAGGGATGTCCCCAGCAGAGTCAGCGATGTCCCCAGAACAGGGTCAGGGATGTCCTCCAGCAATGTCAGGGATGTCCCCACAGCAGGGTCAGGGACGTCCCCCAGCAATGTCAGGGGTGTCCCCAGCAATGTCAGGGATGTCCCCACAGCAGGGCCCAGTATGTTCCCTCAGCAATGTCAGGGATGTCCCCAGCAGAGTCAGGGATGTCCCCCACAATGTCAGGGACGTCCCCCAGCAATGTCCGGGGTGTCCCCAGCAATGTCAGGAGTGTCCCCATCAATGTCAGGGATGTCCCCAGCAGGGTCAGGGGTGTGCCCCAGAAGGGTCAGGGGTGTCCCCAGCAATGTCAGGGATGTCCCCAGCAATGTCAGGGGTGTCCCCAGCAATGTCAGGGGTGTCCCTCAGCAATGTCAGAGATGTCCCTCAGCAATGTCAGAGATGTCCCCAGCAATGTCAGGGATGTCCCCCAGCAATGGCAGGGGTGTCCCCACAGCAGGGCCCAGTATGTTCCCTCAGCAGTGTCAGGGATGTCCCCCATCAATGTCAGGGGTGTCCCCCATCAATGTCAGGGGTGTCCCCAGCAATGTCAGGGGTGTCCCCAGCAGGGTCAGGGGTGCCCCCAGCAGTGTCAGGGATGTCCCCAGCAATGTCAGGGGTGTCCCCAGCAGGGTCAGGGATGTCCCCAGCAATGTCGGGGGTGCCCCCAGCAGTGTCAGGGATGTCCCCAGCAATGTCAGGGATGTCCCCAGCAATGTCAGTGGTGTCCCTCAGCAGTGTCAGGGGTGTCCCCCATCAATGTCAGGGGTGTCCCCAGCAATGTCAGGGATGTCCCCCAGCAGTGTCAGGGGTGTCCCCAGCAGGGCCTGGCTCCAGGCCTGCAGCCCCCTGTGCTGCCCCATGGCCGCCTCCCCTCCCTGCTGTGGGAGCAGAGGGCCGGAGCCGCTGGGCCGTGCCAGCGCTGTCCCCGCTCCCTGTCACTGTGCCCGGCCCCCAGGGATGTCCTCAAGTGGAAGGTGGTGATCGGGGCCACGGACCTGAGCCAGCCGGGCCCCGGGGCCGCGGAGTTCCAGATCAAGCAGCTCCTGAAGCACCCGGCCTACGTGGCGGCCACGGCCAGGAACAACATGGTGCTGCTGGAGCTGGAGCGGCCCGTGGAGTGCAGCGACTACATCCAGCTGGGCTGCGTGCCCGACAGCTCCCTGGCAGTGCCCGAGCTCAGAACCTGCTACATCGCGGGCTGGAGAGCCGCCCCGGACAGCGGTCAGTGCCCGCCCGCGGCCGGGCAGCAGCCGGGCACCGCGGGGCCGGGCCGGGCCGGGCCGAGGCCGAGGCGGCGGGAGCCGGGCCCCGTGTGCCCGGAGCTGCGGGCAGGGACACGGCGGGACGGGGGCACGGCCCGGCCCGGGGCTGGGGCCGTGCCCGGGGAGGTGCCGGCGCTCAGTGCCCCCTGTGCCCGCAGCCCCCGGCCCGCGCCCGCTGCTGCAGGAGGCCAAAGTGCGGCTGATGGACGCCCAAGTGTGCAACAGCAGCCGCTGGTACGGGGGGGCCGTGCAGCCCCAGGAGCTGTGCGCGGGGTACCCGCGGGGCGGCATCGACACCTGCCAGGTGGGGCTGGGCCGGGCTGGGCACAGGGACCCTCTGAGGGACCACAGGGACCCTCTGAGCCAGCACAGGGACCCTCTGAGCCAGCACAGGGACCCCCTGAGCCAGCACAGGGACACAGGGACCCTCTGAGCCAGCACAGGGACACTCTGAGCCAGCACAGGGACCCTCCCACCCAGCACAGGGACCCCGAGCCCATCCCTGCCTTGGCACCCTCTGGGTCTGGCCCGGTGCCCTCCCAGCCCCGTGTCCCCACCACTGACCGATGTCCCATCCCATGTCCCTGTGCTGTCCCATGTCCCCAGTTCCCAGATCCCTCTCCTGGGCCTCTGTGCTGTTTTTCCCTTCCCCTTCCAGCCCTGAATCCCCTCGGGGCCAGCCCAGCCCAGCCACCCCTGTCCCACCCCTGTCACTGCTGTGTCCCCATCCCCATCCCCATGTCCCTGTCCAGGGGCTCCTGTTCCCTGTCCCATCCCTGGATCCCTGTCCCATGTCCCAGGGCTGCCACTCCCCATCTCTGCCTCCCTGTCCCCAAACCCCACCCAGTGTCCCCATCACCCCGAGGTGTGGCTGTGACCCCTGACCCCTCTCTCCCGGCGCAGGGGGACATCGGGGGTCCCCTGGTCTGCAAGGACAAGACCCATGACCACTTCTGGCTGGTGGGACTGGCCAGTTGGGGCAAGGGCTGTGCTGGGGCCAGGAGACCTGGCATCTTCACCTCCACCCAGCACTTCCACTCCTGGATCTGTGCCCACGCCGGCCCCAGCCCCACGGGACCAGCACCAGCACCAAAGGCCACCCTGAACTCGCCAGATCCACCAGAACTGGTGCCAACAAACCCAGAGCCAGGACCTGAGAGCAGCCAGCCAGCCATGGACATTTCCTTCCCAAAGAAGACCCTGACACAATTCCTCAGGAAGCTGCAGAAGGTGTTGGAGCTCCTGAAGAACAGGACAGTGTGAGCAGGAGGGCAGCAGATCCAGTTTTGGCTGCAGAGGATCTCCAGCAGCTCCAGGTGGTTCCTGCCCTGAGCCCACCTCACAGAAACCTCAAATTGATTTAATCCTTGAATTAAAGTTTTGTTGTCTGTGGTGGGGGTTTAAGGATGGAATTCTCCAGTGTGGTGGTTCTGAAACCAAACCCACGTTCCTGCTCCATCCACAAAAGGCAAAGATCAGAGGTTAGAAACAATTTACTGCAAGCAGCCATGAGATTAGGAATCAAACAATTAATTGCAGCAATATTAATTAGAAAATTGTAAGACAAAGCAGTGATTTAGGTGGAAATCCCCTGAGAACACCGTACCACGTTTTATCCTGGAAATAATGCCCTTGGCCATGGGAGTGAGAGGGGACACCAGTGTCACTGCCCTGGACATGTCCCACTCCCAGCTACTGCAAAAAAATGATTCCCGTGGCCAAAATCACACACCCACTATCCACATTTTCAGCCCAGTTCGGTCTCCTGGGAAAAACAAGGGTGGGACAATGTGGGGGAGAAGGGAGGGGTTGGGTCTGGTTTTGGGGGACATGAGGGGGAGACAGGGAAGGGGATCCTGGAACGGGTCAGGATCCTCCTGGAACGGGTCAGGGATCCATGAACTGGTCAGGGATCCTGGAACGGGTCAGGATCCTCCTGGAATGGGTCAGGGATCCTCCTGGAATGGGTCAAGATCCTCCTGGAACGGGTCAGGATCCTCCTGGAATGGGTCAGGCTCCTCCTGGAATGGGTCAGGGATCCTGGAAATGGGTCAGGGATCCTCCTGGAACGGGTCAGGGATCTTGGAACGGGTCAGGGATCCTGGAATGGGTCAGTGAGCCTGGAACGGGTCAGGGAGCCTGGAACGGGTCAGGATCCTCCTGGAATGGGTCAGGCTCCTCCTGGAATGGGTCAGGGATCCTGGAAATGGGTCAGGGATCCTCCTGGAACGGGTCAGGGATCTTGGAACGGGTCAGGGAGCCTGGAACGGGTCAGGATCCTCCTGGAATGGGTCACGGATTCTGGAATGGGTCAGGGATCCTGGAACGGGTCAGGATTGTGGAACAGGTAATGGATCCTGGAAGGGGTCAGGGACCCATCCCAAGGCTCCCCTGGAATTCCCCACACGGATCACCAGGCCCTGTTTTCCCTAATCTCCCCAATCCCACCCCACCCCAGCTCCCCACAAACCCGAGGCTCCCCGAGCCGAGCCGGGTTACGGTGCCGGCCCCTTTGTGGGGTCACCGCGGGGAGCAGCGGCAGCAGGACGGTTTTGGGGTGCAGGCGGGGGCGCAGCAGGGCTGCAGCGAGGGGTCCTGGCCCTTGGCCATCTGGCTGTCCCCGAAGCGCAGGCGCTGCTCCAGCAGGACCTTCTCCAGGGCGATGTCCTTGAGCGCCTGCAGCGCCTCGGGGCCCGGCCCGGCCTGCAGCAGGTCGTAGTTCTCGGCGGGATCGGCCTCCAGGTCGAAGAGCAGCGGGGGCAGGTGTGGGGTCAGCGGGGTCAGCCCGTGGCACGCCGGGTCCGGGGTGGTGTCGCTGTGGAAGGAACCTGAGCCGCCAGCACGGAGATGAGTGTGCAGCGTGCTCACGGAGATCCGCGCAGCACCGAAACACCTCGAAAAATACTCCAAATTCCCCCCCAAAAAACCCCAAATCCCTCCCCAAAAAACTTCAAAACACCCCCGAAAAACCCCAAATCCCTCCCCAAAAAAACCCGCCAAAAACCCCCCAAATAGCCTCCAAAACCCCCCGCAAAAAACCCCCAAATCCCCCCCAAAGAAACTTCAAAACACCCCCCAAAAAAACTCCAACCCCCCCCCAAAAAACCCCAAACCCCCCCCCAAAAAACCCGCCAAAAAAACCCCAAATCCCCCCCAAAGAAACCCGCCAAAAAACCCCCAAATCCCTCCCCAAAAAACCCCAAATCCCTCCCCAAAAAAACCCCAAATTCCCCCAAAACAACCCGCCAAAAAACCCCCAAATCCTACCCCAGAAAAAAACCCCAAATCCCCCCCCCCCAAAAACCCCAAATCCCCCCAAAGAAAACCCCAAATCCCCCCAGAAGAAAACCCCCAAATCGCCCCCAAAAAACCCCAAACCCCCCAAACCCCAAATCCCCCAGCAGCGCCCACCTTGTGTGTAGTAGTGCGCCTTGTACCTGCCCAGGCGGATGGCGAACGGGCCGCGCACCGGGTCCGGGGCCGGAGGGAAGAAGAACACGGAGCGGCGGCGGCTCTGCGGGCACCGGGACAGCGCCGGTGGCACCGGGAGCACCGGGAGCACCGGGAGCACCGGGACAGTGCCGGTGGCACCGGGAGCACCGGGAGAACCGGGAGAACCGGGAGCACCGGGAGCACCGGGAGCACCGGGAGCACCGGGAACACCGGGAGTACCGGGAGCACCGGGAGCACCGGGAGAACCGGGAGCACCGGGAGCACCGGGAGCACCGGGAGCACCGGGACAGCGCCGGTGGCACCGGGAGTACCGGGAGAACCGGGAGCACCGGGAGTACCGGGAGTACCGGGAGCACCGGGACAGCGCCGGTGGCACCGGGAGCTCCGGGAGTACCCGGGAGCACCGGGAGCACCGGGAGCACCGGGAGTACCGGGAGCACCGGGAGTACCGGGAGCACCGGGAGTACCGGGAGCCACAGCAGCACCGGGAGCACCGGGAGCTCCGGTAGACCCGGTAGACCCGTACGATATCCTACTATATTACATTGATTAATATAATATAATATAATATAATATAATATAATATAATATAATATAATATAATATAATATAATATAATATAATATAATATAATATAATATAATATAATATAATATAATATAATATAATATAATATAATATAATATAATATAATATAATATAATAATATAATATAATATAATATAATATAATATAATATAATATAATATAATATCGTACATATATATAACATTATATAACATACTATATTATTATGTTGTATTACATTATAATATTAATTCAATTATCATTTATAATTGATTTAAAATAAACTAATAAAAATCTGCTTTCTGCATGAAAAATCTGGGTTATTATTATAATAATAAATTATTAAATTACAATAGCATACAATATATAATATAATATAACATAATATAATGTAATATAATGTAATGTAATATAATATAATATATTATGCTATATATGTCTATATATAATGGTATGTTATATAATATAAAATATAATATATATTCTAAAATTACGAAATATATTATATATATTATATTATATACGTATTATATTATGCTATATATTGTTATATAATGTTATATATATGTATATATGTGTAATGTTATATTATGTACGTATTATATTATGCTATATATTGTTATATGTTATATATATGTATATATGTGTAATGTTATATTATATTATAAATTCAAATATCATTTATAATTGATCTTAAAGAAACAAATAAAAATCAGCTTTCTGTATGAGAAAATCCGAGGTGTTATTATTATTACTATTACTATTACTATTATTATTACTATTATTATTATTGTTTTATTGTTAGTGTTATTGTTGTTATTATTGTTATTGTTATTGTTATTGTTATTATTGCTATTAACATTATTATTATTATTATTATTATTATTATTATTAGTATTAGTATTAGTATTAGTATTAGTATTATTATTACTATTACTATTATTATCATTATTATCATTATTACCATTACCCAGCTATTCCAATTTACCATTCCCAATGTAAATAAATCAACATAAACAATTCCGAACCCCTCCACCCCACCATGCCCCGTTCCGGTGGCACTCATGGGGCCGGTGCCCAGCAGCAGCGCGCTCAGTTCAAAGCCTTATTATTATTATTATTATTATTATTATTATTATTATTATTATTATTATTATTATTATTATTATTTTGGTATTGTTATTGGTATTGTTATTGGTATTGTTATTATTGTTATTGTTGTTATTGTTGCTATTGTTGTTATTATTGTTATTATTATTATTATTATCATTATTACCATTATCCAGCTATTCCAATTGACCATTCCCAATGTAAATAAACAATTCCCAACCCCCCCATTATTATTATTATTAATCATCATTATTATCATTAATAATAATAATAATGTTGTTATTGTTATTGTTATTGTTATTGTTATTGATATTGGTATTGTTATTGATATTGTTATTGTTGTTGTTGCTATTATTATTGTTATCATTATTATCATTATTATTATCATTAATAATAATAATATTGTTATTGTTATTGTTATTGTTATTGATATTGGTATTGTTATTGATATTGTTATTGTTATTGTTGCTATTATTATTGTTGTTATTGTTATTGTTATTGTTATTGTTATTAATACCATTATTATTATCATTATTACCATTACCCAGCTATTCCAATTGACCATTCCCAATGTAAATAAATCAATGTAAACAATTCCAAACCCCTCCACCCCCCCATGCCCCGTTCCGTTGGCACTCACGGGGCCGGTGCCCAGCAGCAGCGCGCTCAGGTCGAAGCCGCATTATTATTATTATTATTATTATTATTATTGTTATTATTATTATTATTATCATTATTAGCATCATCCAGCTATTCCAATTGACCATTCCCAATGTAAATAAATTAATATAAACAATTCCAAAGCCGGTGGCACTCACGGGGCCGGTGCCCAGCAGCAGCGCGCTCAGGTCGAAGCCATATTATTATTATTATTATTATTATTATTATTATTATTATTATTATTATTATTATTAATACCATTATTATTATCATCATTACCATTACCCAGCTATTCCAATTGACCATTCCCAATGTAAATAAATGAATATAAACAATTCCAAAGCCGTTGGCACTCACGGGGCCGGTGCCCAGCAGCAGCGCGCTCAGGTCGAAGCCGCATTATTATTATTATTATTATTATTATTATTATTATTATTATTATTATTATTATTACCATTACCCAGCCATTCCAATTGACCATTCCCAATGTAAATAAATGAACATAAACAATGCCAAAGCCGGTGGCACTCACGGGGCTGGTGCCCAGCAGCAGCGCGCTCAGGTCGAAGCCACATTATTAATATTATTATCATTATTATTATCATTATTACCATTATCCAGCTATTCCAACTGACCATTCCCAATGTAAATAAATGAATATAAACAATTCCAAAGCCGTTGGCACTCACGGGGCCGGTGCCCAGCAGCAGCGCGCTCAGGTCGAAGCCATATTATTATTAATATTATTATCATTATTATTATCATTATTACCATTACCCAGCTATTCCAATTGACCATTCCCAATGTAAATAAATCGATGTAAACAATTCCCAACCCCAAGGACCCCCCGTTCTGGGGACACTCACGGGGCCGGTGCCCAGCAGCAGCGCGCTCAGGTCGAAGCCGTCCAGGGCCACCTCGGGCAGGGTGGCACCGGCCAGGGCCGCCAGCGTGGGCAGCACGTCCAGCGTGGTGGCCAGCTCGTGGGTCACCCCTGCGGATAGGCACCGCTGGCACGGCTCTGGCATGGGTCTGGCATGGGTCTGGCCTGGGTTTGGCCTGGGTTTGGCCTGGGATTGTTTTGGGTCTGGCCTGGGATTGTTTTGTGTCTGGCCTGGGTTTGTTTTAGGTTTGGCCTGGGTTTGTTCTGGGATTGTTCTGGATTGTTTTGGGATTGTTTTGGGTTTGGCCTGGGTTTGTTCTGGGTGTGTTCTGGGTTTGTTCTGGGATTGTTCTGGGTTTGGCCTGGGTTTGGGCCTGGGTTTGGCCTGGGTCTGGACTGGGTTTGTTTTGGGTTTGTTCTGGGTTTGTCCTGGGTTTGTTCTGGGTTTGTTTTGGGTTTGTTCCCAGTTTGTCCCCGGTTTGTCCTGGGTTTGTCCCAGATCTGTCCCCAGTTTGTCCTGGCTCTGTCTCAGGTGTGTCCCCAGTTTGTTCCCAGTTTGTCCCTGGTTTATCCTGGATTTAGCACTGGTTTGTGCAATGTTTGGCCTTGGTCTGTCCTGGTTTTGTCCCAGGTGTGTCCCCAATTGTCCCATGTTTGTCTCCAGTTTATCCCAGGTCTGTCCCCAGTTTGTCCTGGCTCTGTCCCCAGTCTGTCCCAGCTCTGTCCCCAGTTTGTCCCTGGTCTGTCCTCAGTCTGTCCCGGGTCTGTCCTCAGTCTGTCCCAGCTCTGTCCCCAGTCTGTCCCGGCTCTGTCCCCAGTCTGTCCCGGCTCTGTCCCGGCTCTGTCCCCACTTTGTCCCGGGTCTGGCCCGGTCTGGCCCGGCTCACCTGGCGCGATCCTGCCGGGCCAGTACGCCAGGGCAGGTTCCCTCATGCCGCCCTCGTAGGTGGTGCCTTTGCCACAGCGGAGGTGACCCGAACTGCCACCGCGGGACCTGCGCAGCGTGGAGGGGCTGGGACAGGGACAGGGACACGGGGACATGGGGACAGAGGGACAGAGGGACACAGGGACAGGGACAGGGACAGGGACAGGGACACAGGGACAGGGACAGGGACAGGGGACAGGGACAGGGACACAGGGACAGGGACACAGGGACAGGGACAGGGACAGACAGGGACAGGGACAGGGACAGGGGACAGGGACAGGGACACAGGGACAGGGACACAGGGACAGGGACAGGGACACAGGGACAGGGACACAGGGACAGGGACAGGGACATGGGGACAGGGACAGGGACATGGGGACATGGGGACATGGGGACAGGGGGACACAGGGACAGGGACAGGGACAGGGACAGGGACAGGGACAGGGGACAGGGACACGGGGACAGGGACACAGGGACAGGGACATTTGTGGTGTCACACTGTTGTTCCTAACCCTGGGGGACATTTAGGGGGTGTCACACGCCTGGCACAAACCTTTAGGGGACATTTGGGGGGTGTCACACACCCGACCCAACCCCTGGGGGACATTTGGGGGTGACCCAAACCTCTGGGGACATTTAGGGGGTGTCACATGCCTGGCACAAACCTTTGAGGGACATTTAGGGGGTGTCACACACCCGACCCAACCCCGGGGGCCGTTTCTGTCACACAACACCGAGCTCACACCCCATGTCCCCTCCAGAGCAGAGGCCGGGGATGACACTGGCAGTGCCACCCGATGCCACCCGGTGCCAGCGCCTCACCCGTTGTCAGAGGTGACAAACACCAGCGTGGAGTTCTCCAGGCCGTTGTCCTGCAGGGCCTGCAGCAGCTGTCCCACCGTGCCATCGAACTCGGCCAGCGCGTCCCCGAAGGGTCCCCGGCGCGTGGTGCCCGCGAACTCCCGGCTGGCAAACTGCGGGTAGTGCGTGTGCTGCCGGAGGGACGGGCACGCTGTCAGCCCCGGGCAGAGCCACCAGGAGTGTCCCTTGTCCCCTTTCCCCGGGGATGGCGCAGGGGACAGCTGCAGGGAGCAGCAGCCCCAAGGCACCGTCCCAGTAGGGTCGGCTCTGGATGGGAATGGCAAGGCCGGGGCAGCCAGGAGGAGATTTTGGGGTGCAGAGGGGAGAGGTTTCCCTGTTCTCCCATGGGACTCGGGGTCCTTTGCTTTTTCCCTTCCCTTTTCCCTTCCCTTCCTTTTTTCCCATTTCCCCTTCCCTTCCCTTTTTCCCTTCTCTTTTGACCTCCCCATTCCCTTTTCCCTTCCCTCCCCATCCCCATCCCCATCCCCATTTCCCCATCCCCATCCCCATCCCCATCCCATCCCCATCCCCATCCCCATCCCATCCCCATTCCCATTCCCCATTCCCATTCCCCATTCCCCATTCCCCATTCCCCATTCCCCATTCCCCATTCCCCATTCCCCATTCCCATCCCCATCCCATCCCATGGATCCCATCCCATGGATCCCATCCCATTGATCCCATCCCATCCCATCCCATTGATCCCATCCCATCCCATCCCATGGATCCCATCCCATGGATCCCATCCCATGGATCCCATCACATCCCATCCCATCCCATGTATCCCACCCCATCCCATTGATCCCATCCCATTGATCCCATCCCATCCTATGGATCCCACCCCATGGATCCCATCCCATTGATCCCACCCCATGGATCCCATCCCATGGATCCCATCCCATCCCATGGATCCCATCCCATCCCATGGATCCCATCCCATCCCATGGATCCCATCCCATCCCATCCCATCCCATGGATCCCATCCCATGGATCCCACCCCATGGATCCCATCCCATTGATCCCACCCCAATCCCATCCCATTGATCCCATCCCATCCCATGGATCCCATCCCATCCCATGGATCCCATCCCATGGATCCCATCCCATTGATCCCATTCCATCCCATCCCATCCCATGGATCCCATCCCATGGATCCCATCCCATTGACCCCATCCCATGGATCCCATCCCATGGATCCCATCCCATTGACCCCATCCCATGGATCCCATCCCATGGATCCCATCCCATGGATCCCATCCCATCCCATCCCACCCCATCCCGTCCTGTCCCATTGATCCCATCCCATCCCATGGATCCCATCCCATTGATCCCATCCCATCCCATGGATCCCATCCCATCCCATGGATCCCATCCCACGGACCCCACCCCATCCCATCCCATGGATCCCACCCCACGGATCCCACCCCACGGATCCCACCCCACAGACCCCACCCCACCCCACCCCTCCCCACATGCGAGGCGTAGTAGAGCAGGAAGGGTTGGCGGCGCTGGGCGCAGCGGGCGATGAAGTCGCGGCAGAAGCGGCTGTAGAGCGGGGCCAGCCCCGGCAGGAACGCCGGCTGCTGCACGATGTCGCGGCCCCGCAGCAGCGGCACCGGCACCGCGTCCCGGTCACACGGCCCGAAGCACGCGGTGTCCGGCGGGAAGCACGTCAGGTTCTGGCACGGGCCCTGCCGGGACACCAGATCCGGGTCAGGGTTTGGCTCCGGAGTTGGGTTGGGTTGGAAAATGGGTGGGTTGGGTTGGGTTGGGTTGGGTTGGGTTGGGTTGGGTTGGGTTGGGTTGGGTTGGGATGGGTTGGGTTGGGGTGGGTTGGGTTGGAAAATGGGTTGGGTTGGGATGGGTTGGGATGGGTTGGGTTGGGTTGGGTTGGGTTGGGTTGGGATGGGTTGGGATGGGTTGGGTTGGGTTGGGATGGGTTGGGTTGGGATGGGTTGGGTTGGGTTGGGAAATGGTTGGGTTGGGTTGGAAAATGGTTGGGTTGGGTTGGGTTGGGGTGGGTTGGGTTGGGTTGGAAAATGGTTGGGTTGGGTTGGGTTGGGTTGGGTTGGAAAATGGTTGGGTTGGGTTGGGTTGGGGTGGGTTGGGTTGGTTGGGTTGGGTTGGGTTGGGTTGGGTTGGGTTGGGTTGGGTTGGGTTGGGGTGGGTTGGTTGGGTTGGGTTGGGGTGGGTTGGGTTGGGTTGGGTTGGGCTGGGTTGGGTTGGGTTGGGTTGGAAAATGGTTGGGTTGGGTTAGGTTGGGTTGGGTTGGGGAGCGTGGTGGGTTTTGGCGTGTTAATCATTTGGGGGTTTCATTTGTGTGGTGAATTAAATGATTTATGTGGTATTAGATAATAATATAATATAATATAATATAATATAATATAATATAATATAATATAATATAATATAATATAATATAATATAATATAATATAATATAATATAATATAATATAATATAATATAATATAATATAATATAATATAATATAATATAATATAATATAATATAATATAATATAATATAATATAATATAATATAATATAATATAATGGAATATAATAAAATATAATATAATAAAATATAATATAATATAATATATTCTGTATATTGTATATTATAAAACCCATATAATATATAGTATATATTATTATATATACTATATATACATACTCTATATATAGTGTACATATATACTATATGTAGTCTATATAATACATAGAATATATTATATATTATACATTTTTAAATATTAATTAGAGCTTATATTGAAATATATTAATATATTAAAAATTAATATAAAATATATGAAAGATATAAAATCTTTTTAAAAATAAAATATAATAGTATTATATATATAAAATATATATATAATATAGGTTCTATAATAGATATCATATATTATATAATATTTTTACATATTATATATAATTATCATATATAATATTTATATATTATATACTATATATTATATATTATATATATATAATATATTATATATTATATATTATATATTATATATTATATAATTTCCACATTTTAATAATATTTATAATATTTTATTCACATATACTTCACCTCTAGCATTTTATTCATTTACTTAAATATTAGATATACCTATCCATGTCTAAAATGTCGAAATTTATCCATATTAACCACTAAAAATCCATTAACTGAGTATCCAAATGCCCAGCCCGTGCTGTGTCCCGTCCTTCCACAGGGGCGCCCCTCACCCCGGGGCTGTGCCCGCACCCCAGGTCTGTGCCCCCTCACCTTGGGACTGTCCCCTCACCTTGGGACTGTCCCCTCACCCCGGGACTGTGTCCCCTCACCCCGGGGCTGTCCCCCCGCTCCCCGTTGCTGTGTCCCCGCACCCCGGGGCTGTGTCCCCTCACCCCGGGGCTGTGTCCCCTCACCCCGGGGCTGTCCCCGCACCCCGGGGCTGTGTCCCCTCACCCCGGGGCTGTCCCCTCACCCCGGGGCTGTGTCCCCGCACCCCGGGGCTGTGTCCCCGCACCCCGGGGCTGTCCCCCCTCACCCCGGGGCTGTGTCCCCCCTTACCCCGGGGCTGTCCCCCCTCACCCCGGGGCTGTCCCCGCTCACCCCGGGGCTGTCCCCTCTCACCCCGGGGCTGTCCCCTCACCCCGGGGCTGTGTCCCCTCACCCCGGGGCTGTCCCCCCTCACCCCGGGGCTGTCCCCCCGCCCCCCGGGGCTGTCACCCCTCACCCCGGGGCTGTCCCCCCTCACCCCGGGGCTGTGTCCCCTCTCCCCGGGGCTGTCCCCTCACCCCGGGGCTGTGTCCCCTCACCCCGGGGCTGTCCCCTCACCCCAGGGCTGTCCCCTCACCCCGGGGCTGTGTCCCCCCGCACCCCGGGGCTGTCCCCTCACCCCGGGGCTGTGTCCCCTCACCCCGGGGCTGTGTCCCCTCACCCTGCGGCTCTGCCCCCCTCACCCGGGGCTGTCCCCTCACCCCGGGGCTGTGTCCCCTCACCCCGGGGCTGTCCCCCCCTCACCCCGAGGCTGTGTCCCCTCAGCCCGGGGCTGTCCCCTCACCCCGGGGTTCTGTCCCCTCACCCCGGGGCTGTGTCCCCTCACCCTGCGGCTCTGCCCCCCTCACCCGGGGCTGTCCCCTCACCCCGGGGCTGTGTCCCCTCACCCCGGGGCTGTGTCCCCCCTCACCCCGGGGCTGTGCCCCCTCACCCCGGGCTGTGTCCCCGCACCCCGGGGCTGTCCCCTCACCCCGGGGATGTCCCCTCACCCCAGGGTTCTGTCCCCTCACCCCACGCTCACCTGGTCGTGGGAGTAGGGGATGCCCAGGAACTGATCGAAGCCCTGGTGCAGGGGCAGGAAGGAGCCGTTCCGGCCGTAGCCCAGGTGCCACTTGCCCACCATGGCCGTGGCGTAGCCCCGAGCCTTCAGCAGCTCGGCCACTGTCACCTCGGCCAGCGGCAGTCCCCCCCGGGAGCCCGGCTCGAACACCCCCGGGTAGATCCCCGAGCGCACCGGCAGCCGCCCGGTCAGCAGCGCGGCCCTGCGGGGACAGCGGGACACGGTGACATCGGGGGGATGGCACGGACACCGTGGGGACAGCCCGGACACGACGGGGACAGCGGGACACGGGTGACATCGGGGGGATGGCACGGACACGGCGGGGACAGCACCGCCCGTCCGTCCCGGGACACCGCGGGGACAGTCCGGACACCGAGGGGACAGCCCGGGACACCGGGGGGACACGGGCACGATCGGGGGACAGTCCGGACACCGAGGGGACAGCACCGCCCGTCTGTCCCGGGACACAGCGGGGACATCCCGGGACACCGCGGGGACAGCACCCCCCGTCTGTCCCGGGACACCGCGGGGACAGCACCGCCCGTTTATCCCGGGACACCACGGGGACAGTTCGGACACGGCGGGGACACGGGCACGATCGTGGGACAGCCCGGACACCGCGAGGACAGCACCGCCCGTTTATCCCGGAACACCACGCGTCCATCAGTGCCCGTTTCTCCCTGCTCTCCCGGTCCATCCCTCCCGGTTCCCCCCACTCCATCCCGCCCGTGCCCGGTTCCCGCCGTACCGGGACGGGCTGCACACGGCGGCGCTGCTGTAGAAATCGGTGAAGCGCAGCCCGCGGGCCGCCAGCCGGTCCAGGTGCGGTGTGGCGGACGAGGGGTGCCCGTAGCTGCCCAGATCCCCGAAGCCGAGATCGTCCGCCAGCACCAGCACGAAGTTGGGCCGGTCGGCGGCGGCGGCGGCGGCGGCGCTCCCGGGAGGCACCGGCGGCAGCAGCGGCAGCAGCAGGAGCAGCAGGCAGGGACGGTACCGGCGCTGCGGCCTCATAGCGCTGCCTAGCGGTGTCCCCCCGTGTCCCGGTGCTGTCCCCTCGTGTCCCTGTGCTGTCCCGGTGCTGTCCCGGTGCTGTCCCGGTGCCGTCCCGGGCGGTACCGGCAGTGCCCCAGCCGATCACGTGACAAAGATGGCGGCCAGGCGGCCGCGGGGCATGCTGGGAGTTGTAGTCCCCAGCGGCCGTGCCAGGCACGGGATGGCGCAGCCGGGAATGGGCGTGCCAGGGCGGGATATGGCACAGCACAGCCCGGAATGGCCTCCGGGCAGCTCGGGAATGTCGCCAGGGAGGAGACTCCACCCTGCTCTGTGCTCCGGTCTGCTGCCTGTTGGGTTCTGTCCCTGCCCGTCCCTCTGGTGCCACTCCCGGGACACCCGGGGCAGAACCTGGACACGGCTCCTACACCGCGAGCAGTGTCCTGGCAGCCTCAGAGACACGAGCTGGTGGCAGAGGGGACAGCCCTGGGTGGCAGCAGCAGCTCAGGGTGGCACCTCCAGCTGTGCCCGCTCCTGTCCCTCTCCGGGGCTTTTCCCGGCCCTGGCACAGCTGAGGCTCTGGGCTGGAGAAGTTTCTCCCTCTGGCACCTCCAGATCCATCCTCCCCTTCCCTCGTGTCCCCAAAACCAGGCCCAACCCCTCCCTTCTCCCCCAAATTGTCCCACCTTTGTTTTTCCCAGAACAAACTGGACAAGGCGAGTAACTAGGAACTGCAACAACTTTAATTCAACAACAAAACTGGGTTCACCAGCGGGGTGGGCACAGGGCAGGAATGTGGGCAGGGCACAGCCTGGTCCCAGAGCCACAGGACCCAGCAGGGAAGGATTTCCAGAACTGGATCAGCACATCCTGCTGCTCAGGCTTTTTCTCCCTTCAAGAACTGTACGAGCTCCAGCATCAGGTTGAGGAATTTTCCCAAAATCTGTTGCTGGAATGAACCCCCGGCGTAATCCTCCGAGTTGTTGGGATTTAACTCATCCTCCAAGTCCTCCTGCAGCTCCTTCTCCAAGCTGGGGAAGGACTCGGCTGGAGAAGCATCAGCTTCAGGTTGGAGCAGCCCCATCTGCACCAGGATCCAGGTGTGGAAGTGCTGGGTGGAGGTGAACACCCCAGGCCGCTTGGCCCCAGCACAGCCCTTACCCCAACTGGCCAGTCCCACCAGCCAGAAGTGGTCACGGGTCTTGTCCTTGCAGACCAGGGGACCCCCGATGTCCCCCTGCGCCAGGAGAGAGGGGTCAGGGGTCACAGCCACACCTCGGGGTGATGGGGACACTGGATTTGGGGACAGGGGAGGCAGAGATGGGGAGTGGCAGCACTGGGACACGGGACAGGGATCCAGGGATGGGACAGGGAACAGGAGCCCTGGACAGGGACAGGGACAGGGACAGGGGGATGGGGATGGGGACACAGCAGTGACAGGGGTGGGACAGGGGTGGCCTGGGCTGGGCTGGCCCCGAAGGGATTCAGGGGTGGAAGGGGAAGGGAAAAACAGCACGGAGGCCCAGGAGAGGGATCTGGGAACTGGGGACATGGGACAGGACAGGGACATGGGGATGGGGAAGGGACATCGGTCAGTGGTGGGGACATGGGGCTGGGAGGGCACCGGGCCAGACCCAGAGGGTGCCAAGGCAGGAATGGGCTCGGGGTCCCTGTGCTGGCTCAGAGGAGTCCCTGTGTCCCTGTGCTGCTCAGAGTGTCCCTGTGCTGGCTCAGAGGGTCCCTGTGCTGGCTCAGAGGGTCCCTGTGTCCCTGTGCTGGCTCAGAGGGGTCCCAGGGTCCCTGTGCTGGCTCAGAGGGTCCCTGTGTCCCTGTGCTGGCTCAGAGGGTCCCTGTGCTGGCTCAGGGGGTCTCTGTGCTGGCTCAGGGGGTCCCTAGGGTGGCTCAGAGGGTCCCTGTGCTGGCTCAGGGGGGTCCCTGTGCTGGCTCAGAGGGGTCCCTGTGTCCCTGTGGTGGCTCAGAGGGTCCCTGTGTCCCTGTGCTGTGTCAGAGGGTCCCTGTGTCCCTGGGCTGGCTCAGAGGGTCCCTGTGCTGGCTCAGAGGGGTCCCTGTGTCCCTGTGCTGGCTCAGAGGGTCCCTGTGCTGGCTGGGAGGGGTCCCAGGGTCCCTGTGCTGGCTCAGAGGGTCCCTGTGTCCCTGTGTTGGCTCAGAGGGTCCCTGTGGTGGCTCAGAGGGTCCCTGTGCTGGCTCAGAGGGTCCCTGGGCTGGCTCAGAGGGTCCCTGGGCTGGCTCAGAGGGTCCCTGTGCTGGCTCAGAGGGTCTCTGTGCTGGCTCAGGGGGTCTCTGTGCTGGCTCAGAGGGGTCCCTGTGGTGGCTCAGAGGGTCCCTGTGCTGGCTCAGAGGGTCCCTGTGTCCCTGGGCTGGCTCAGAGGGTCCCTGTGCTGCTCAGAGGGTCCCTGTGCTGGCTCAGAGGGTCCCTGTGCTGGCTCAGGGGGTCCCTGGGGTCCCTCAGAGGGTCCCTGTGCCCAGCCCGGCCCAGCCCCACCTGGCAGGTGTCGATGCCGCCCCGCGGGTACCCCGCGCACAGCTCCTGGGGCTGCACGGCCCCCCCGTACCAGCGGCTGCTGTTGCACACTTGGGCGTCCATCAGCCGCACTTTGGCCTCCTGCAGCAGCGGGCGCGGGCCGGGGGCTGCGGGCACAGGGGGCACTGAGCGCCGGCACCTCCCCGGGCACGGCCCCAGCCCCGGGCCGGGCCGTGCCCCCGTCCCGCCGTGTCCCTGCCCGCAGCTCCGGGCACACGGGGCCCGGCTCCCGCCGCCTCGGCCTCGGCCCGGCCCGGCCCGGCCCCGCGGTGCCCGGCTGCTGCCCGGCCGCGGGCGGGCACTGACCGCTGTCCGGGGCGGCTCTCCAGCCCGCGATGTAGCAGGTTCTGAGCTCGGGCACTGCCAGGGAGCTGTCGGGCACGCAGCCCAGCTGGATGTAGTCGCTGCACTCCACGGGCCGCTCCAGCTCCAGCAGCGCCATGTTGTTCCGCGCCGTGCTGGGGTTGTAATGGCGGTGCACGATGAGGGACTGGATGTGGCGCACCTCGGCCTCGGGGCCCGGCTGGCTCAGATCGGTGGCACCGATCACCACTTCCCACTTGGAGATGTCCCTGAGGAGCGGGAGAAGGGGACAGGGGTGACAGGGAGTGGAGGTGGGGGATGTGGCAGCACAATGGCCTTCCTGCTCTGGGCAGCTCAATGTGCTGTGGGGACAGCCCTGATCCTCCTGAGGGACAGCCCCGTCCCTGCTGTGGGGATATCCTGAGTCTGTTCTGGGGACATCCCTGATCCTGCTGTGGGGACATCTCTGATCCTCCTGAGGGGACATCCCTGATCCTGCTGTGGGGACACCCCTGATCCTCCTGTGGGGACACTCATGTCCCTGCTGTGGGGACACTCATGTCCCTGCTATGGGGACATCCCTGATCCTGCTGTGGGGACATCCCTGATGCTCCTGAGGGAACATCCCTGATCCTGCTGAGGGGACATCTCTGTCCCTGCTGCTGGGACATCCCTGATCCTCCTGAGGGGACATCTGTCCTTGCTGTGGGGATACCCCTGACCCTGTTGTGGGAGCATCCCTGTCTCTGCTGTGGGGACATCACTGACCACCCCTGATCCTCCTGTGGGGACATCCCTGTCCCTGTTGTGGGAACATCCCTGATCCTCCTGAGGGGACATTCCTGATCCTCCTGAGGGGACACTCATGTCTCTGCTGTGGGGACACCCCTGATCCTGCTGTGGGGACACCTCTGTCTCTGCTGTGGGGACATCCCTGACCCTGTTCTGGACACTTCCCCATCCATGCTGTTGGGACATCCCGGATCCTCCTGAGGGGACACCCATGTCCCTGCTGTGGGGACGTCCCTGATCCTCCTATGGGAACATCCCTGACGGTGCTGTGGGGACATCCCTGATCCTCCTGAGGGACAGCCATGTCCCTGCTGTGGGGACATCCCTGTCCCTGCTGTGGGGACACCCCTGTCCCTGTTCTGGGGACATCCCTGTCCCTGCTGTGGGGACAGCCCTGTCCCTGCTGTGGGGACACCCCCGACCCTGCTCCCCCTTACCCAGCCCCGAAGAAGCACTGTGCCACCGTCAGCACCCACTGGGGGTGGATGAGTGCCCCCGAGCACATGTGCCACGTGCCGTTCTCCCGGGTGGCCTGGACGCTGACGATGCCAGGCCATGCCCCCGGCTGGATCCCGGTGCCACCCTTGTCCTGGGAGGAACCGTGGGAAGAATCCAAAATTTCGTAATCTTTGTCCTGGGAGTACTCAGCAGGCGCAGAGCTGCGGTCGAAGGCCATGGGCCGGAGCCCACAGGTGCCTCTGGAAGCACAGAGCCATCACTGCCCTGCTCGGGGACAGCGGGGACAGGGACCCCGAGGGGCTCCTCTGTGCCCAGGCTGTGCCAGGGCAGCCCCCGAGTGTCCCCGAGCCCCCCGGGCACTGACCTGCAGGTGTCCCAGGTGGCCCACACGGACCCAACGAGGGCCAGCAGGACGAGCAGCCTCAGCAAAGCCATCGCTGCCAGCGCGGGTGGCAGAGGCGGAGCAGAGCTGTCACCTCTGGTGCCACCCACGGCCCTGGCAGTGCCCACGGTGCCACCAGGCCGGGCTGATGTCACAGAGGGTCGGTTCCATGTGCGGGGAGGGGCAGCTCGGTGTCACAGAGCGGAATGTGGAACGGTCTGGGGGCAGCGCCCCGGAGCACCAGCATGGGACTGGTCAGACCCGCCAGGCACCGGGCTGGGCACGAGCAGCCGGAGCAGCCCTGGGAGAAGGATTTGGGGGTGCTGGGGGTGAGAGCTGGACCTGACCCAGCCCAGACCCCCCCAGCCCCGGGCTGAGCCCAGTGGGCAGCAGGGGAGGGGGATCCTGCCCTTGTGCCCAGGTGAGAGCCACCTGCAGGGCTGCCCCAGCCTGGGCACACAGCAGCAGCACCTGGAGCTGCTGCAGAGCCCAGAGGAGGCCCCGGAGCTGCTGCAGGGCTGGAGCCCCTCAGATCCCAGGAATCCAGGCTGGGAGAGCTGGAGGGGCTCACCTGGAGAGGAGAAGGATCCAGGGAGAGCTCAGAGCCCCTGGCAGGGCCTGGAGGGGCTCCAGGAGAGCTGCAGAGGGACTGGGGACAAGGGACAGAGGGACAGGACACAGGGAATGGCTCCCACTGCCAGAGGGCAGCCATGGGTGGGAGATTGGGAATGAGGAATTCCTGGCTGGGCTGGGATTGCCTGAGCAGCTGGGGCTGCCCCTGGATCCCTGGAATGCCCAAGGAAATGTTGGATACTGCGGCTGGAGCAGCCTGGGACAGTGGGAGGTGTCCCTGCCCAAGGCAGAATTCAGAACCAGAAGACAGAATGTTAATTAATGAAAGAGGTTTTTCTGTCATTTAGAAGCAATGAACTCTCGTTGCTTTGTCACCTCAGGACGCACAAATGGGTGACAGTTTGTCCCGGGCTCTCTGTGCAGCCCCCGGCCAAGGACAGAGCCGGGCCGGGCTGACGGACCCTGAAACGGTTCGAGTCCCGCTACTCCCGCGGCTCCGGGAGATTCCGGCCACGCCGGGGGACGGGGGGCACGGGGAGGGACACGGGGAACACGGGGGGACACGAGGGGACACGGGGGGGGACACGGGGAACACGGGGGGACACGAGGGGACACACGGAGGCATGGAGGGCCACCCGGCTGTCACCACCCTGCGGGGCCGGGCCGAAGGCCACGCCCCAGCCCTGACCACGCCCACACCAGTGACCACGCCCCTTGGGGACACGGCTGTCCCCCGGCGCTCAGGCCACGCCCCCACCGGCCCCGGCCACGCCCACAAACCGCCCCCGGTAACGGGCCCGTTTGCCCCGCCCCCTTTCCGGCTTCCGGCGGAAGTGGCGGCGCGGCGGAACCGGCCGGGGGTGAGGGGGGCCCGGGACACCGGAGGGTGAGAATGGGGGTACCGGGGGGTGAGGGCTACCGGGCGGTGAGGGCTGCGAGTACCGGGGGGTGAAGGCTGCGGGTACCGGGCGGTGAGGGCTGCGGGTACCGGGGGCTGAGGGCTGCGGGTACCGGGGGATGAGGATGGCGGGTACCGGGGAGTCCGGAGGGATCAGGGCGGGAGGCAGGATGGTCCCGGGGGGCTGACGGTGAGGGGCCCGGGTGGTGTCCGGGGGGTCAGGATGGGGGTCCTGGGGGGTCAGGATGGGGGTCCTGGAGGGGAATTCAGAGGGGTGTCCTGGGGGTCAGGATGGGGGTCTCGAGGGGGTCAGGATGGGGGTCCTGGAGGGAATTTGGGGGGCTGTCCTGGGGGTCAGGATGGGGGTCTCGAGGGGGTCAGGGTGGGAGCCCTGGGCTGGCCAGGATGTGCGTCCTGTGGGGTTCAGGGTGGTGGTCCTGGGCAGGCAATGGTCAGGGGGGTCTCTGGGGTCTCTGCTGCCCCTTTGGTGTCCTGCTGGGCCCAGGGCGATGCTCCTGCCCGTCCCAAAGGTGCCTTTTCTCCTTCCCCCGCTTCCCCCCAGATCCCCCCCGCCATGGAGAAGTTCGGGATGAACTTCGGGGGCGGCCCCAGCAGGAAGGAGCTGCTGGAGACCATCGAGACGCAGAAGCAGCAGCTCCTGCGCTTCCAGGCGCGCCTCAAGGACGTGGTGCAGGCCTACAAGAGCCTGCTGAAGGAGAAGGAGGCGCTGGAGGCCAGCCTGAAGGTGCTCTCCGCGTCCCACGACGGGGACCTCGCGGTGCCCGGGGCCGGGGACTCCCCGGATGACCGGAGCTCGGAGCAGAGCGAGGACAGCGCGGGGACGGCCGCCGGGGGGGACGAGGAGGACAGACCCGCGGGGCAGAGAGCCGAGGAGCCGAGCGGCGCGGAGGGCTCGGAGCCGGGCCCGAAGCAGCAGCTGAAGGCGCAGCTGGCCACGCTGACGGGCGCGCTGGCCACGGTGACGCGGGAGAAGTCGCGCATGGAGGCGTCCTACCAGGCGGAGCGGCGGCAGATGAAGCAGGAGCTGGAGGAGCTGGCGGGGCGGGCGCGGGACGAGGCGCAGCGGAGGGACGCGGAGCTGCGGCGGCTGCGGGAGCTGCTGGCCGAGACCCGCGCCAGCCTGGCCGCGCAGCAGCGCGAGCGCGAGAGCGAGCAGGCCGACCACGGGCTGATGCTGCGCGAGCTGCAGGAGCTGCTGCGCGCCGAGCGCCAGCTCCGTGAGTCTGGCAGCGCCGAGAGAGCCCCGGGCCGCGAGCAGCATGCCCGGCAGCCGGGCCCGGAGCCGCAGGAGCTGCAGGAGCTGCAGGAGGAGAGCGGGAAGGCGGACCCACGGATCCAGGAGCTGCAGGAGGAGATGGCCGCCCTCAGGAACCACTTCCAGCTGCAGCTGGTGCAGGAGATGAAGAAGGTGATTGCTGGCTGGGAGTGAGGGTGGTGGCCAGGAGCTGGGGTGAGGTTTGGGGCTGCAGGAGCCAAATCCCCTCTCCCAGTCTCGGCTCAGATTGATGGGATGGCAATCCTGGGGAACAACTCTCTGTGGGATGTATCCAGGGAGTGGGGCTGGAGTCAGATTCCCCTTCCCAATCCCTCAGATTCCAGGAGGTTCAAAATAAATGGCACAGGGTGCCCAGAGCAGCTGGGGCTGCCCCTGGCTCCCTGGCAGTGCCCAGGGCCAGGCTGGACACTGGGGCTGGAGCAGCCTGGGACAGTGGGAGGTGTCCCTGCCGTGGCAGTCCTGGAGGGGCTCTGAGGTCCCTTCCCACCTAACCATTCCGGGATTCCAAGCACAAAGCCCTGAAAAGCCAGGGCAGGGAGGTGCCTCAGGCAGGGCTCCTGGGGTGGGGAGGGCCCCGTGTTGTTTTGGAGCAGAGGAGGGGCCCCGTGTGACCCCAGGTGAGTCCCCACATGTCCCCATGTGCCCTGACCCCGCCGTGTCCCCGTGCAGACAGCCCAGGCCGAGGAGCAGCTGCGGCAGCGCTCGCAGCAGGAGGAGCGGCGCGTGGCCGAGCTGGAGGCCCAGGTGTCCCAGGTGTCCGAGCTGCTGGGCACCTACGAGAAGGCCAAGCAGAGGGACCAGGGCACCATCCAGAGGCTCAAGGAGCGCATCGTGCAGCTGGACCTGGAGAACAAGACCTTGGCCATCGCCGCCTCCAGCCGCTCCCCGGGCGAGCTCGCCGTGGAGGAGGCCACCCTGGACGTGAGCGCGCTCAAGGAGAAGATGGAGAAGCTGCAGAAGCTCCTGCGGGCGGCGGCCGGGAAGGGCCCGGCGGGGCCGGAGGCGGAGGAGCCGCGGGAGCCGGAGCAGCCCCCGGGCGGCAACGGGGACAAGGCCGCGGGCGGGCACTGCCAGCAGGAGCTGAGGCAGCTCAAGGAGGAGTTTGAGCGCTACAAGGTGAGGGCGCAGCAGGTGCTGAAGAGCAAGGCCACCAAGGACACGGGCCTGGCCAAGGAGCTGGAGGAGGCGCGGGAGCAGCTGGCGGAGCTGCAGGACAAGCACGTGCTGCTGCAGCTGGCCGCGGACGAGGCGGAGAAGCAGCACCGGCAGGAGCTGGAGGCCAAGCAGCAGGAGCTGTCCCAGCTGCAGCAGCGGCACCGGCAGGAGCTGCAGCGCTGCCAGCTGCAGTTCCGGGAGCGGGCGCTGCGCCTGGAGGAGGAGATGCACAAGCAGCGGGACCGGGCGCTGGCCGTGCTGGCCGAGAAGGACCGCGAGCTGGAGCAGCTCCGCGCCCCGGCGCTGCCCCACGGCCCCAAGGGCTGCCCCACAGACGCTCCCGGGGACGCTCCCGGCCAGGACTCCTCGGAGATCCTGCCGCAGGCGCTGCAGCTGTGCCCCGGCTCCGAGCCCACCTTCTTCCTGTACGCCGAGCAGCTGGCGCGCAAGGAGGTGGAGATCGCGGCGCTGCGCAAGCACAAGCACCGGCTGGAGCTGCAGCTGCACCAGCTCCGGGGCCGCGCCCTGGCCGAGGAGGACAGGCACCGCGAGGAGGTGGCGGCGCTGCGGGACGAGATCCAGAAGAGCTGCCGGGATAAGAGCAGGGAAGGGGCCAACCTGGAGTACCTGAAGAACGTGGTGTACCGGTTCCTGACGCTGCCGGACGCGCGGGGCCGGCAGCAGACGCTCACGGCCATCCTGGCCGTCCTGCACTTCAGCCCCGAGGAGAAGCTGAGCATCGCCAAGAGCTCGGCCCACGGCTCCTGGTGGCTCCACGGGAAGAGATGAGGGGTGCATTTTATTCCCTTTTCCAAAAGGGCTCCTTCCCGAGGACTGACCAAAACCTCATCCCAACCACGCCTGAGTCTCCCCAGGATTTGGGCTCCATTTGGTTTTTTTGGCACTAATTTGCAGTGGGGCTGTGCCAGCTTTTCCAGCCCCAAAGCCTCCGTGGTGGGAATGTGCTCCGAGTTGGGACTTGATCTGAAAACTGTGGAATTGAGGACGCTGAGGTTTTCTAAAGATGATTTAAAAACAATCCCTACCTGCCAGGCGTGGCATCAAGTGGAGTTTGCTTGGATCTTCAAGCTCCAGCCAGGCTGGTGACTCAGGAGATGAAAGGGAAGGTGGGAAGCACTTTAGGTGGAGCTAAAATAGCAGCAGGCCGGGAAGGCTCAGGCAGACGGGGCTCAGTGCAGGAAATCGGGCATTTCCCTCTAAGGTTCTTTTCCAGAGCCTCATTCAACCAGTGGATGCGGCTCCAGGCTCATCCAGGGGCTCGGGCTCTCCTTCCTTCCCAGGGATCCTCCCTGGGTTATCAGGGATTCTAGGAAGGAGAAAGGATCTCCCTGTGGGTGATTCCCATCCTGAGGGTGCTGTTTTCCTGCCCCGCATTTGGAATTGAATCCTGGCTGCTAAAGCTCGGCCCAGAGACAGGGATGGGTCTGGATTAACACCCAAGGGGTCTTGGAGCCGAGTCAAGAGCAGGTCTGGGAGCAGCTCGTGGTGCTGCACTGCCCAGAGAGCCTTGGGAAGGGTCAGCCACTCCTGGCACTGCCAGGGACCAGGACAGGGACGTGGAATTTCTCTCCTTCCCTCCTTGTCTGTCCTGGTCCTGTCAGCAGCCAAACTCCCTGGATTCTGCTCTGGCCAGCGCTGCCCTCGGTGCCAATTTCTCCTCAATAAAATCCTCAGGGAAAACGTGCCTGGGACAGGGCAGAGCCTGTCCCTGCTGGGAGGGGGACACAGTTGGGGGATGTTCCCTGCTGCAGGGACGCTCCCACGGGAGCAGCAGGACCCAGGTGCTGCCCTGAGGGGAGAGTTTGTCCCAGGAATGCTTGAAACGCTGCTGAAGGACCAAAGTGCTGGCTCAGCCAGGGGAGAGCCCAGTTCCTGCTCCCAGTGTGGAAGTGCTGAATCAAGGGGTGCCTCTGGAGTGGCAGGGATGGCTCCAACGCTTTCCCTGGAGCCATTCCCACAATTTCAGAGGGAGGTGGAGCCTCTTCCTGCTGTGGCTTCGCTGCTCAGGCTGAGGGGATGGATCCCTGTTCTCCCTCTGCTCCCGCAGGATGGAGTGCCCTGGAATGGATCCCAGGGGTGGTGGGGACCCAGCTGGGAGCAGGGGGACAAGGTGGGACCCAGATCCATCCCGGTGCCCTCTGTCTGTTCCTGGCAGAGGGGGAGCATCTCCAGCAGTGCCCAGCTCCGTGTCACTGTCACCCTCCTGCAGCTCCCAGTGCCATTTCTTCCTCTGCTCCCCTCCAGCCCCTCTCCCTCCTGCTCCTTCCTTCCCTCAGGCCCTCCCCCACATTCCTCCCTCCCTCTTCCCTCTCTCCCTTCAGCCACTATCCCTGAAATAAAGGTAAAATGCCTCTCTGTGGGAACTCTGGTGCTCCTGGGGGTGGGATGGGCATTGCTTGGGGATTCTTGGTGGATGTTGGAACATCCTTGGGTTAAAATTATCACAAAATTGTTAAATCACTTGATTTCCTGAGGTTCCTGGCAGTGTGAGAACGGGAATGGTTCATTCCTGCACCCGCAGTCGTGGTGTGGCAGCTGAGTGGATGCACAGGAGTCTGGCACTGAGAATCCCAGGCTGGGCTGGGTGGGAAGGGACCCCAAAGCCCCTCCAGTGCCACCCCTGCCATGGCAGGGACACCTCCCACTGTCCCAGGCTGCTCCAGCCCCAGTGTCCAGCCTGGCCTTGGACATTTCAGGGATCCAGGGGCAGCCCCAGCTGCTCTGGCAATCCCAGCCCAGCCAGGAATTCCTCATTCCCAATCTCCCATCCATCCCTCTGGCAGTGGGAGCCATTCCCTGTGTCCTGTCCCTCTGTCCCTTGTCCCCAGTCCCTCTGCAGCTCTCCTGGAGCCCCTTCAGGGCCTGGAATGAGCTGGAAGCTCTCCCTGGATCCTTCTCCTCTCCAGGCTGGGCATTCCCAGCTCTCCCAGCCTGGATCCCTGGGATCTGAGGGGCTCTGAGTGCAGCTCTGTGCACTCCTCTGGGCTCTGCAGCAGCACCAGGAGCTCCCGGCTGCTCTCCCAGCGCTGTTCCCTCATTCCCGGAGTGCCCAGGGGCACCCGGGCGCTCCTTTGGGCTCTCCCACGCCGGAGGCTGATCCCTGCCCGTTCCCGGGGCTGGCACGGCGCCGCCTGGGAAGCTCCAGCTGCTCCTGGGAAGCTCCAGCCGCTCCTCTGGGAAGCTCCAGCCGCTCCTCTGGGAAGCTCCAGCCGCTCCTCTGGGAAGCTCCAGCCGCTCTGGGAAGCTCCAGCCGCCCCGGCCGGGCAGGTTCCTCCGGCTGCGCCGAGCCCGTGTCCCGCCGCCGGGCGTGGAGCGAGTCCGGGCGGCGGCGGCGGCGGGAGCCGCTTCCAGCTTCCCTCCGTCCGTCCCGGGAAGCGCCGGGAAGGCTCCGAAGGAGCCATGGCCGGAGCGCAGGAGCCGCCCGCGGCTCTCTCGGACATCCAGGTACGTGCGGGGCGCTCCGGCGGGCCGGGAGCGGTCGGGTGAGCGCTGCGGTCCCGTTCCGACAAATCCTCCCCGAGGGAGCTGCCCCCGGTCACCGGGCACCGGCCCAGGGTGGCACGGCCACCGGCAAGGAAGGGCAGGGCTTCCGCTGCGGCTCTTCCCCGGCTCCTGCCCCGCTGCTCCCGGCGCTCCCGACCCGGGATCCGCTCCGGTTCCTCGGCGCCGTCGGGAGCCGCTCCCAGCGCGGCCGCGGGCGGGACGCGGCTTCTCGGCGCTCCCCAGCCCCGGTGAGGGGAACTCAGCAGGAGATCCCAGCGGGAAAACTCGGGGGAAAGGAGCAGGGAAGCCCCGCCACATGCATCCACCGCCGCGGGGCTGCTGAGCCGCCCCCGGCCCCTCCGCTCCCCGGGAAGCGCCTTTGCCCGGCCAGGGGTGGCCGAGGGACACGGTCCGGCCGTGCCCAGGGTCCCACATCCACCTCCCGTGGGGTTCGGGCCGGCCCCGCTCCCCCCGTGCCTCCCGCAGGTCCTGGTGCTGACCGGCGTCACCCTCCCGGCCGCGCTGCTCAGGTGGGTCCTGTCCCCTGTCCCTGTCCCTGGGCTGGCACCGCGGGTGGCAGCGGCTCTGCCGGGACGTTCATCGCCCGCCCCGTCCCCTGCAGCCTCCTGGGCAGCGGATCCGTCCTCGCTGTCACCTCCTGGCAGGGGCGCTGCTGCCACATCCAGGTGAGTGTCACCGGCCCGTGGCAGTGTCACTGCTGCCACATCCAGGTGAGTGCCACCGGCTTGTGGCAGTGTCACTGCTGCCACATCCAGGTGAGTGCCAGCGGCTCCTGGCAATGCTGCCACATCCAGGTGAGTGCCACCGGCCTGTGGCAGTGTCACTGCTGCCACATCCAGGTGAGTGCCACCGGCTCCTGGCAATGCTGCCATGTCCAGGTGAGTGCCACCGGCCTGTGGCAGTGTCACTGCTGCCACATCCAGGTGAGTGCCACCGGCTCCTGGCAGTGCTGCCACATCCAGGTGAGTGCCACCGGCCTGCGGCAGTGTCACTGCTGCCACATCCAGGTGAGTGCCACCGGCTTGTGGCAGTGTCACATCCGGGTGAGTGCCACCGGCCTGTGGCAGTGTCACATCCAGGTGAGTGCCACCGGCCTGTGGCAGTGTCACTGCTGCCACATCCAGGTGAGTGCCACCGGCCTGTGGCAGTGTCACTGCTGCCACATCCAGGTGAGTGCCACCAGCCTGTGGCAGTGTCACTGCTGCCACATCCAGGTGAGTGCCACCGGCTCCTGGCAATGCTGCCATGTCCAGGTGAGTGCCACCAGTTCCCAGGGACACAGGGCTGGGTGTGGCCCCAGCTAAGCCCGGCTCCAAGCCGAGCTAACACCGGGTTTAAAGCCCCAGGCAGGGAGGAGGAGGTAGCAGCAGGACGCCCCGGCCCCCGGGAGCTGCCGGGGGCTGCTGCCAGCGGATCTAACGCCGTGCCCTGTCCCCCTGTCCCCAGCTGCGCCCCCTGTTCCTCCTGGCCCTGGCAGATTTCCTGGGTGCCGCGGCGCTGCTGGGCACGGGAACCATCCCGCTGCTGCCGGCCTCCCTCTCCGTGCCCGCCTACGCCGCCTGTCCCTACGGGCGGATGCTGACCACGGTACGGGGACACTGCTGGGGACAGCCGGGCCCTGCCTGCGGCTGCAGCGTCCCGGGGTGCTGTGCTGGGGTCCCCTCCTGGCGAGGAACCTCTGCCGCGGGTCGGGGAGTGGAGCACGAGCAGGACAGGGGGAACGGGGGTGTCGGGGGGCAGAGGGAAGGTGGAAGGTGGAAGGGGCCCTGGTGGCGCTGGACACGGCGGGACCCCCGGTCCCTTTCCCTCCCCTCTCCCCCTCTCCCCCAGACCTCCTACGCCGTCTCGTTCCTCATGGTCGCTGTTTACGCGTACGAGTCGCACCGCACCGTCCTCGGGGGGCGAGCGCGGCCCCCGGCAGCGCTGCAGGTCCGTGCCTGGCCCGGGCACAGCCGGGACAGCACCGGGGAGCGGCGGAGCGAGCCGGGGCAGCCGCTTTCCCCGGCAAGTCGGGATTTCCCGGTCCTGGCGGAGCTGCGGCCGCCCCTCCAGCCCCGGTTCTCGGCGGTTCTCCCGCAGGAGCGGAGCCGCTGCCTGGAGAGCGCCTGGCGGGGAATTCCGTACGTCCTGGCCTGGTGGGTGCCCGCCGCCGGCCCCGCCCGGGACTCTCCCGTCCCTTCCCGGTACCGGTACCGGCCCCGCCCGGGGCTCTCCCGTCCCTTCCCGGTACCGGTGCCAGCCCGGGGCTCTCACCCGTCCCTTCCCAAGGCCGGTACCGGCCCGGGGCTCTCAGCCGTCCCTTCCCAAGGCTGGTGCCGGTACCGGTACCGGCCCGGGGCTCTCAGCCGTCCCTTCCCAAGGCCGGTACCGGTACCGGTACCGGTGCCGGTCCAGGGCTCTCACCCGTCCCTTCCCGAGGCTGGTGCCGGTACCGGTGCCGGCCCGGGACTCTCACCCGTCCCTTCCCGAGGCCGGTGCCGGTACCGGTACCGGCCTGGGACTCTCTCCCGTCCCTTCCCAAGGCTGGTACCGGCGGTGACTCTCCTGGCTCAGCTGCTCTCCCGCGGCACCTCCGCCGCCGCCATCGCGCCCGTGGTGCCCCGGCCCGGCTCCAACGACACCTTCAGCCTTTACTGCTCCAGGTACGGCCCCTCCGCCCCCGCCCCGCCCGGGGCATCGCCGCGGGACCCCGGGGGAGGCTCTGGGAGCTCCAGCACCGCTCTGTCCTTGCAGCTGCCTCCTCCTGATCCGCCCGAGCCAGGACATTTGCTCCCAGGTGGGCGCTGCCCCTCCCCGCGGGGCCGGGGGGCTCCGGGGCCGCGGGGGTCGCTGGCCCGGCCCCGCTCATCTCCCGTTGTCTCCCAGTCCGGCGGGGGCAGGAACGCGGGGCTGGAGGAGAAAATCATCCTCCTGCTGTACCTGCTGCTGGTGCTCGGCTGCTGCTCGGTGAGGCCGCGGCTCGGGGGGCGGCACGGGGGGTCCGCAGCGCCCCGCTGAGCCCCGGACCCCCCCAGCTCCTGTACCGGCGGGTGCGGCTCCGGTGCCGCGGGAACGCGGCGCTGCCGCTGCTGAGCCTGGACAGGGACGGCGGCTTCGGGGGCAGGAGCGGCCGCAGCGTCAGCAAAGCCTCGCTGCACTTCCAGCTGGTTTTCCTGCTCTGCTGGACGCCAGGCAAGGCCAGGGGGGTGTCCCAAAGCCCCGCAGGGTCACACTGAGGGTGTCCCCAGCTCCCCCAGCCCCGCAGGGTCACACTGAGAGTGTCCCCAGCTCCCCCAGGGTCACACTGAGGTGTCCCCAGGTCCCCCAGGGTCACACTGAGGGTGTCCCCAGCTCCCCCAGCCCCGCAGGGTCACACTGAGGGTGTCCCCAGGTCCCCCAGCCCGGCAGTGTCACACTGAGGGTGTCCCAAAGCCCCCAGCCCCGCAGGGTCACACTGAGGGTGTCCCCAGCTCCCCCAGCCCCACAGGGTCATACTGAGGGTGTCCCCAGCTCCCCCAGCCCTGCGGGGTCACAGTGAGGGTGTCCCCAGCTCCCCCAGCCCCACAGGGTCACAGGGAGGGTGTCCCAAAGCCCCCAGCCCCGCAGGGTCACAGTGAGGGTGTCCCAAAGCCCCGCAGGGTCACACTGAGGGTGTCCCCAGGTCCCCCAGGGTCACACTGAGGGTGTCCCAAAGCCCCCAGCCCCGCAGGGTCACAGGGAGGGTGTCCCAAAGCCCTGCAGGGTCACAGGGAGGGTGTCCCCAGGTCCCCCAGCCCCACAGGGTCACAGGGAGGGTGTCCCAAAGCCCCCAGCCCCGCAGGGTCACAGGGAGGGTGTCCCAAAGCCCTGCAGGGTCACAGGGAGGGTGTCCCCAGGTCCCCCAGCCCCACAGGGTCACACTGAGGGTGTCCCAAAGCCCCCAGCCCCGCAGGGTCACAGGGAGGGTGTCCCAAAGCCCTGTAGGGTCACAGGGAGGGTGTCCCCAGCTCCCCCAGCCCTGCAGGGTCACACTGAGGGTGTCCCACCAAGGAATGTCCTTCTGTGTCCCACCCACAGCCTTCCTCCTCACCATCCTCTCCTTCACCAGCATCAGCCCTGCCTCGCTCTTTGTCCTCTACGTGTCCACGGTGAGTAAAGCCCCTTTTCAGGGCTCCCAGGTTGGACATTTGTCCCCATCCCACGTGGGAGCTGTGACAGCCCTTGGGCACACCCTGGGCAGGGTGAGGACACGGCCCTGGGCCCAGCGCGGCTCTTCCCACTGGATTTTGGGTTGGGATTTCAGCCCTTGGCTCTTCCCAGGGCCTGGATGTGCTTTAATTGGCCACACCAAGAGGAATGTCCCCCCGTGTCCCGTGCCAGCCCGCTGGGCTGTGCCTGCTGGCACCGGGAGCCCTGACCCTCCGTCCCTGTGTCCCCCAGGCCCTGAGCGTGTCCCTGCAGGGCTTCCTGCACAGTCTGGTCTACGGCTGGATGAGGGAGAACTTCCGCAGGGACGTGCTGGCCCCGAGCCCCTCCCTGCAGAGCCCGGAGGGGCTCAAGGCTTTCTACGACGATTCCCTGGGGGCTGCTCCCTGAGCTCCCACCTCATCCCCATCCCATTCCCTGGGGGCTGCTCCCACCTCATCCCATTCCCTGGGGGCTGCTCCCTGAGCTCCCACCCCATCCCATTCCCTGGGGGCTGCTCCCACCTCATCCCATTCCCTGGGGGCTGCTCCCTGAGCTCCCACCCCATCCCATTCCCCGGGGGCTGATCCCTGAGCTCCCACCTCATCCCCATCCCATTCCCTGGGGGCTGCTCCCACCTCATCCCATTCCCTGGGGGCTGCGGGATTTGCACATTCCCAGCAGCTCAGGGAATCCCGGAATGGTTTGGGCGGACAGGGACCCCAGAGCCCCCCCAGTGCCACCCTGCCATGGCAGGGACCCCTCCCACGGCTCCCGCTGTCCCGGCAGGATCCCCTGGGTGCAGCCCCTTGTGCCTGGAGTGGTTTGGGGAGGGCACAGGAGGGGCACCTGCAGCCCCTCCCTGCTGGAGACCCCCGAACTTCCACAGATCCACCGGGACGGTCTGCAGGATCCTGGAACCTGAGGCTGGGCTGGCACTGGAGGGGCTTTGGGGTCCCTTCCCACCCAAACCATTCCAGGACAGTGGGATACTGGGCTTGCAGGAGATGGGGTCTGGCCTCCTTGGGGGGAATGCAAAGCTAAAAATACATCCCTGAGGGAGAATTCCCGAAGGAGGAAGTTCGGGCTGTTGAGGAACAAGAGATGGTGGAGTCCCCACTCCAGGAGGGATCTCAAAGCCATGTGGATGTGGCACTTGGGGACACGGTCAGTGGTGGCCTTGGCACTGCTGGGAATGGTTGGACTCGATGGGCTTCAAGGTTTTTCCAAACCAAAAGCCTCAGTGATTCTGTGATTCTGTGATTCCGTGCCTCGGGAAGGGCAGAGGGACACACAGCCACCCACAGGTGCTCTGGAAAACCGGGATGGCCACGAGTGACCAAGAGCAGGGACAACCATTCCCAACCCAATAAACCTCCCCAGCCTCCGAACCAGGACCCAGCGTGGCTCCAGGGTTTTTCAGACTAAGATTTCCTACTTTGCAGGAGGAGGAGCAGAGAGGATGGAAACAGCACAGCTTCCACTGGGAGCTGCCCCAGTCAGGGCAGGAACAATCCAACAATCCCACCTCGTGCAGAGGCGCTGCGTTTGGCCCCTCCAGGCTGCCACATCCCTCCCAAACCCTTTTTTTAGGTTAAAATTGCCCCTGGCTGGATGCCCTGCCCCGGTGGTGCGATGCAGCTTTGCGGTACCGATGCCCTGGTTCCAGCAAATCCATTCCCGAGGCAGGAAGGGGATCCCAGGCACGGGAGCTCCTCTGGAGGCAGGGCAGGGCAGCAGGCTGTGGAAATCAGCTTCTCCAGGTTTTATTGGGAAGGGGCTGGCAGAGCTCTCCCAGCACCTCGGCAGAGCCCCAGCCCCGCTGTGTCCCCGGAGCTCAGGCTGGGATTTCAAGCAGAATAAATGGGATTTGGGGCCAGCTCCTCCCAGCAGCCATTCCCAGGCACTCCCAATCCCTGCGGATGCTCCAGCCCCTCCTCTGGCTCTGCCCTGGAGAAACAGAGCAGCAATTGTCCACGTCCAGCAATTCCTCCTCCTGCTCCCACGGCTGGCCAGGGGCAGGGATGGCATTGTCACCTCCTTGTCACCTCCTCACCGTCCTCAGGAGCTGCCCTGAGCGCAGCCCCGCAGGGCAGGACGGGGCTGCGGGAATGGAGGATCCCGGCACGGGAATGATTCCCGAGGATCCCAGCATGGGATTCCCAAGGATCCCGGCACAGGAATGATTCCCGAGAATCCCGGCACAGGAATGATTCCTGAGGATCCCAGCACGGGAATGCCGAGGATCCCAGCACAGGAATGATTCCCGAGGATCCCAGCATGGGATTCCCAAGGATCCCAGCACGGGAATGATTCTGGAGGATCCAAGCACGGGAATGATTCCCGAGGATCTCGGCACGGGAATGATTCCGGAGGATCCCAGCACAGGAATAATTCCCAAGGATCCTGGCACGGGATTCCTGAGGATCCTGGCACGGGAATGCTGAGGATCCCAGCACGGGAATGATTCCCGAGGATCCCGGCATGGGAATGATTCTGGAGGATCCCGGCACGGGAATGCCGAGGATCACACCACAGGATTGATTCCGGAGGATCCCGGCACGGGAATGATTCCCAAGGATCCCAGCACGGGAATGCCAAGGATCCGAGCATGGGAATGCTGAGGATCCCGGCACAGGAATGATTCCCGAGGATCCCGGCACGGGAATGGTTCCCAAGGATCCCAGCATGGACACGGATGAAGTGCCCGCAGCCCCGGGTCCCTCCTGCCCTGCCCAGGGCCGGTTCCGCAGGCCCAGCCCCGGGGCAGCTGCGGGAGCTCCCCACGATCCCGATCCCAATCCTGATCCCGATCCCGGCCGGAGCTGCCCCAGCACTGGGAGCAGCCGGGACAGGCTGGGAAGGGTGTCCTGCTCCAGGAGCCCCCGCTGGGCTCAGGGGTGGCGCAGCACGGTCTGCAGGTCCTCGGGCAGCGAGCCGATGACGGTGTCGATGTAGAGACTCACCCTCTGCAGCGTCTCCTCCTTCACGGGCAGGTGCTGGCACCGAGCCCTCACCTGGGGAAATGGGGATGAGCAGGGGAATGGGGATGAACAGGGGAATGGGGATGAACAGGGGAAATGGGGAAATGGGGATGAACAGGGGAATGGGGATGAACAGGGGAAATGGGGAAATGGGGATGAACAGGGGAAATGGGGATGAACAGGGGAATGGGGATGAACAGGGGAATGGGGATGAGCAGGGGAATGGGGATGAACAGGGGAAATGGGGATGAACAGGGGAATGGGGATGAACAGGGGAATGGGGATGAACAGGGGAAATGGGGATGAACAGGGGAATGGGGATGAACAGGGGAATGGGGATGAACAGGGGAAATGGGGATGAACAGGGGAAATGGGGATGAACAGGGGAAATGGGGATGAACAGGGGAAATGGGGATGAACAGGGGAATGGGGATGAACAGGGGAAATGGGGATGAACAGGGGAATGGGGATGAACAGGGGGAAATGGAGATGAACAGGGAAATGGGGATGAACAGGGGAATGGGGATGAACAGGGGAAATGGGGATGAACAGGGGAATGGGGATGAACAGGGGAAATGGGGATGAACAGGGGAATGGGGATGAACAGGGGAAATGGAGATGAACAGGGAAATGGGGATGAAAAGGGGAAATGGGGATGAACAGGGGAAATGGGGATGAACAGGGGGAATGGGGATGAACAGGGGAATGGGGATGAACAGGGGAAATGGGGATGAACAGGGGAAATGGGGATGAACAGGGGAATGGGGATGAACAGGGGAAATGGGGATGAACAGGGGAAATGGGGATGAACAGGGAAATGGGGATGAACAGGGGAATGGGGATGAACAGGGGAAATGGGGATGAACAGGGGAATGGGGATGAACAGGGGAATGGGGGTGAACAGGGGAAATGGGGATGAACAGGGAAATGGGGATGAACAGGGGAAATGGGGATGAACAGGGGAAATGGGGATGAACAGGGGAAATGGGGATGAACAGGGGAAATGGGGATGAACAGGGGAAATGGGGAAATGGGATGAACAGGGGAATGGGGATGAACAGGGGAATGGGGATGAACAGGGGAATGGGGATGAACAGGGAAATGGGGATGAACAGGGGAATGGGGACGAACAGGGGAATGGGGATGAACAGGGGAAATGGGGATGAACAGGGGAATGGGGATGAACAGGGGAATGGGGGTGAACAGGGGAAATGGGGATGAACAGGGAAATGGGGATGAACAGGGGAAATGGGGATGAACAGGGGAAATGGGGATGAACAGGGGAAATGGGGAAATGGGATGAACAGGGGAATGGGGATGAACAGGGGAATGGGGATGAACAGGGGAATGGGGATGAACAGGGGCCTTTCCCCTTGCCCCGGCTCTGCCCGCTGCAGCTCAGGACTAACACAGGCAGCAAATGCTGCCCCAGCCCCGGGAGGGGAAGAACTTCCCTGGATCCTCCCAGCTTGGAGGATTTCTCACAAACTTCCCCAAGTTTCCCACCCTCCGGGGAGGGACACGAGGTTTTCCATGGCACAGGTGTGATCCGTGTCCCAGATTTCTCCCCAGCCAGACAGAGGGAGGAGTGCAGGGGGAGGGAGGGACTCACCAGCTTCTCCCGAAGCTTCAGCACCAGGTCCACGATCTCCACCTCGGACTTGTCCTTCATCCAGGCCACAATGTCCTAAGGAGAGAGTGGCTTCCCTCAGGGACACTTCCCAAGGGATTCCCCTAAGGAAAGCCTGAAGGTGAGCAGGGGTTCCTCATCCTCATTCCAGAAACAGTGACAGAGCCCCTCCAGTGCCACCCCTGCCATGGCAGGGACACCTCCCACTGTCCCAGGCTGCTCCAGCCCCAGTGTCCAGCCTGGCCTTGGACATTCCAGGGATCCAGGGGCAGCCCCAGCTGCTCTGGCAATCCCAGCCCAGCCAGGAATTCCTCATTCCCAATCTCCCATCCATGGCTGCCCTCTGGCAGTGGGAGCCATTCCCTGTGTCCTGTCCCTCTGTCCCTTGTCCCCAGTCCCTCTGCAGCTCTCCTGGAGCCCCTTTAGGTCCTGCCAGGGGCTCTGACCTCTCCCTGGATCCTTCTCCTCTCTGAGTAAAGCCAGCACTGGCTCTGTCCCCCAGTGCTTCACAGACACAGCCCTGTCCCTGTCCTGCCCTGGCCCTGTCCCTGTCACCCACCGCCTCACAGACACAGCCCTGTCCCTGTCCCTGTCCCTGTCCCTGTCCCTGTCCCAGCCCTGTCCCAGCCCTGGCCCTGGCCCTGGCCCACCCTGTCCCTGTCCCTGTCACCCACCGCCTCACAGATGGCCTCCAGGTGCAGGGCCTCGAGCTTCTGGGTCATCTCGCGGTGCCGCTGCCGGAACCAGCCGTCGAAATTGGGGGATTTGAAGAACCGCCTGTGCAGAGAGGTCAGGAATTGTGGGGCTGTGGGGCCCTGCAGCTGGCAGGGACAAACCCACCCTGTGCCCCACAGCTCCCTGAGGTGACCCTGGCTCCAGGGGCCCTGGGGCTGGCTCGGGGACACGCCTGGACATGGGCACAGCTGCCCAGAGCAGCTGGGGCTGCCCCTGGATCCCTGGAATGCCCAAGGCCAGGCTGGACACTGGGGCTGGAGCAGCCTGGGGCAGTGGGAGGTGTCCCTGCCATGGCAGGGTGGCACTGGAGGGGCTCTGGGGTCCCTTCCCACCCAACCATTCCATAATTCTATAATTATTGTTCCTGATTGCTTTCTGGGATTTTTTCGTTCTCCATCTCTGTGCATTTCCCATTTTCCTCCCTTGGATTTTTCTGGATTTTTCCCACTCCTGTTGCACCAAGTGTCTTCTCTGTCCCATCCAGAACCAAGAATCTGGGAAAACCCTGGAGCACGTCCCCTGCAGGATCCCCACTCGTTTAACACACACGAACCCCAGGGCTGGGTTTGCCCTGGGTTTGCCCTCCCTGAGCATCCTGGACGAGCCATGGATGAGCTGTGCAGGCCCAGCTGGGATCAGGGCTCCCTGTGGGTCTCACCTGTACAGCCCCAGCCAGTCCCCCTTGAGCACACAGGTGAGCTGGGGGCCAGCGTGCTCCAGGCTCTTCATGAAATCCTCCTGGCAGAACGGGCGGATCTGGGGGGGATTCTGCACAGGGAAATCCACGTTAGTCCGTGGGAATCCATGGCAGAGAATCCCAAATGAAACCAGGAAAACCAGGGCTGCACTTCCAGTGGGAAAGGTGCACGAGGCACTGAGGATAAAAGCACCCCGAGGTTGATCCTCACATGAGATTCCAGTAACTCAGCTCCTGGCAACACTGGGAATATCTGTCCCGAGAGTTCTTTCAACTTTTTAATGCATTTTCAAAGGAGTAAAACCCCTTTTGCTCCAACAGGGGAGGTTCCCAGCCCCTGTAACCACTGCCAGTCCCAAAGGGAAGGAGGACTGGGAAGTGCATCCTACCTTCCATGGGGTGATGGCCCTCTGCAGAGGCATCAGGCTGGCCATGTAATGCTCCTAAAACAGGAAAAGATAAAAATAAAAATAATCACTTATGGCTGAGGAGTGTCTTGTGGTGCCCAGAGCAGCTGGGGCTGCCCCTGGATCCCTGGAATGCCCAAGGAAATGTTGGATACTGGGGCTGGAGCAGCCTGGGGCAGTGGGAGGTGTCCCTGCCGTGGCAGGGGGATGGGATGAGTTTAAAGCTCCCTCCCACCAGCCACTCCGGGGTTCCCCACCCCGGGGTCTGTCACAGCGCTGCTCCCTGTCCCCCCGGGGTGTCCCTGCACTCACCAGGGGGATGATGAAGCTCTGGGTGAGCTCCAGGAGGTGCCGCCTCAGCAGAGCACTCTGCACCTCCGAGGGGCGCTTCCGCTGGATGCCCTGCGAGACACCCAGATCCCAAACCCAGATCCCAAACTGCAGATCCCAAACCCCAGATCCCAAACCCCAGATCCCAAACCCCAGATCCCATACTCCAGATCCCAAACCCCAGATCCCAAACTCCAGATCCCAAACTCCAGATCCCAAACCCCAGATCCCATACTCCAGATCCCAAACCCCAGATCCCAAACTCCAGATCCCAAACTCCAGATCCCAAACCCCAGATCCCAAACTCCAGATCCCAAACTCCAGATCCCAAACTCCAGATCCCAAACCCCAGATCCCATACTCCAGATCCCAAACTTCAGATCCCCAAATTCCACATCCCAAACTCCAGATCCCAAACCCCAGATCCCAAACTCCAGATCCCAAACCCCAGATCCCATACTCCAGATCCCAAACTCCAGATCCCAAACTGCAGATCCCAAACCCCAGATCCCCAAACCCCAGGTCCCCAAACTCCAGGTCCCCAAACTCCAGATCCCAAACCCCAGATCCCAAACTCCACATCCCAAACTCCACATCCCAAACTCCACATCCCAAACTCCACTTCCGAAACCCAGATCCCAAACTCCACTTCCCAAACTCCAGATCCCCTAACCCAGATCCCATAGCACAGATTCCACCCTCTACTCAAGCACATTAAAATTTCAAGTTTCACTACACAAAATCTGGGTTTTTTTCAGGCTTTTTTTTTTTCCTGATATCAATTCTTCCCACTCAGTTTATTGTTAGCAGCAGGATTTAATCCTTCATACCAGGTGGAAAATCCTAAACCCGGCCTGATGAACGTGTCCCAGTCTGGACTAGATCATCCCAAACTGTAAGTTCTGCTCCTTTGGGGAGCTCTGTCTGCTCAAACTGAGCTCTGGGCACAGTTTTCCCACCCAGGACAGAGTGGGAGTTGCCTACCTTTAGCAGCCTTTTTATCAGGGTTTTGTCTTTGTGAAGGAATGTTTTATAGGAAGTGTAGATTCCTGGATGGGAAAAACACAGCACGGGGAAAAAACCAGGAGTTACAAAGGGACACAGCTCCTTGCTGCCAATCCCCAAGGGAAGGGGCAGTCCTGAAGGATGCCCGAGGCCTGCACCCACCTGGTTTGGTGTCCAGGGTCTTCAGCTTGGCCAGTTTCTTCACCTTCACCTGCTTGGGCAGGTCTCCTGTCACACACAGCGGGGACAATCCAGGCTCTGTGCCTTCCTGCTGGGAGTGCACTTGGGGACACCCAGCCCAGCCTCACTCCCCACCTCCCTCCACCCTCAGGGGGATCCCAGCTCCCTTCCCTGCTGGAATTCTGCAACGAGGAGGTGCTAAAATCCAGCTCCTCACCCCCAGGGTTTCCTTGGCTTCCCAGTCAACAAAAGTGTTCCATAAAGGAGAGGAGGTTTCTCTCTCTCTCCCCCTCTCTCAATTTGCTGCCCAGGACGGGCCTTTCCTCTCCTGGAAGCTCCAGGACAGCAATTCCTGCTCCCCACACCCTGCCCCAGCTCCGTGCTCATCCTGCCCACGGCCACGGCCAGGGGTGAGCTCCTGTGGCTCTCCCAGGAGAGGGAATCACTGCCAGGGCAGCTCCCTGCAGCCTCCAGCTGCTCTGCCAGCCCCACAGAGCCCTGGGCCAGCTCACCTTCTGTCCTGAGCTCTCCTGGCAGATACCCTGAGCTCCCCTGACAGATACCCTGACACCCTGAGCTCTCCTGACAGACACCCTGAGCTCCCCTGGCAGCCACCCTGAGCTCCCCTGGCAGCCACCTGAGCTCCCCTGAACTCACCTGACATGCGGAGCTCGCCCACCCGCAGGATGTGTGGCCAGTGCTGCAGGGTCTTGATGAAGAAGGGGTTGGTGACGCCCACGACGATGTTGGGCCTGGAAGGAGGGGACAGGCTGAGGGCCGGTGGCTCTGGGCGTCCCTGGGGGCTGGTGGCAGGGCACAGGGGCACTCACGGGGCCTGGGTGCGCGTGGTGTACTCCTTGAACTCGCTGTCGTGGATGGTGAAGTAGGGACGGAAATCGCAGCAGTAACGCAGCGGGGCCAGGCAGCTGCAGGGACAGGCAGGGTCACCCTGGGCATGGCAGGGGCACCCTGGGCATGGCAGGGGCACCCTGGGCATGGCAGGGCCACCCTGGGCATGGCAGGGTCACCCTGGGCATGGCAGGGGCATCCTGGGCATGGCAGGGGCACCCTGGGCATGGCAGGGGCACCCTGGGCATGGCAGGGTCATCCTGGGCATGGCAGGGGCATCCTGGGCAGGGCAGGGTCATCCTGGGCATGGCAGGGGCACCCTGGGCATGGCAGGGTCATCCTGGGCATGGCAGGGGCACCCTGGGCAGGGCAGGGGCACCCTGGGCCAGCACAGGGGACAGTCCGTGCCCACACCGGGGCTGTGCCCACACCGGGGCTGTGCCCACACCGGGGCTGTGCCCACACCGGGGCTGCCACAGCCCAGGGGCCATCGGCCTCCTGCCCCCCTGCCCACCCTGGGCTGTGCCCAGCCGCTGGCACAGCTCCCCCAGGGCCTTTCCCAGCCTTGCAGCCCCCCTGCCCCAGCCTGGAGCGCTCCAGGGGCTGACCCAGGGCAGCACCCGGCACTTGGCCTGGCTGAACCTCTCTGGGGAAGCTCCAGGATTTTGGGGTTTTGTGCTAAGGCAGAGCTCTGGGCTGGGGGGAGAATGTTCCTCAGGGCTGGACCCATCAGGGGAGACTCCTTTGTCCTCCTCTCTATCCTTGCTGGAAAATGAGTGTGGAGTATTTGCAGTTTGTCTTGCAAAGCTTCCACGAGCGAGCTAAACCCAGCCCAGGTGAGCAGCACAGAGTGCATGTCGAGGGAAAAGCTGCCAGAATTTGCTGTCACAGCTCCCAGTCCCCCACAGCCTGTGGGGGTTACCTGGTGAGGGCCAGGACCATCTCTGAGGACATGGTTGGGGACGGGGCCATCACCACCATGGGCTCCCCCAGCAGCATCAGCTCCCAGAGCATCTGGATGTGGATCAGCACCGGCTGGAAGCACCTGGGACAACGGGGACAATGACAGGGTCACTCAGGATGGACCAGACACAGCTGTGGCCTGCAATGCCCCAGGTGTGGTCCTGCCTGGGAATTTGAGATCTAGGATGGACTTTCAGCATTCCACAGGGAAATCGGGTGTTTCTCAACCCGGTTGTTTAAAGGAAATGCTCTAAGCAAAGTCAAGTAATCTGTGATCAGAGAGTCATGGACTGGTTTGGGTGGGAAGGGACCTCAAAGCCCATCCAGTGCCACCCCGGGGCCTCCTCTGGGCTCTGCAGCAGCTCCAGGTGCTGCTGCTGTGTCCCCAGGCTGGGGCAGCCCTGCAGGTGGCTCTCACCTGGGCACAAGGGCAGGATCCCCCTCCCCTGCTGCCCACTGGGCTCAGCCCGGGGCTGGGGGGTTCTGGGCTGGGTCAGTTCCAGCTCTCACCCCCAGCACCCCCAAATCCTTCTCCCAGGGCTGCTCCGGCTGCTCGTGCCCAGCCTGGACGGATCCCAGGGGTTGTCCTAACCCGAGTGCAGCACCTTGGACTCGGCCTTGTTGAACCTCAGGAGGTTCCCGTGGACAGATGTTGGTTCAGAGTGTCTGAGACAGCAGGACACCCCTGGATTCCAGAGCATGGACAGGGAAATGGCACCTCCAGCGCTGGGAGTGCCTGGGACACTCCCCTGGGAGCTCTGGGCAGGAGCTGCTCCCCAGCCCGAGGAGGGGGACACAGCCCTTCCCCTGCCCCTGGGGCTGTGCAGGACACAGCCCTCAGCTCAAACCCTGCCCAGAACCCCAGAGGAGCCCCTGGAACGCAGCAGTGCTCGATTCTGCACCACCCCTCGGTTCAGAATGCTCCCAGCAGGGAGAGGGTTGGGAGAGCCTCTCACCTGAACAGATCCAGCTCATGAACGCTGGGGAGAACCAGGGGGGCTGGACACAGATTCTGGATGAGGAAGGGAGAGAAGGCTGTTAGTAGCTGTTAGTGAGCTGGGAGGAGGTGGGAGCAGCCTGGCTGGAGTGGCACCAGCCACAGGAACACGGCTCATGCCCTGAGGTGTGCGCAGGAGCAGGCTGGGCGCAGCACTCAATCCCAAACTAATTCCTGTCCCTACAAACTCGGGAAGATTCCCCTCTTTTCCAGATGGGAAAGGCTGCCCGTGTCTGCTCCTTTATTTCCCAGGGTTTCCTCTGGTGGCAGAGGGTTTGAGACACAGCAGAGCCAGTGGGGTTAGAGATGTGGCACCAAACCAGTGTTAGTCACAGCAGAGAAAGGGAAAGGCAAAGGAATCCAAACCACAGCTGAACCAAAACACTGCAGCAAGTTCAAAACAACTCCAGGGTGAAGGCAGGAGACCCAGCAGGGCCTGAACTCCCAGGAAAAGCAAGGAACAGTGAGTAATGCACCTGGACTGGGTGCAGAGAGCCCTGTGTGACTCCAGGCAGGAGAGCCTGGGGTGGAACTGCTGGGACCACAGGGATCCCAGGCCAAAGGGCTCCCAGCAGGATGCAGCATCCAGCTCCTCCCTCCGTGCCAGCCCCTCTCACCTCCTGGTTGCACTGCTTCACTGGGCTGGAGCCTGGCTTGTCCACCCGGGATGGGATCCTCACCTGCAGGCCAGGGAGAGCAGGGATGGGGTGGGATTGGCAGGGGACAAACTTCTCCAGCCACCAGCTCCAGCTGGAAGGGCTGTGGGGCACGTGGGGCGAACAGGGATTTCACATCCACGGCACACAGGTCCCCTCTGTGGCACAGCCCGGCTACCTGGATGACAACTCCCATCACGGGCAGGTTCAGGGTCTGCCCGGGCACCGGGGGTGGCCACTGGTCGATCTCGTTGCACACTGAGGGACACAGGGAAGGGAAGAGTTTCACCTGAGGGAAAATCCAGCTCAGCCCGGCATTCTGAAAGGGAATTATTCCCTGTTCCCAGCTCACACGTCCCCCTGGATTGTGGCAAACCCAGAGCTGACAAATCAGGATGAAATGACCCAGGCAAAAAGGGCCTGCTGGAGGTGCAGCAGCCTCCTGGCTTTGGGAACACCCTGCATCCAAACTGACAGCCCCATCCCCTCTCTCCCCACAACCCCTCCTTTACACCTGCTTATCTGCTCGGACAAGGAGACAAAGCTCTCCCCTGCTGGAATTTGCCCCAGAATGAAGCCATTTGGAGCATTCCAGCTGTTTTTCAGGAACCCCCAAGCTGGAATCCCTGCCCCCAGCTCACCTGCCTCCAGGCAGGGCTCCAGCTTGTCGAAGTATTCCGGAGCAATCAGCTGCAGCAGGCACTGGAACAGGTTCACGTAGGGAAGGCGGGACACGAGCACCAGGGACTGGGAATGGCACGTTTGGGGTCAGGACCCCCCTGACCCCAGCACTGCACGTTTCTGAACTGCTTGGAGAGGGATGAACTTGAAAAACACAACACTAAATCCACAGAGCAGCTCCCAAGCAGAGGTTTGGTGGAATTCTTGCTGGCACCTGCTCATAATACAGGATTTGGGAGAGCAAAGGGATGGGAGCATGGCCTGGCAAAAGAGCAGCTGGAGAGGGAATAAAAATCAATTGCTGGTAGGTTCAAAGCTTCCAAAAACCATTTCAGGTGGAGAAGCACAAAGGAGCAACTCCTGAAATGGGAACTGGACAAAGTCAAGGAATGGTGGGAATGGACAAAGGAACTTGTAATAACAAATTATGTCCAGCAAGGCCTTGTTTGCTCTAACTGGGGCTTCCTTGTGAAATAATCCCTGTTTTTTACAGCTGTCCCAGCCTAGCCCCACTGAAGTTTCATTGTTACACTGATTCTTCTCTTCCTCTAACCATTAATGAGTGCATTAATCAGGAATGGAGGAGTCATTCAAATACCTCCTGTCCAACCCCAGACTTGCCCATTTGAATTCAAACCTCATCCAAGGGTGACAATCCCTTCCCTGAGCAATCCCACTGTTCCAGTGGAAAACTCACTGTTTTAGTCGGGATGGAAAAACCGATTTCTGCGTTAGCAGGAGTCTAAAAGGAACTGCTGGAGGTGGAGGGCACAAAGCTCAGGACACTGCTGGGACTGAGATGTCCCCATGGACCAGCACAGGACAAGGGGGAACGGCCTCAGGCTGGGCCAGGGGAGGGGCAGGGTAGATTCCAGCAGGAATTTCCCCATGGAAAGGGGGCCAGGCCTTGGCTGGGGCTTCCCAGGGGGGTTTGGAGTGCCCATCCCTGGAGGTATCCAGGGAATTCCTGGAGGTGGCACTCAGGGCTCTGGGCTGGGGACAAGGTGGGGATTGGGCACAGTGCAGACTGGAGGGGTTGGGAGGGCTTTTCCAGCCGCAGGGACTTGGGATTCTGGACTCAGCACTGACCTTCTGGAAGTAGCCCCTCCTCATGGAGCTGTCCTTGACCTGTCGGAAGTACACGTACCCAAAATAGTGAGCAGCCTCTCGCTGCAGGGACAGGGAGGGACAGAAAGAGACAGTTAGGGACAGCCCAGCCCCACTGTCACCAACCCCTCCTGAGCCACCTTCTTGTTCTGACACATCCTAGCATCCATCCCAGCCCTCCAAGAGAGCTTTCCATGGGGACAAATGGAGAGAAACTGGAGCCAGGCTGGGAGAGCTGAGGCTGGAGCAGCCTGGGGCAGTGGGAGGTGTCCCTGCTTCAGTTCCCTCTCCCAGAACAACTGGTGTCTCCCAAATCCAGTTCCCTCTCCCAGAATAACTGGGGTCTGCCTATTCCTGGTTCACCTCCCAGAATAGCTGGGGGTCCTGCTGGCTCAGCTCAGTTCCCTCTCCCCGGTTCAATTCACTCTTTGATCCTCCTGGCCCAATTCCCTCTCTCAGCACAGCTTCCTCTTCCAGCAGTTCCTTGTCCCCTGACCCAGTCCCACCTGTGATCCCATTCCTGTCCCTGACCCAGTCCCACCTGTGATCCCATTCCCTGTCCCCGACCCAGTCCCACCTGTGATCCCATTCCCTGTCCCCTGACCCAGTCTCACCTGTGCTCCCATTCCCTGTCCCCTGACCCAGTCCCACCTGTGATCCCATTCCCTGTCCCTGACCCAGTCCCACCTGTGATCCCATTCCCTGTCCCGTACGGAAGGAAGGAAGTCCCTGTGCTGAACCGTTCTTGTCTCACTGTTCCCATGGCCAAGGAAAAGGAGGATTTTCCCCAGGGTCCCCAAGGCCACGGAACCCTCGGCTCTGCCCCAGCAGGACCCACCTGCAGCGTCAGCGGCGCCTCCCGGTTGTACCTGCCGTCATCCTGGAACGGGGAGCTGCGGGAGCCCCCGGCCTGGCGCAGCCGGAAGCTGAACTGGGTGTCCCCGAGGCCACCTGGGGCAGAGACAGCACAGGACACGGGGACAGCCAGCTGGGAATGGCCCCAGCAGGGCGGGATGGGGCTATGGGGAAACAAACACGGGACAGGGGCAGGAAAAAAGCAGAGAAACCCCAAAGGGGAAGGAAGAAAGGAAGGGAAAATGAAGGAAAAGGGAAATGGAACTATAGGAAAAGCTTTTCCCCAGCGGGGTGGGCAGCCCTGGCACCAGTGCCCAGAGCAGCTGGGGCTGCCCCTGGATCCCTGGAATGCCCAAGGCCAGGCTGGACACTGGGGCTGGAGCACCTGGGGCAGTGGGAGGTGTCCCTGCCATGGCAGGGGTGGCACTGAGGGGCTCTGGGGTCCCTTCCCACCCAACCCATTCCAGGATTCCATGAAAATGAAGAAACCCAACCTTTAAAGCCCCAGGGCCTGGGTGGATGAGCAGATTTATCTCTCACTGTCCCTTTGTGAAGTATAAACTCAGGTTTGGGAACATTTCTCTTGGAAATGCAGCTCCTGCTCCCAAACACAGGAATGTGACAGCTGCCACCCCTCTGGCCACACTGGGAATTTCCTTGGAGCACGGGGCAATCAGCACAAGGAGGCTCTGGCTGAGCCCCAGGGTGCTCCCTGCAGCCCCCTCAGCCCTGCTGCACCCCAGGGACTGTCCTTCCAGCAGGGACACTTCTGTCACCCACCTGAGTAGGAGTCTGGGAAGGACAGGTAGCAGATGCTCGTTTTCTGCAAAAAAACAACAGCCAGTGAGAGCCCCGAGAGCTGCTGCCAAAGGAAGGAGAAGGGGAAGGAAGGGTGGTTACCTCCTTCTCGGTGAGCCTGAAGTCGTGGGGGTACACCAGCTGCGGAGAGAGCAGAGCCTGTCAGCCCCGGTGCCCACAGCTCCACACACAGCTCCTCCTCCCTGATCCCCACACATCCCACAGGAGAGCCCCTGGGATGATTTCAGCTCTGAACCTGTCACTGAACCCGGTTCTGCTTGGATCTGGGGGCAGACTCAGAGGCTCTTGGCTTAGATTTATTGCTGAGAGCTGATGGCCGAGTGAATGAACAGCCCCAAATCCTCTGGGAGCGTTCCAGATGTGCCGACAGCTGTTCTGACAGGAGCAGGATGGGACACAGGAGGGACAGGGTGGAGAAGGAGCGGGGGAAGAGCAGGTGGGTGTGGGGGGATGCACTGCAGGGGGACAGCGGGAGGGTTCAACGGCCAGGGCTGGGACAAGCCCCACAGGGAGGAATTCCATCCGTGCTGGATTTGAGAACCTTGGAGGGTTCTTCAGCCTGGTTCTCATAAGCCATGGAGAGCAGGGAAGCCACAGAGTCAGGGAATGCTGGAACGGTTTGGGTGGTCAGGGACCCCAAAGCCCCTCCAGTGCCACCCCTGCCATGGCAGGGACACCTCCCACTGCCCCAGGTGCTCCAGCCCCAGTGTCCAGCCTGGCCTTGGGCATTCCAGGGATCCAGGGGCAGCCCCAGCTGCTCTGGCAATCCCAGCCCAGCCAGGAATTCCTCATTCCCAATCTCCATCCATCGCTGTCCTCTGGCAGTGGGAGCCATTCCCTGTGTCCTGTCCCTCCAGGCCTTGTCCCCAGTCCCTCTGCAGCTCTCCTGGAGCCCCTTCAGGCCCTGCCAGGGGCTCTGAGCTCTCCCTGGATCCTTCTCCTCTCCAGGTGAGCCCCCCAGCTCTGCCAGCCTGGATCCCTGGGATCTGAGGGGCTCCAGCCCTGCAGCAGCTCCATGGATCCCTCTGGAATCTCTGCAGCAGCTCCAGGTGCTGCTGCTGTCCCCAGGCTGGGGCAGCCCTGCAGGTGGCTCTCACCTGGGCACAGGGCACAGGGCTGGGGTGCTGAGGAGCAGGACGCCAGAGGCTGTGCTGAAGTGCAGGAATTGCAGCGGAGCAGAGAGGAGCTGGGCTGGGCCAAGCTGCAGCTCCCACAGCTCCTGCCTCTCCTGCCCTGGCTATAAATACCAGTGGCCCCGTGCCAGGGGCTGGGAGCTCACCCAGCTCTGGCAATTCCCGCGGATCCCTTGGCAAGGGCGGCACTCCAGCCGAGCCAACCAAATTCCCAATTAACAGCGCCGCTGCTGAGCCCTCACCAGAGCTGAGCTGTGAGGAACAGCCACGAAAATCCTGAGGCAAAACCACCCCCGAGCAGCTGCAGGGCCAGGCAGGCAGCATGGAGAGGGAAGGGATGGGGATTGTCCCAGGGCAGCACTTCCCTGCTCCCCCTGCTCTGAGCCACGGCCCCAACACATCCCTGCGGCTGGCACTAATTAATCCCACCCAAACATTTATCCTGTTAATTGCCAGGGAATCGTGGCCAGGAGTGGGAGCCCTGGACTGCTGATCCTGATCCATCAGGAGCCTGTGAATCCCAGGAATTGTGCTTTCCTCAATATCTGCTGCCTAACTCAGAGCAGGAGTTGGGACAAGCCTTCTGCTTCTCCTGCTGGATTTTGGGGGAGCTTTCTGCAAGAGAACAGTTGGAAAAGCAGGCTTTAACCTCCAGGGTTGGAACTGATGATCTCAGAGGTCTTTTCCAACCTTTATCCCGCTGGGATTCCACATCTCTGCTTCCCCTTCACTTTAACAATGATGTTTCTCTGTGGTTGGGGTGTGGGGAAATCACCAAACATCCAAAAGTTCAAAATCTCAAATCCAAGCCAAAAGGAATCCAAGCCACCACAACTTTTCAAAAGCCAAAAAAAAGCAAATGAAAAGGAAATCAGGATGTGTAGAAGTCTTCAGAGCAGCCCAAAAGGGCTTCAATCACATCCTAAAATGTTTATTTCATTATCTGAAGGTGGAGGGGGCAGAAATAGGAATTCCATTTAATTGCTAACTTAATTTGGGTTCTCCTTTCCAACAGCTTCTCCACTGTCCATGGAAGCAGAGTGGGAATCGCTGAATTCCAGAATCTTTGGGATCTCCCTCAGTGCCTTTTGAATTTCTGAATCTCTCGGAGCTGAATTTCAGAGACCCCCTGGGTTTGTATGGCCAGACCCCCTAAATTGGCACCCCCAGAGCCCCCCAAGCCCCCACAGCTTCTCCTCTTCCTGGCTTCCCTTCCCGGGTCTCACCCCTGCTCCTTCCCCTGGAACAGAAATCCACAATGTTTTCCAGAGGAAGAGGGGCGCTGGGGCTGTGTCATCCCCACTGACATGTTCCCAGTTTTCCTAAGTTATTTGTGCCATGTAAGGAACATTATTCCACTGAAACTTATGCAGGCAAAAGGAGGAAAAGAAGGAAAATTCCTTTCCAGAGATGAACAAACAACATTCCTGCATCCCTCACCCACAAAGGCAGACAGGTGAGAACCCACCTTTACATACCAAAACACAACTACAAAGCATTCAATTCACCATCCTAATTATTATCCCAGTATTCCTCCCTTTCTTGGGGTATCTCAGGCCAGGTTTTGTAGGAAAAAGGATCAAACAGGTGAAACTTGGGTCTGGAGGAGATTTTTTATTCACTTTCAGGCTTCAGGGAAATAAACAATGTAGTATTCAAGGCAAGGGAGCAGCAACAAGGTGGAGTTGGTTCCTCCTGCTTCCCAATCCCTTTGGAAGCTCCAGCATTTAAAATTGGGAAGGCTCAATCCTCTGAAAACCAGAGCAATCCCCCTAAAGAGGGCAGAGCAAGGAGTGACTCCCACAACCACACAAGAAATAAGAAGGAATTTGAGGTGAAGCCTCAGGTTCAGACAAATCCACGCTTCCCTGTTTCCTCAGAGAGCAGCCCCTGAGGAGCCCAGCTCCCCCCAACCCCTCCTGCAGGACCAGCACTGGGCATTCCAGGGCACTGGGGACAACTGCCCGGCCCTTCCCGCCCCAGTCCCACCCTCTGTGGCCCCACGAGGGAATCAGCTCTGCTCCAGCCCAGCCAGGGAACTTCCCTTCCCTGGGAATCCTGCATGTTCACCTCCCTGCCCTGCCTGCTGGGAATTTCTGTCTTTGGAATCCCGGCATGGCTGGGTGGGAAGGGACCCCAGAGCCCCTCCAGTGCCACCCCTGCCATGGCAGGGACACCTCCCACTGTCCCAGGCTGCTCCAGCCCCAGTGTCCAGCCTGGCCTTGGACATTCCAGGGATCCAGGGGCAGCCCCAGCTGCTCTGGCAATCCCAGCCCAGCCAGGAATTCCTCATTCCCAATCTCCCATCCATGGCTGCCCTCTGGCAGTGGGAGCCATTCCCTGTGTCCTGTCCCTCCATCCCTGTCCCCAGTCCCTCTGCAGCTCTCCTGGAGCCCCTTCAGGCCCTGGAATGTGCTGGAAGCTCTCCCTGGATCCTTCTCCTCTCCAGGTGAGCCCCCCCAGCTCTCCCAGCCTGGCTCCATGGGACATGTCACCCTTTATTCCATACAGAGGATCCATAAAGGTCTCTTGGATGCTGTCCCGGCCCCTCCCTGCCCCGTGCACCCCCCACCCCACAAAGATCCCCCTCACCCCAAATCTCTGCTCGGGTCCCTCTCCCCTCCCTCCCCTCCCTGTTCGCTGCCTGCACCCCAACCCTGATCCCCCTTTCCACACCCCCAGCCGTGATCCCGCTTTTCCCTCTCGATTCCTAATGCCGCTTTTCCCTCTGCACCCTTAATGCCGCTTTTCCCTGTCCATTCCCCATCCCCTTCGTCCCCATCCTTCATCCCTTTCCACTCCTCCATCCCTGCTTCCCTCTCGCCCCATCGCTGACCCCTCCGCACCCCCAGTCCCTGACTCCGCTGGTCAGCTCCCTGTTCCCCCTTCCCTCTCCCCATTCCCGAGCTCAGCCCCGATCCCGGATTCCCCCTTGCACCTCCCCCTTCCCGATCCCCGATTCCCCCTTCCCTCTCCCCATTCCCTCTCCCCATTCCCGATCCCCGATTCCCCATTCCCGATCCCCGATTCCCCCTTCCCTCTCCCCAATCCCTCTCCCCATTCCCTCTCCCCATTCCCAATCCCCCATTCCCCATTCCCGATCCCCGATTCCCCCTTCCCTCTCCCCAATCCCTCTCCCCATTCCCTCTCCCCATTCCCAATCCCCGATTCCCCATTCCCGATCCCCGATTCCCCCTTCCCTCTCCCCAATCCCTCTCCCCATTCCCTCTCCCCATTCCCAATCCCCGATTCCCCATTCCCGATCCCCGATTCCCCTTTCCCTCTCTCCATTCCCGATCCCCGATTCCCCTTTCCCTCTCTCCATTCCCGATCCCCGATTCCCCCTTCCCTGTCCCCATTCCCGATCCCCGATTCCCCCTTCCCTGTCCCCATTCCCGATCCCCGATTCCCCCTTCCACCTCCCCATTCCCGATCCCCGATTCCCCCTTCCACCTCCCCATTCCCGATCCCCGATTCCCCCTTCCACCTCCCCATTCCCGATCCCCGATTCCCCCTTCCCTCTCTCTATTCCCGATCCCCTCACTCTCCATCCCGGACCCCTGCCCGCCGCGTCCCGCCCCTCTCCCTGAGGCGGTGTTCCCGTTCCCGCGCCGCCGCGGCGCACCTCCATGGCCTGTCCCAGCTCCAGATCGAAGGTCACCACACACACGCAGTCGATCCAGGCGGCGAAGCGGCCCCAGGGCAGCGGGGAGGCGGCGGAGGCGGCGGCGGCGCGGCGGGGCCGAGGCCCGGCCCGGCTCAGCGCGTCCATGGCGGCGCCGCCCGCCCGCGGCCCGCCCCGCGCCGCGCCGCGCAGCGCCCCCTGGCGGCCGGGAGGACCCCGCCCCAACGCGCCCCCATTGCGCCGCGCAGCGCCCCCTGGCGGCCGGGAGGACCCGAGCGCGCCGCCCGCACCATCGAGACGGGAGCGCGCGCGCGGAGCGCCGCGGGCGGGGCCGTGCGGGTGTCATGGCGGCGGCGTGAGGGCGCTGAGGGACTCGGGGGTGTTGGACCCACGGCGGCTTCACCGCTCGGTGCCCGGCCCCTGCCTGCGCCTGCTGGGCCTGTCGGACCCCCGTGTGTGCCGGCCGGGGCCTGTCGGACCCCCGTGTGTGCCGGCCGGGGCCTGCTGGACCCCCGTGTGTGCCGGCCGGGACCCACCCCGCCGCCGGCCGTACCCTCCCCGAGCCCCCTTTCGCCGATTTTAGGAGCGCTCCAAACACCGTTTAAGAGACGCCGTTTATTCCCTGCCGAGCGTGAGGAGATTTGCACAAAGCAAGCTGACGAAGGGGTGAAAAATGGCATCTCTTCTACAGGAGAAGTTACACAAACCCGGCCCGCTGTAACTCGCACGCTCCACCTGCCTGAGGCACAATTCATGGTGTGACCTAACCTGGCCCGGCTGAAAGTTGACTTTTGCTTGAAAGAGAGTTCTTTTATTAAGCGGCTTCTATTGTAGAAGTTACCTGACGCCTCAGTTACGTTTACAAAGGTGAGAAGATGACATCAATTCCTTCAGGAGAGGTTTGCCCCGGCTGCCCCGGGGATGTTGGCAGAGCCGGGCACGGCGGTGTTCCCCAGGCAGAGGGCAAAGGGTGGCCCGGGATTGTTGGTTACCGTGATTTTTGTGGCATTCCAGGCACGTGAATGCCATGCAGGAGCTGCTTCCTGCTCAGGGGCAGCTGGGCAGTGTCAGGGATAAATCACAGCCCTGTGGCAGATCTGCTGAGGAGCACCCAGGCACTTTGGGGGGTTATTTATTGCCAGGCTCAGGCCCGGAGCAGAGCAGGAGTAGGACCACTGTAAAGTGTGAGAAGGAACAATTCCACCCTGGCAGTGCCCACAGCCAGGTTGGACAGGGCTTGGAGCACCCTGGCACGGTGGTAGAAGGTGTTCATCCCTGCCCACGAGAAGGGATGGGCTTTGAGGTCCCTTCCAGCTGAACCATTCCATGATTCCAGAGAGCCTAGAGGTGTCCAAGTGACCCCGAGTGTCCCGGCAGCTCCTGGCAGGAGCTGTTTTCCCCAGGAATTCCATGGCCAGGCTGCCGAGCTCTCCCAGCAGCATCGCCCCCGTGGGTTTGGTTATTTATTTTTGGCACTTCTTTGCCCCCCGCCCAGTGCTGTTTGTTCCGTTTCAGGCCTTTAATGTCCTTACCCGGCCTGTCCTGCCCCTGTTGAACTCCCCTGATCAGGGAGCAGAGGAGCTGCACTTAAACACTGTCCCATGAATTGCTAGTTAATGCTGATTGTGATTTATTAGCCTGCAACACTACATTTACACTTGCCACGCTTGAAGCTGATTCTTGTCACACAAGGGACAGGAGGAAAAGATAAGGAAAATATGAATTTAAAATATTTGACTTTTTTCCTCAGTAACTCTTTGTCCCACAATAAAAGTCAGTTTTAATCCTGTCCCAGGGGTCTCCCATGGCTGATTTCACGGCAGCCACACGAACATTCCTGCCTGGCCAAGCAGAAGAAAATTAACTGTGAATAAAAGGGGCAATTAAAGTGCTAAGAACGCCTGAGAAGTATAAAAGTGAGGGCTGGAGGGTTTCCATTAGGATGGGAGCAGAGCCCTGTACCTGAGCAGGGAACTGTCACAGGCAGAAGGTCACATCCAGCATCCCCATTCCTTCACAATTTCCCAGAGCCACAAGGCAGGACAGGCAGATGTTGGAATCACAGAGCCTGGGAATCCTGGGATGGTTTAGGTGGGAAGGGACCCCAGAGCCCCTCCAGTGCCACCCTGCCACGGCAGGGACACCTCCCACTGCCCCAGGCTGCTCCAGCCCCAGTGTCCAGCCTGGCCTTGGGCATTCCAGGGATCCAGGGGCAGCCCCAGCTGCTCTGGCAATCCCAGCCCAGCCAGGAATTCCTCATTCCCAATCTCCCATCCATCCCTCTGGCAGTGGGAGCCATTCCCTGTGTCCTGTCCCTCCATCCTTGTCCCCAGTCCCTCTGCAGCTCTCCTGGAGCCCCTCCAGGCCCTGCCAGGGGCTCTGAGCTCTCCCTGGATCCTTCTCCTCTCCAGGCTGGGCATTCCCAGCTCTCCAGCCTGGCTCCACAGGCGGTTTCCATGAACTGAGGACGTGCCCCAGGGCAGTTCTGCTTTGCTGTTGATGAAACCCCCAAGATCTCAGGTCTCCTTTGCCCAGCTCCCCCGGTACTGTCCCGGTTGGAGCCGTGCCCGGGGCTGCTGGTGCCGGCCAGCAGAAGGTGCAGAGCGGGATTTTCCCGGAGTGCTGAGCTTGGTGCCCTCGGGAGAGGCTGTGGAGGGTCCGATGGCAGGAGCCCCGATCCCAGAGCCCGGCTGAGCCCGGGGAGCTCCCGGCTGGGGCTGGACCATATTTGGGAAGCTCGGCGCTGCAGCTCTGGATGCTGCCGAGCTCGGAGCTGCCGGGGCTGCTGCTCATCTCCCCGGCAACCCGCAAACACAACATTGCCCAAGCCTGGCGGCTATAATTAACCCGGCCCGCAGGAGCGCTGCCCGGGCTGCCCGTGCTCCCGCACCGCCGGGCACTGCGGACAATGTTCCCCGGAGCAGCGAGGAGCATTCCCCGCAGCCCCGGGAACGCGGGGTGCCGCGGGCCAAGCAATGCCAGCTGCTCCTGGGGCTGTTGGTGCTCGGGCACTCGGAGCTGTGCGATTTCAACCAGGCCTGCTCGCTCGGCAGCCAGAGAGAAACGCTGGGGTTTGGAGAAGCTCCCAGAGCAGCGCTGGGTGCCCGGCAGAGGCTGTGGCTGTCCCCTCCTCCCTGCAGGGCTGCTCAGATTAATGTCAAACTGGCGCTGGGAGATCCTGTTCTGATGCCTGCTGGAGGCACCAGATCACGCCTCAATCCTGAGCCAAGAATAGATCCCAGAATTCTTCATCATCCACAGCCTATTCTGGGCCTGCAGCCTCCCACCCAGCGTGTGCCCGCTCCCGCTCCCGCCGGGAATCCTGCTCCAGAGCTGGGAGCTCTGCAGCCAGAGCGCTCCTTGTGCTCAGGGGCTGCCCTCGCACAGGGAACCAGGGAATCCAGGAGTGCTTTGGATCAAAGGGGTCCCTAATGCCACCCAGTGCCACCCTGCCAGGGACAGGGACGCCTTCCGTGAGTCCAGGCTGCTCCAGCCCCATCCAGCCTGGCCCTGCCACACCTGCTCAGCCCCTTGGGTCAGTGCTAGAAGAGATTCCAGCAGTTGTTCCCAGTGGGATCCAGTGGCCCGTGTCACAGCCAGGGCTCAGAACCATGGCCTGGGGTGTCTGTCCCTGTCCCTGTCCCTGTCCCTGTCCCTGTCCCTGTCCCTGTCCCTGTCCCTGCAGGGAGAGGGGAGCTGGCAGCTCCTGGCCCTGCTGCTGCCAAGCCCAGAGTTCAGCTGTATCTTAGCGTGTTCCAGAGGGCTGGAGCAGAGACGAAGGAAGCTGTTCCAAGGTTGGAACTCTAGAAATCAGCTGGAGGAGTCAGGCTGTACAACCCTGGCCCTCCTGGGAGTGGGAATAGACTCTGGGGGTGACTGGAAGATTTAGGAATTCGCCTGGATGGTTTCATCTTATCCCCAGAATCCACAATAAGCCACAAAAAATGCTTTATAAGCCCATTTCCCTCCAACAGACAAAACAGGGAAGTGAAACTCCTGAGGTTGTGCTATTTTTTCCCACATTAATGGCCACCAACGTGCTAATTACCACACTGGGTGCTGTATAAATTCTAGGAGTCCTTCACACTGGAAAAGCATCCATAAATGAGGAGTTTTACCCACTCAGTCATGGGGGACACCCTGGCCTGTGGCAGGGGGGTGACACGGGATGAGCTCCCTCCCAACCCCGACCATTGCAGGATGCCGTGATTCAGTGCCCCCGTCAGCAGGGCAGCACAAAACCATCCCTCTTTTCCCATGGCAAAGGCCACGTTTTCCCTGTAAACTTTTAACCACGTGCAGGAATCTCTGCAGGGTCAAGGCCCCGGCGAGAGCAGCGCAGAGCGGCTTAGTGGTAAATCTCATGGCAGGAATTCGCTTTGGAATGAAGGATTGGATCGCTTCCTGCTGGTTCCTGGAGGATGCTGGCACTCGGAAAGCAGTTTATCCACGAGACAGAGACAGATCCAGGCACGGCGACAGCGGATCCAGGAGCCCAGGCTGCCAGCATGACTCAGAGATCCCTGCTCCCTCTGTCTCCCTTTTCCCCTCCCTTCTCCATGCTCACTCCCACAGCCCTGGACGCAGTGGACCCTGTCCCCACCCCACTCCCCTGACCCCCATCTCTGGGGTCCCCCCTTGCAGTAGCACCAGAGCCACCTGAAGGCCGTGGCCACGGAAGGGCTCCCACTGTCCCCGTGTCCCCACAGCCGTGGGGTCCTGTCCTCGTGCCCCTCCTGCTCCCCGCAAGGCTGTGACCACCCCAGGGGCTGCAGCGTGCCCATCCTCAGTCTGTGGGCTGTCCCCTTGCCCCTGTCCCTGGGGCCACCCCACCCTGTCCCCCCCTTTGCCCCACCATCCCAGACCCCCTGTCCTCGTGTCCCCATTGCCATCCCAGTGTCCCCATGACTCTGTCCCTGTCACATCCCCGTCCCACCATCTCCCCGTCCCCAGTCCCCGTGGTCTCCATCCTCTTATCCTCAATCCTGTCCCTGTCTTCCCATGTCCCCGTTCCTGTCCCCCGTCCCCGTTCCAATGTCAACCGCATCCCATCCCCGCCCCTGTCCCCCCATTCGTGTCCATGTGTCCCCATCCTCATCCTCCTGTCCTCATCCCCACTCCCCCCACCATTCCACCCCACCATTCCCAACCCCATTCCCACCCCTGTCCCCCTGT